CTTCACCATTTGACTCCCAAACTAAGCAAAAAGAATCATTCAGATCAACAGAGTCCGACTAAGTTATAATAGCGCATACCTTTGAAAACACTAGGCTCTCTCGGATCACTAGGAGGGATGAAACTTAATGATCAAAACATCTTGACAAAGAATGATGTATCATAGCCTTTACCCGACATTCGGATCAGGTCCTAAATTCCATTTGAATGATAAATATAGTTGAATTAAAGTTAAATGCTCACCAGCGCAAATCATACCTTCTTCATAGTCCCAATCAGGCTCAAAATCCAACAATGTCAAAATACAGACTTGCTGGACCACCAAGGCAAGAACAAATCACATTATCGTGTTTCGAGTCATCATTGAAGGATACTCTCTGTGTCTCCTATACCGATCGCATAAAAATACTCAGTTGAGAAAGGTGCGGTGCCAAAAAGGGACGCAAAATTACAAGACCGACATTTATTCCAAACACTCCGTGAGCGACACTGCAAATAAAGGGAAAACGCGTCAAAATATACCATGATGTATATCTGTATATATCATGATGCATACATGTTAATACATCTATATGTCCGCCGTTGTAGTTGGACAAAACTGTAGTTGAACCTCATCTGAGAATTGGCGAGCTTGCCTGGCATCGAAATCAAAATTTTCCAGATTTGCGTAGGTGACTCTCTACGTCTCCTAAAGGAAATTGGTATACCACGTCTTCTAAACTCAATATAGTGGCAAATTCCACAAGAAAACACACGAATGTGGTACTGACTACTAAACAACATGTTCTAAACTTATAAGACTCAGCATAAGACACAAAATATGAGGTCAACAAAACATGAGGTCAACACGCGAAAAAATTATTGCTAACGAGGTATGACCGGCTTAGCAACTAAATGTCACACCATTCGCCACTTTTCGAGCCAACATGGCGTTCAGTCCAGAGTTTATGTCTAGAGCCGGCTCCATTTGTTCCCAGTTCGATCGGACTAGTGAGATCTATAGAAATATGAACGTATAAGCAATAATCGAAATAGTAATACCTTAGTGCGCAAAGTTTAACATACCTGGTCGTTCTTATCGGGTCCTATTACGTAACGATTGAGTCAGCTGAAGCTCATATTAAACCTGATCCTCAAACATGCAAAGCTTGACCTGTCACATCACTCACCGCCAACTAACGCTCCATACAGAGGCCACTTGTTTGGCTTTGGATCATTAATATCACAAGTGCTTTGTCCAGCACACTGGGAGTATGGATGATGAGGAGACCGTGGTGCTAATACAACAATGTAAGTCTACAGCACCCTGACTACAAACAACTTTTTGATGTTTTCTTACATGTAGGATTACTTCCACACACATACGAGCTGTTTCGAGGGTTACATCCAAGAGTGTACCTGATCTGACTTGCAGCAAGGTCGTCGTAAGCCTGGATCAACGAAGATCCCAATGCGGGAATGTGATCGGCAGCGAACCCCATCACGAATGATGTGGCTAGTGAATTGCATAGTGTTGGTGGTGAATCCGCCCTACAGAAAGAAACGTCAGATATAGGAATTCCGGAAATATGGAGTTGTTAGCATCATACCCAAAGTACAGCATTCCTCCCTTCGTCTTAAAGATGGTTGGCAAGTTTGATACGCTGCCGGAAGTAGGTGCATTCACCATTTGACTAAAGTAGTTCTTGAAATCGGTAATGTAGTTGGAGTTTCCAGTCAAGTATCCCAACATCACCATGCAAATTACAGTCTACACTTTCAATCGAATCAGTCAAAGTTTGAACTGTGCATTATATGAGCCCAACACACCTTATCATCCCATGTAGTTGCGGCAGTCGTTGACCCACCAAGACCAAATTGTGCGTACAGTGTCTGCGCTCGCGCTAAATCCGCAGCATTCCCGGTAGCCCTATAAGACCAAATGTATCCAAGAACCAATTCATCTTGGTAGCTGTAGGATCCGTACTAGGTAAAGCATTTCAAGGCTCAGCTCAAAGTCCCGTCCAAGAAGAGCAAATAATGCAAATGTACGTACATGTTGCTTTGGATCAACATTATATTGATCGTATTTTCCACGATACGTGTCTGCGAAATTCAAGAGATCTCGCGCGTGACTACGAAGAGTCGACTGGTAAGCACCCGTATATAACAAGGAAGCTGCGTTAAGAGCAGCTGAGGTTTGTGCGGCGACATCTGTGCCGGGATGTGAAGGGTCCAAGAAAAGAGAGGGTCGTGATGTTGGACCGTTGTAAGCTACATGGTGCTAGATGTGAGTAAGTTCAAAAGAAATTGCTCTCCAAGTTGATAACTTACGATCGTTTAATGGAGTTCCCCAGAAATCTAAACGGAATGAAGATTGTTACGCGTTTAAAGACAGTAAAGATCTCCCGCAACTCATTCTTACTGTCGTCTGAGTTTCCAATCCCAACTTGGTAGTAGAATACGTTTGGAGAAGGATGACACTATGGATTGAACATCAGTTAGTCGATGTAATTCTCTAAACATCGTATCATTCCACTACCTACCTTGATGTAATAGTCCAGCTGCCACTTCAAGGTATCCAAGAACTTTGGCAACAAACCACTGATGACGTATCCGCTATGGTAATCTACTGCACCCCAAGCCAACATCATTGTTGCGTATGCACCAGGAAGTCCATCTAAAATCCATGTTAGTCCAATAAGTGTACTCAAGCGACTTGAGAGGCTATACGTACACTTTGGGAAATCACCAGCATCATTCCATCCGCCAGTTAAATCTATTAAGTGATCCAATCCGTCAAGTTTGAAGGTGTTGGTTTCGGCCCAGAAGACTTGGTTGTCAGACGGTAGAGTCTGAATGTAAATAGCGTTAGTTGAAACTGTTGACATTTATATCGCAGATGTGCTACTTACCCCCTCACGTTGAGCATCATAGAAGAATAGTGTCAGTTTCAGATTGCACTGATACTCGTCCGTTATTCCGTTACATGGGTGTTGTGGATGATTTCTGCTGTAATAGTCTGTACTGGGTGTAGAGGACGCGACGGGAGATGCTGTCACTCGTTTGGTAGTCGTTGAAGTCGTCACAGGTGTAGTACTAGTAGTTGCTTTGGCAGCAGTGGAAGTAGCAATAGTGCTAGAGGTCGTTTGAAAAGCACTAGCTGCAACCGGTGTAGAACCAGCGGATGTTGATGATTTAATAGTCAAACCAGAACTTGTCATAGTCGGGATCACGGTTGTAGATGATTTTGCCGTGGTAGCCGGATTTGTCTACCATTCAAAGTGGGTCGTCAAAAAAAGTCCAAACCAAAGATGAATATACGCAACCCACCAAGCTAGATCCCGGCTGAACAGTACAGTTTCCATAAGTGGACTGGCACCCAACACCACAGTAAGCGGACGAAGTCCCACAATATCCATAACTCGAGCAGCACTGTATTCCAGGACACTGAGCATTGTTTTTCGTAGCCCCACACATACTATTAGTTGAAATCACAAGTCCCGTTGTTGTTGGAAGAGCAGAATTAGATTTGATACTCGAGGCTTTGGTCGTCGCTGTGAAAGTAATTGAATTAGTACTTGAAGACGTAGTAGTTATGCCACTTGTAGTAGTCGTGGTTGTGATTGAGCTTGAGCTTGAACTTGAACTTGTTGTGGATGTGGTAACACTTGTAAGACTTGCACTACTACCGTTGCAAAACCCGTAGCTCTGTTGGCATTGGACCCCACAGTAGTAGTTGGTGTCACCACAGTAATTGTTCTAATATGATAAATTGTAAGTGAAGTGTCGCAACTGGATCGAACTGGATAGCTTACAGGTCCACAACAAGTTCCAGAAGGACAAGTGGTGCCAAGAATTGGTCCGCAGGCAGGTCGTGCCCGTTTGCTGAATTGCGACTTGCAATTATTAACTAGTGCGACATTCCTAGCAGAAAAAGTTGTAGGTAAACTACTACAATTTCGATTTGCACCTAAACACCTACTCTATACGGTCTCCAGTAGTCCATTTGGAAGCGGTCAATGTGAACTAGCAAAAATCAATGTTATAACGGTCCACATGGGATGGCCTGTCTGGGTCAACGTTCTCACTTGTTTAACAGAACCAGCGTCCAAAGCTATCAGATAGTCTAATAACAGATTGTAAGCCCCCAAAATCATATCTTTGTCTCATTTAAAAGCATTTTCTTACTTGATGATTCAAATTCCTCTTCAATTCGTATAAAATCTGTTTCAAGTGCCAGGTCAGCACACACCCAAAAAACGGACAACGGGCAACCAACCATTTTTTACCCTTTAAGATAGAAACACCAGCACCAGTACTCTCACAGTCCTCCACCCTTAATTCAAACTCGGGAACTGGATTCTGACTATTACTCTTCACCGTAAAAGAAAACCAAACATGATCAACGAGCCTAGTGCATTCGTTCATTGTTGACATCCAGCCTAACAACAGGAGCAGAAACACGAGATCAGAGCATGCAGATACAAGACCATACTAAATAAGTTACTGTTAGCTGGTTGTAAAGCCCGGATCGCCCGTTCATCACTATGTAACGTTAAATTTTTATCAGTAATTCATAAAATTGGGATCTCTGTCAAAGCATAAGCTCAAACCTGGCATCAAAAGTCAGATCTACGGTTCAAAATGCAGCAGTCAGTTATTAGGTGTGTCAGTTATAGGCGATCGATATGAATGAATACCAACCTTGCTGTATCGGCAATTGTTGTTGAAAAAAAGGCAGAGGTAGCAGTACGTTGCATTTACTGGCGGCGACAGAGTTTACACCGTATAATGCCAGTACGAGAAGTAATCCTATCTCCCTCATCTCTCGTTCTATCCGTTTGATTTGACGATGAGCGTACTGACTGGCTCTCGACTTCGCAACTGGCAGTTTCTTCTGTCACACCAATCACAACTCCCCTTTTTTCATTAATTTTGTGAAACCATCATGCTTCTATATGGAAAACGATTATATTAAATCAAATCCACAGTACAAAACACAGCATATATCTTTCGATTCTAAATTTTGGCTGCGCCAACTCTGACTTTTAAAACACTGTCAATGATACGCATCACAGACACGATTTTCTCCTCTTCGTATTTTAATCCTACTACTTGCAGCCCGACCTACGTGTGCGAATATGCAAAGCAAAAATATATATCAGCTAAGCATCAAAGCTACAATGAATTTGTACACACATCACACAAACGCATACCTTTGAATTCTGATACAACATTGGATTTTCATTATACGCTTCAATAACATGTTTCTCCCGAGAACTTCGATATGGACGGTTTAGCGGTTTAGGTGCATCGACCCCCTTTGGGCTCGTTACCGTCGAGCATGGTATAACACCAGCAGTGACATCTAGCGCATTCCATATGATCGTGTAAGACACTGCCCCAGTCAGTTTGGTGGATTTATCTAAGTAAGTGGTAAGTATTGGTTAGAGCAATCCGTTTGATGCAAAAAATAGCAATAACCAAGAATCGATGGGATCAAAACCATTGTTCATACCATGTTCACAGCTTGGAATTGCAACAGTAGGACATATCACAGCATCAATCCCCATAGCGGTAAACGTATCCGCGTATGCCTCTCTGGCAGAATCCAGCACGTTCTTGTGCTTCCAAATATCTGCGGCTTTCATACTTGGTGTTGGGCCATTTGCAAAGGGATCACGATCGCCGGACCGCATGGCTGGAATCATGCCCTCTTTGAAGCGAAGCAGCAATTAAACCAAGAAACGTCAGCGGCAATGTACGATACGGTACTTTTTGATGCGTTCCATACCATCACTTTGCTTGTATATCACATCGTACAGCTCATCGTAGTAACCACCAAAGATACTTGACTGTTACGGGAAAAGCAACTAGTTAGAAACTCGTCGACAATGTCGACCCAACAAAAGACTGAAAACAATTATAAAAGATTAGCATACCGCGGAAGAATAAAGTTTTGGACCATCAAATGTAAGCTCAAACGGCACAACTTCATGTCCCGCCTTCCGTAACGCATCTACAGCCTCGAAGACGGCTCGAGTGACTGGTGGTGTCGGAGCAACGACTCCATTGTCGGTGAAGAAGCCGAGTTTGAGTTTTCGGGTGATTGCTACTGGAGTCCATGGGATTGGAACGACTTTGGCTGCAGTGAGGGAAAGGAGAGAGTTAGACGTCCTACAACTCCAGTTCACGTGGACGATCTATTTTGTTGGGATACATACGATCAAGTTTCCTCGCCAAGCCGTTGAGACCGGTACACTGGATTTTGCAATAGGTTTCAACGTCGTCGATTGACACACTCATAGGTCCATTTACCTATACCAAAAAAAGCACTTCAGACTCTCTGATTCCATCAGCACCAAATGATGAGAATTCACTACTAACTGAGAATATAAGAGGAACCCCTTGAGCCAACACCCGAGAACCGTTGTAGGCGAATCGCGAGGAGGTAGGCTTCAAGGTGTAAATCCCACATATTGAGGCAGGTAATCGAACGGAGCCACCTGTAAGAAAGGGGGTTGGTTACCATATTGCATCGCCTAGAGATGTATTCAATGAAACAATACCAATGTCGCTTCCGATTCCTAGTAGCGATCCTCTGGCCGCAAGAAGACAACCTTCTCCTCCAGAACCTATAGAACAAATGGAAATCAGCTCACAAGTGGCGACAATAGAAATGACGATTTGGTCCATACTTCCTCCGGCTCCCAATAGACGATTATGAGGGTTCTAAAAAAACATATCACATTCAGATTCGTTATGCAAACGAAGAGCAACAAAAAAAAATCAACAAAGTGATGCAATGCTCTTACAAGAACACGTCCATTAACACCAACAGACTCCCACGCCATCAGCGCCTGTGGCACACCAGTCTTGACATACAGCACAGCTCCGGCGTTTAGCAACAGCTCAACAACGGCCGAGTTATTCGTTGCAGGTGGTTGTCTCGCCCATGCCGCAAATCCCCATGCTAATTTAAAAAACATCATTAAGCATCAAATCACGATTGTAACGAGACATATACATACTTGTCCTAGTACCCTTCAAATGAAACTCCTCCTTCAACGAAACAGGCACACCATGCAACAAACCCAACGTCTTCCCATTCGTGGCGAGATACTCGTCACAGTACTTCGCTCTTGCGTAAGCCTCATCGAAAAACAATTCCGTCAAGGCGTTGCATAGTTGCTGGACTATGCTGGCGCGATGGCAGAATGCTTTGGTGACTTCAAGAGATGTGTATTGGTGTGCTGCGATTTTCTAAGACAAACGTGTTAATGTTAATTCCAGTGGCTTGAAGGACGTAAAACGTGAGTATAATTGTACTTGAGCAAGGTCGGTAGCTGATACAGCATTCGTTATCTCCACTTCACGAGCGCTTAGTCCACACTTGCTATTCACAAATGAAATCACGTCCAAGTCACCGACCGATGCGATTAAAGATGGAGCTAATCGCCATTCTAAAGGTATCGCTTCAGCTTTCTTGACTGCTAGATCCTTAACGGTTTGCTTGTACATCATATTGCTGAAAATCACGGTTTTTAGAAATGTTGCACGAAAGCTTTTGAATATAAGTCAGTATCGATCACTTGTCCGACAGAGAGTAGTTCTTTCTCTTCGATCTCTGCTTCAAAAGGGAGTCCCGCTTTTTTATACCTCCGCAGATGCTCCTCGAGTCACAGTCACAAAACAATTAAATCCCCTGGTTTTCAACTAACAATGAGGTTTTCACGTTTGAGTCCATCAAGGACGCGTTAAAAAGCTGAAAGTGCTTGACCTGAAGGTAACGACTCAACTCTAGCGAACTGATCTCTTGTCAAACACCAACTTTGCATGGTAAGAACTATTTAATGTGAATGCTCCAAAATACAACACCGCAACTAGAAACAAAATCTATGTATTCAAAGTACCCTTCGTACTAGGCACATCATTAGCACCAGTTGAAGACGTAGCTTCTCTCAACGCGACAGCCAGAGCTTTGAATGCTGATTCTGACCTGCACCAAAAAAGGCACCACGTCAGAAAAGACATAGACGAAACTACTATCAAATCCCTTTTTACATACCTATGATGATCATTAAACCCCTTCAAACAATCCACATGCAACGTAATCCCGGCATTCTGAGCAAACGATTCAAAAACATGCGGTATCATCTCACACGACAGCGCTCCAATCTTTTCGCGCTTGAGTCCGAGATCTATGCATGCGTGGGGACGGCCTGATATGTCGACTACTGCTCGTGAGAGTGCCTGTTTAAACAAATCTGTGAGTTTGCAATGACAGCCAAAACCAAGTACAGACACATATTGTGGATTACTTCATCAAGAGGAGCATAAGCATAACCGAATCTCTTTATCCCACGTGGTTCGCCTAGTGCTTGTTTGAATGCCGTGCCGAGTGCCAGGGAGACGTCTTCAGCGGAATGATGGTCGTCAATGTGGAGGTCGCCTTTGCATTTGATGGATAGGGACCAGCGGGCGTGTTTGGCTAGGGCGTGGAGCATCTATTTGTAATGAAAAAGTTCGTATTGAGTACCTTTTCTTAGATGAAAAGGACGTCCAACAAAGCTTTCAAAAAGTTTGATGTCGCAAGCTTACATGGTCCAAGAACCCAATGCCGGTATCAACATCAATGACTTGATTGTCCCATTGATGTAGAGTGAGCGTTATGCTGATATCAGTTTCTGCTGTTTTCCTTGTTACTGTTGCTGTCTTTTCGTGACTTCCATTTTGTTGTTGCATGGTGTCGTTGTTGGTTGCGAGACCGTCGTTGGCAGTTCGTTTGGAAGGAGATTCTGTTGATGATGATGATGTTCTTTTGGTCATTTGCGGGCTGGTCGATTAGTCTTCCTTCTTTGGTTGCAGAGTAAATTTAAGTAATCAAGTGTAATCTTGCTCTGAAAAAAAAGTTGAACGTGAACAGTCAACGCGTTTCCCTACTGAAATGCGGATCAAGCTCTCGTGTTTTCATATTGTGTATCAGACTATGAGGTTACATCTTGGCTAACGAAGCCTTCAACACGGCGTCAATCACCCTCATCATTGCAACAACCTTCTCCTCCTGATATCTCAGCCCTGATACTTGAATTCCAACCTTACTATTCTTATACGCCATCGGATCCTGCGAATAAGCTTCATGCGTAAGCTTCTCACTATTGTTACGGAATCCACGTCCCAACGGTTTAGGTGCATCAGCTCCTAGCGGTGATGTTACAGTGTGGTATGGTATAACACCTACAGACACACCAACCGAAGAATGTCAGTTGGTGTTTGAAAACATTGGGAACTAATCCTTGATGAACATCACACCTGCCGACACATCAGTGTAATTCCACACAGTAGTATATGATATCGCTCCACCTGTGAGATCAGATCCAGTCGCGTCGTGGAGGACGGTTGGGAGTGCAACGACGGGAGAGATGACACCGTCGAGTTTCAGGTCGTTGAATGTCCGTGTGTAGTAGATCTTGGTGGCTTCTCTCAGTATGAAGTGCTGCCAGACTTCGGAGGCCACCATTTGGGGTGCTGGACCTTTGGTTGCCATGTCGACGTATGAGCCGGCAACCATGCTTCGTACGAGACCTAAGTAGGATGGGTTTCAGGAGGGGTTTTGTAAGTTGCTCTGATGTGGTGTGAGTATAGTACCTTCTCCTCCATCCTTGTACAGGTTTTCATAGATTTGGTCTTGGTAGCCTTGGAAGATTGCGTTCTGGTTCAAAAAAAAAGGAGTGTAATAATGCGACCATCCGATTCGCAATTTCGACGTCAAATCCAACTTACAGCAGACTCCATGACTTTCTCAACATTAAACATTGGGAATGGAATCATTTCATGACCAGCTTTGCGTAGGCTGTTGATGGCAGATTCCACAGCGTTGGAGACAGGTGCGACGGGCTAATATACCCAAGAGTCCATGTGAGCGTCGTCTGAATCGAAGAAGACTGAAAATGGAGTATTTGAGATCTTACTGCACAGTAACCATTATCAACAAAGTATCCGAATCGCAGTTTCACTGGCAACGAGATTTTCCTCCATGGAATGGGAACCACATTAGCTATTGACAAAAATAGGACTTCAATCTATCTGCGAATGAGGGTCTTCTACGAAAGCGTCATAACCTACGATCCAGATTACACTCTGGCCCACCACCAGTACAAAAGATCTTGCCGTACGTGTCGAGATCATCACACGAGTTCGACATTGGACCATTCACGCCGACAATGAGCAGAGGAAGACCTTGTACCATGGGTGCTCTTGAGCCACCGTGTGCGAATCTAAATGCGCTTGGTTTGACAGTATCTGTTTGTGTATGTGAAGAGTCAAGTGGTGGTGTTTATCGAACTTCTTGGAGAAAACACTCACAGATGCCGTTGATGGATGCTGGGAGTCTCACTGATCCACCGATATCCGTGCCTACACCTGATGAGATATCAACAGAGTCAGAAATCGAGGGCTTCAGTGTGTCTTCCTGGAAGCTTACCTAGTGGACTACCACGAGCAGCAATTAAAGCACCTGGTTAAGCGGAGTATGTTGGTTGCAGGGGGAGAAAGTCCGGAGCAGAAAGAGATGCAATACCTTCGCCACCTGATGAGCCCCCAGCACCAAGCTTCCGGTTCCATGGGTTCAAGCATCGACCCCACACTTCATTGTGCGATTCCCATGTCATCATCAGCTATCATAGAAAATGAAAACATTCAGAAACACGCGTTTATCACGTTTAGTGAGATCCAAAGAGCAATTACCTGTGGAATGTTTGTCTTGACATATACTACAGCACCAGCGTGCAACAACAGAGTTGCGACATACGAATTTCCAGTTACTGGAGGATCTTTAGCAAACTTGACGACTCCCCAAGCTATATCAAACGACATGCTGAGTAATACGTTCAACTAGATACATCATCAAGACCACTCAACTCGTCATCTTCCCAGCCACGTCAATGTTCTCCTTGATTGAAACAGGTACTCCATGAAGCGGTCCCAGAGTACGATTGTTCTTTGCAAGATAGTCATCACAGTATTGAGCTCGCGCGTATGCCTCTTCACAGAATATTTCGGTCAAGCAGTTGGTTGCTTGGTGGACAAGTACGGCTCGATGGCAGAAAGCCTTTGTGACTTCAACAGACGTGTATTCACGGTTTGCGATTTTCTATAACAGAGAAGATGAGAACGGCACAGTCAGCATGGGGTTGTAACAATCCACGACGCGATGCAATGCCATGCATGATGCACATTCAAACCGCAACACCAAATACATGAAAATGAAGCTACATGATACGACTTACGTGAGCTAGAGCAGTAGCGGAGGCCTCATTTGTGATTGTCAGCTCTCTTGGAGTCAGCTTGGTACAGACCCATTCGATGGTATTCAAGTCATTCAAGAGGGCCAGTTCAGAAGCAGATACACGCCACTGAGGTGGAATCTGCGATGCACGCCGTGCTTGGACGGTCTTTACTGTTTCTTGCCAGGTCATCGTGTGAGCCTTTGATGGAGTGTTACAAAAACCGTGTGCACTTTCGTCCATGTTTTAAGAAATGGATTTTCGAAGAATATCGCGTCTATCCAGACTGCATTAGTTCTGTATGCTTCCACTGTCACGGTAAGTTGAATGCAATCGTGAAATTCACAGTTTTGTTCACCAGTTTTCCAAGTCGCATACAGTGGCAGACATACCAGACGGTTTCAACTTGATTGGACAATCAATGTCGCGTCTGTTTAATAATAAAAATGAATCTACGGTTTGAATACGACCACTTTTCTCATTTGACAGAAACGTGATTTGACCTAGTCACATTGTTTTCGAGATTTAACCCCAAGTTCCATACAAAGCACTATAGAAAGATCCACGTATATCTCATATGCAGATACAATAATCACCACTCGACTTTCATTAGCAACATCTACATTGACTTGAACAAGCCTGAAATCTGCTTGTGTATCCATCTTGGGAGGCATAAATAACTGTCAGAATGACGGTTGCCGAAGTATTATTGGAGGCAACCAGCTTAAAATCGTCACAAAATGTCGGAAATATCGATGCCAATAACTTGTCTCCTGTTGACAAGCCTCTCCCGGACTGTAAACAGCAACATCACCAACATCAACACCACTCGGAAACTTTAACGCAAACAGTCAACAAAACAGTAGAAGAAGAAGGTACTAATACCGACCCAATATCAAGTACTAGTAGTATTTCAAATGACAAGTCATTGCCTCCTGAACTCCTCATACAAATCTTTGCCAAGTAAGATACCCGTGATTTTATGCTCAGTGACAAATCTAATCAAGGCGTCCCATATTTGCATGATGATTGTATTTCTCAAAACCATTGCTCTGATACGTGCATAGACTGGATCCAGTAACACTAGCAAAACTGGAAGGAGCAAACAAGCTGTTTCGTGAAATCGTCACGATTCATGCCTTGTTTGAAAAGAACGACGACTTTGTGCTTGCACGATCGGACGTGTTTGAACTGGATCGTAAAAAGATATTCAAGTTGTTATTGGGTCGTAGATGCTCGTCGTGTAATGGTGACTTGGCATCGTCAAAGGCCAAGCTCTATTGGGCTTTCAGGATGCGTTTGTGTACAAAGTGCATGGAGGCTGGGTGAGTTACGAGGGTCGATGTCTTGTGTGGTTGAAACAGTAAACTCATATGGTTTTTTTCGCACATAGGTCCGATCACCAGACAAAGCTTGGAGAAATGATGGACAAGATCCCTCGTGAAGTATTCGTTGGTCTTCCAAGTGCAGAACACTTATCCAGTCCTCGTCATACCCGCTTGGTCTACTTGATGACGGACGTCGAGGCAGCAGTAAAGTCTCGAGAAACGGCCGTGGAGAACGGAATCCTAGAAGAATGGCAAGAAAAACAGGCCGAACGAGCTGTAGCAGTCCGAACCGAAGTCCGTAGGCTCGAAAGACAAGAACAGTTATGGCAGGGACATCTATTGGCTCAAAAGAACTTTCGAAAAAAGATGATTTTGAAAAAGTCGTCCATGCTTGGATGGTCTGAATCTGTATTGAGTCGATGCGCCACGTATCTCACCAATATCGATATCTATAAGCCATTCTGCCATCCTACTTGGACGGCTGTAGAAACACTGCTACGACCTGAAGTCGACAGTATACAGGAACATGATCGATTAGAACGAGTCAAGAAGATTAGAGAAGGTCGTAAAGCAATCGCCAATACCTTATATACGGACATGATTGCCAATAAGAAGGAACTTGTCTTGTCAGCACCACTAGACTCGTCTTTTCTCATGCCAGCAAACAAGTTTGTAGAGCTGTCTGAAGTCAAGACTTGGATTTCTATCAATGAGGAAGACGATGAGAAGAAGATTCTTGATCATTGGGTAAAAAAAGACAGATAATGCCCTTACGATTAGAGACATCGCAACTCATCGTCCTTACTCGTACTTACTTCTTTCTAGAGCTCTGACACCGAGAGGGAGAGAGCACACTTCTTGATGGGTGTCGTCTACAAAGAGGCAAACAAGATGTACGATGTCAGACAAGAGGCTCTGGAACAACTAGGTGTTACAGAAAAGATGCAAACAGAATTGGCATATCAATGTCGTGTTTGCGGTGATGGTGTCTCGGCGGAATACGACTTGTATGGCATCACATCTCATATTATTCAAGAGCATTCGAGTTCTCGTCTCTTTGTAAGCTTTCTCTCTGAGATGAAAAAAACTCACAGCAAATTCCTTGATGTCTGCTAACATGTTCAACTCACTATAGGATTCCCTGGACCTCGTAACTCCACGCTGCACTGTCCTCCATCCAAACCAACCATTACTACTACCACAACACCGTATCTCCCGTCGCCATCTCGTACTAGAGATACTCAAATCAACAGACCTGTCTCAAGAACAGATAGATGGATTTATGATGTCTGCACCTCTTCATGCACTCACAGCTCAAGCATACGAGCTACCTGATAGTCCTCAAGGCTTGAAGGACCTTATTGATACCATGGTAGAGCGATTCAAAGGCGAAGTGAATCGTGTCGAGGCATCAGTCAAGGCTCTTCTGGATATCAAGGATGATGAAGAGATGAAGATTCTCGCATATAGATGTGATTCGTGTCATGCTGCAGATGGTGATTGTGAAGGGTCTGTTGAGTGGGGACGTCTGTTGAGGCATTTGATTTCGAATCATAGCTGGTATACTGGAGTTGTTAATGTGAGTATCAGAGCTGTGATGCTACACTGTAAAAGTATTCACTGAACTCCCCTCAATGTTTTTTGCCATTAATAGGAGTCGGTCGCATCACTAGCCCTCGTAGACTCATCCAAACTCCCATCCGTAAACCACACAGTCTTCACCACCCGCATCGCCACACTCCGCGCCTTCCTCGCCACATCTCTCCACGCCCACAACCTCGAACCATACGAGACCGAAGCAGCCATCGAAATAATAACCAACGATCCCAAAATCCGTACCAGTATCTCATCAGCCCGTACCAACTTCTCCCCGCAAACCCACTATGACCACAAAATCGACAAACTAATCCACATCCTCGTGCCCCAAATCAGAGGCATGCGAACCCTCCTCTCGAAAACTCTCTTACCAACAACCCTGATCGAAGCCCAAATCCACGACTACCAATGCACAGAATGCCCTGTAATAACCTTCTACCACAAATCCCTCTCAAGTGTTGCACGCCACCTCCTTCGCGAGCACTCTGATGTATCGCTTGCAGAACGTGTCAGGTATATCAGGTCCAAGACGCTTACACGAATGGTTGTGGATGAGGTCGTGTGTGGGAAGCGGGCTGTGAAGAGTGTGTTTGAGTATAATGTTGGGTTTGAGTGTGCGCATTGTAGGAGGACTGGGTTGACGCTAGAAGGGTTTATGCATCATTTTGCGGCAAAGCATAAGGCAAGGGGGGCGCCGTGTGTGGATGATGTGATTATTCCGTATACGTTGCATTTGGAGGATAGTGCTCACTATAGGATGCCCTGAGAGGGGGAAGAGTAGGATGGTGGGAGAGTGGGGGGAGAGTTAGGATGAGTGTTGTAATGGGGTTGGAAGTGTTTAAAGGAGATATTTTTGTATAGGGTAGGTCGTAAAAAAGAGGAATGTCGCTTTCGAATCATCAAGTAGTGTGTCTTATAATGAGGTTGTTTGTCCTGTCCTCTTGTATGTACTTGTATTGTTTGTTTGTGTACAAAAACGTGTTTGAATATGTGTTCTACAATCATTTTTATATACCTAATATGGCTTATACTCACTGTAAGGGGACGGCTTGTTCCTCTTGTTGGCAGTACGTGATATAAAGTTCTCAACAGCAAATTTCTCCACACCAAAAAAAGTACTCACGTAAAACACAACCCTCAAAGGCACTTCATTACGGCGATTCCCATCATACGAGCTGTTGAGAATGCTCAAAACCAGGCCCCAAACCTCATACGTGATTTGCGAGTTCACAACGACGTCAAATATGTACGTCTTGAGTATTTCTGAAGCCGTCAAGATTTAACTTTGTAAGAAAAATCCCCCGACGATAATGGGTCGACGTCCTTGTTGCCAGACCAGCTCGAAGATGAGTCAAACTATCTCGTAAGACAGAATGCTTCTCACTATCGTTTGCTGCTGCTGGGTTTTTCAGAGACAACTCAGTCCAAGCCTCTTTAAATACAGTGCCGATATTCTTGTCGGGATTAACCGTCTTTTGAGAGATTCTGATGGCCGCAAAGCACGAGTGCACGACAAGTTCAATGACGGGCATAATCACATCCTCGCGTTCAAATGACTTGACCGATAGATCCATAGAGCCTTGATGCTTCATACAGCATGCTAGCATGGATATATTCGTCCCAAGTCGCGAGTAGTTATAATTACGACTAAAATCGGTGATAGATAGTTTCACGGTGAGTGGGTGGCTTTTGTTATGAATCGGTTTGTGGATGATGGTTGATGGCCATCATTAAAGACTGTGGTGACGGTAATTTCTTCCAATAAAACATGTCGGGATAGTTTCGGACTAGTTTAGGAGTTTGGGGCTTTGCGTCACCTAGAGAGACAACCAACCAACGACGCTAAACCCATTATTTTATCGATAGGCTCGTCCTCATTCATCCTTTCAATATATGTTATATAGCGACCTGGTAGAATCCAAGTCACCGTGAAATTGAATGAGTTTTATTGATCGTCATCAACAAGTCGTCGGGCCTTACATCTGAAGAGACCCTCATTAATTGGACCAAGACCTCTACAATAGGCGATTTACCAGCTCTCTTCATAGCATCAGCAATAATACGTGCTCTCAGTGGCTGTTTGTTCAATAACCAGTCGAAATGTTGAGCATTTAGCTCATTCACCATATCCGTAGAAGCTATTGGGGGAAAAGATTTCACATGCTTAACGGTAATCAACTGCTAATAATGCTCTCTTGATCCTCGCTGATGGTTATTTGACAGTTCTGGTTGATGTTGCTGTAGCTGGTTGAGTATGTTCTTGATGGCAGTTTGATCTGAACACGAGCGTGATTGCCTGATGCAGATGCGACTGTAAAGATGCTAGAGCAAAGTCTTCTGATCGAAATGTTGTCACGAGTTGCAGTTGATATTCCCTTCTAACGACGCGTCACAACACGCTCATAGCCCTGTAGATCACTGTTAAATTCGATGAATTCCAAACATCCAACACTCAACCCCAGACCGACCATAAGAGATGAGGCTAGAGAAGCTACCGGAAGCGGAGATACTGAAAACAGCTCGATACATGTTCTATGGTGGTTGGCTCTTCCTTCCTTGGCTGTGGTTGGTGGCCTTCATTTACATTCTCCCCGTAACGAGGAAGAGGCCTGAATTGAATCCGAGAATTGCTCAATGTACGAGGATTATGGATTATTCTACTTGCTCTTTGCTGTATATCTCTATTGCGTTGGATTGCACTCGTCTCCTCCACCATCAACCTCAAACTGACAACACATCCCAACTAATTTAGATGCTTGGTGGTCATTCGTGGGGTCTATGGTCTGGCTCGTAATAGCCCTAGCCTGGTTGAGCATATACTTGACTCAACGTGTAAAATGGGGTGCAGGAGGTGACAGAATATCAGTGTCGCTTCCGTATGGGAACTAGCTTGTAGTGTTTAGGGAATTTTGTGCTTTACTTCTGCTAGCCGGATAAGGACGATTAGTGTATTTATCTCAATTTAATATGTGTATAGTCCATCTTCCTCGTTTTTCATATACAGTACATATCACATATTTTTTGCAGTAGTCGACTTGCTTTTGGATGCATTGAACGGGAATGACCTCAAAGGAATGGAAGAATCTACCTTCGCTGTGAAGGCGAAAGTATTTGGTGTATTTGGTGGTCCAACCTTCACTCTAACGAAACCTGCACTGCCCGAAGCTTCGATTTGATTCGATACCTCGAACGAAGCCTCGAACTTGAAAGGGTCAAGAATGCGTGGAAGGGCATCGCTGTGATTGATAAAAGTGTGTCGTGTAGAATCAAGTAGTAGTGCTTACGAGCAGTAGTGATGACTTTGTATCAAAACGTAAATCAATATGTGTAACTAGCTCTAAAAAATCAGTTTATCCTATACGTAGGAAAGTCAAGATTAAAGTATTGGACTTTTTCACAAACTTGGCAGAGGTCTTTGTCACATCGTATCCGGCAGGAATCGTCTTTTTTAAAACTTCGTGGCCACCAACTGCTGACTGCACTTCTATTTCACGAGTACTCTCGTTAATCTCAAAGTCAATGTCCTTGGCAGAGATCTAATATTTGCAAGTAACGGTGTGAGATTGTCACACGTAGTTCTTCGATGCCAGTACACTCATACCTTGCCAGGAAAGATGATGGATAATTTCAAAACACCTCCTTGAATCAACTCTGTGCACTCTGGCACAGCAGAACGGGAGCAACTCTCCTCGACCTCTACATTAGATGGCGTCGATTCTACCACCACTTCATTTATCGACTCTTCCACCACTTCAGACTCTGGCTCAACAGCAGGAGCAAGTTGAAACCCTCCTTCATCACCAATGTTTAATTTAGATAGTCCAGCCAAAGCAGACAAGAAGTCTTCACCCTGAATAGTGTTTTGCGGATTTGGTCGATACGCATTTGCAAATGCACGGAGAGGTGGTTGCGGTTTAGACGATACTGGTTCGTTAGGGAGTTCGATTATCCCGTCGGCACCCTCTTCTTGTATCCCTGGTACTGGTTTGCCATACTTGTCCCATCCAAATGTTCCAATGTACTTGTCGACCACGACGTATTCTAACATGACGAGATGTTGGTTAAGACTTGGCTCCAGAAGACTAACGCTCAGACTCTAATGTACTCACCTTGTCGTTCAATATCAATACCAAACGTTTCTTTGACACAATTAAATAGCAAATCAACCAGCGATGCCTTGAATGGCGAGTTCTTCATGGCATTTTCAACGACTTTTGGGTGTACCACGGCGTCGTAAACATGGAATTGTTGTTTTTCTACGTGTAATACGTAGTGCGGTGAGTACAGAAGCTACTTCCAAGCAGCAGGGTGTATTGTACGTACTCGAGTTGACTTCCAAACGATGGCTGCCCATGACCACGTCTATGTTCATGTCGTCCCCATTGAGTTTGACATTGGGGGACGTACATATATTAATGTAATGCCTCCAGACTCCTCTAAGTTCTGGCCCATAGATACATTTTATGCAGAATGCGGGTATGACCTTCACTTTTCGTGGTTGTGCTGATGACGTAGCGACTTGAGCTTCTTTGACTGCAGTTGACATGGCATTTTCAATGAATTCCTTGTATTCCTACGTGAAAATTGAAGAATTCAGTCTGTTAACGTTCGTGGTTGCAAGCGCTATCGGTGCATTGATTTTGCACATTTGGACGATTAATGTTTGTTGATACCTTTGGATTTCGCTCCACCATCTGATCCAAGTATTTGAGAAACGCGCGTCCTTTAGCGAGAAAAACAGGATCGTCTATTTGATTCATTGTTTTCTATAGGTGTTTGTTCAAATCAGGACTGTCTACACACCAGTTTTTGTTTCAAACAATTACACTTCATCGTTCGCACAGATCTGAGTTGACTTACGGTAGTTCCAGTAGGGTGGTATATATCTACAGAGTAGCTAGCTCGACCAGACAGATGCCTCCTCCAAAGTCCAACTCCTTTAATAACCTGGCGGCCATCCAAAATGGAAGCGAGACACTTAATGAACAAATACTGCTTAAACGACTGGAGGATCGAGAGAATGAAGTCAAATTGGCTGCTGAAGCTGGTCTACTGCTTATTGAGGAAGTCGAACAGGTGTGATTTCAATCAAACATTAACCCAACATGAAACCATTTTGTTCAGATTTTTTCAGCACGCAAGAGATTGAGCTTCTTTGTATTGAGACATCTTTTATACCATCAAATAGTTACGGAATCGAGTCAAACTGCTCGAAAAGTATCAGACGAATGCTGATAGTCGAGGGATCTCCCCATCGCCTTCCTTTGATGAAATCAAGTCCTTAAAGTCAGGCTTCGACCACCTAACTACCTCCGTGAAAGGTGTCGTAACAAAGATACGAGGTAGCTCTGCAGACAGCACTCCTGTCGTATCGAGATCACCTTCATCGACAAACATTGGCGACCTGAAACAACCACCTCCCACTCCCATGTGGGGTTTAAGCACACCATCTCCTCTAGCTCCAGCAGCAGGTCCCGCTATAACTACTCAACCACAACCAACTGCCCTGATACCGTCACGCTCAAGTCTGAAACGAACTCAGACGGTGAAATATACTCGACCCTCATCGCAGTCTAACGATGCTCCCAGTATGGATGCAGCCATGTCGAATGCTATAAATAACTCGCTGTTGGAAGTCTCGAGAGCGCAACAGCTCAAGTTGAAGCAAACGGAAAAGCTGTGTGCTGAGTCGCAGGCACGAGTCTTGGAGTTGCAGGAGACTACTGAAATGTTCAAGCATCGATTGTCTAGAGCCATGAGTGACAAGGGTATGTGTTATACTAGTCGGTTGAATCTGTGTGCGAGCCTATGAATGACATTGCTTGAACAGTCGCAATCCCTCAACCTCAGGCTCTTTTGCTGACATACAATTCGCTCCTTTAGATCGAATGGATGCTCAAGTTTATGAATTAGAAGTACGAGTACAAAAGGCTGAAGAGCATACTGCAGAGCTACAAGCCAACATGACGAAGCTGTCTCATGAGAACTCTCGATTAAAAGCAGAACGAGTAGCAGCAGAGTCTCGAGTAGAGTCTCTACGATCATCAGAACAGCATCTTCAAGCTGCTCATGAAAAGCTCAAAATTAGCCTAGAAACTGAGTCTCAACGACATCGTTCTGCTCTCGCATCACTACAACGAGACAACAAAGAGCTTAAGGCCAAAGTAGAAGAACTAGCTTCCATGAAACAGGGCATGCAGAGTAAGCTGGAGCTGAAATCTAGTCCAGCGAAGACAAGGACAGATTCCGATCTTGATAATAGACCATCTACACCACCTGCTAAGTCAACACCATTCCGTACACCTAATTCATCTATGCCACCATCTCCTGATCGTAATGGGTTTATGAATGAGACTCTAGCTACGTCATTGGCATTAACTCAGACTGAATTGTCTGAAGCAATGACCAAGATCCAGTCTCTAAGTACCGAGAATGTAGAATTGGGTAAACTGTTGAGTGATGCTCAAGAAACTATAGAGGCATTACGGCACGGTAGTGGATCGCTATTACATTCAAGACCTACTACTCCTAGAATGTCACCTAGATCGTCATCACCTACAAAGAGTCTTCATCTGGAAATGCTGAAGGGGTTGGACGATGATGTCAAGAACAGCAATGACGAAGTGGCTGGATTGACTATGCGTAATGGGGAGCTGGAGAGATTGCTGCTCGAAGCTGAAGATACTATACGAGCATTAAGGTCGGTTGTAGAAGACTTTGCTGCTGAGAATGACGAAGATAAACGACCTTCATCACCGTCTCCATCTCCCAAGCATGATTTAATGATGAAGCCTGTCGTAGCAGATCAGCAAGTAGTGCAACTTGAACTCATTAGTAGTAGAATCCTCAACGCAGTTGAAAAGTTGAGTGAATCCAATAGTAGTGGTGTTGCTAACGACGATGATGTGGTGGTATCAGTTGACAGAGGTCAACAAACTGAGCCTCTACTATCAGTACTCGCCGCCATCGATAATCTGAATCCAATTCGTGGTCTGCCTGGTGGACACCTACGATTGTCAGATAACTCACCAACCCCTTTGTCTCAAGTTTACGATGTATCGGATACGGCAGTGAATGTGAGGCGAAGATCTAGTAATAATCTATTAAATCACGTTGAAACGGGTACAGATGTGCCTTCTCCCTTGTCCTCAAGTGAACCCGTATCATTCTCATCGTCGACATCATCCCTATCGAAACTGGCAGAGTCGAACGACGGTACTAGTACACCAACAGCTACTTCCAGATCCATGTTTTCGATCAAATCTCATACCTCTATACGGCAAAAGCAACGAGCACCGCTACCATGGCCGATGCCTTCCCGATTCGTGAATCAGCCGCAAGTGTCAGATGACGATGCCGCACTGAATTCACGTAATGGTGCCGTCACGCTTCATCCTAGTAGTCTTGATCATACAGGTGAAAACTCGACAAGAAGAGATCGGGAGAATGTAATGGTTGATTTTATGGAGCAGTGGAAGCGATTGGGAGGTGCTCCGTCTGAACGGACTTTGTTTGATGATGGAATGAATTTGAATGGTGCTTCGGCTGTAGCAGCGGGTCAGACTGTAGATGATGGATCTGCTGGGGCCATGTTTAAAGTTAATCCGGTTGAGTGTCTTACTCAGACCATGATTGGATCTTGGGTAAGAGCATTTTGATGTAGCAATACCTGGGTTTAATGGGGTGGAAATTGTTGACTCATTTTATTGCTTTACACTAGTTCCAAAAATATGACCGTCGCAACAAAAGGTCACATTTACGATTCGTTTGGGTAAATCCGTATTCTCGACTACTGAATTGGGCTCCTCAGCCTCCTAGTCAAGGTGGACGTGGAATCAAGACTAAGACTGGTATGTAAAAGATAAATGTCGCCGAACATGTTTGGCAATTCGTTACCGCTTTTATTTTGCTTGCCTGGTGACTCAATCTCAACTCTTGTCTAGCATTCATAACCGACATAAAATTCACCGGAACAGCACCGCCCGTCCTCCTCGAACCAAACCATCCACCAACAATAACCCACTCGATCGACATTATAACATCAGATCGTCTAATCCGACTCATACCTACCAACTGGATGGATTTCAGAATGTGGACTCAGGGTATCTCACTACTCTTGTCTCGGGCACGACAGGCTGCACCGCTTCACGAACAGTTCCAGATGGTTGATTTGGATGGCGGTGAACCGTCCCGAGAAAATAGCACTGTGGATGCAGATGACGATGAAGAGGAGGATGATGGTTCGCCGCCACAGCCGTTTAAAGAGGGTATTGTGCCTGCTGCTGAGATTGCTGAGATTGAGAATCTGAATAAGGAAATGTTACCACCAGTAATACCCAAACCACCGATAGATGGTAGTGATAGTGTTATTAGGACGCCGACACGTAGTAGTCGCTCAGGAACACGGAGATGGTCGTTTGGGAAGTCACCGTCGCCGCTAGCTCCGGAGGTGTCTGATAATAGTAGTAGCGGTGGTAGTGGTGCTAGTAATGGTGCTAATTCGTCGTTGGCTGTTATAAACGAGAATGAGGAAGTTAGCATACCACCATCTATTCTGTCGGATAGACCGATCGAGAGGCCATCTAGTGGTGGGTCATCTTCTAAACGGAGGAGTTGGGTTATGTGAGGAGAAGTAATATGTGTGTCTATCCATCGCTTGGTAATGGAATTGATATAGGTTTTTGTTGCACAAGTAGCTTTAAGTTTCTCATAACCCGTTGTTCCTACATGATATTCTTTATGTATATTATCTCTGTCACATGCCATTGTTACTATGTTTGTGTTGTTAAATGATTTACTGCCAAAAATACAAAAAAAAACGAGATTTGAGTACATAGCCAAAAAAATGTTTTGTTGTGTTGTGTTTAACGTAAAGAAAGAAAGAAATGTCCTTCACGCCGAGAACTGTGTGTCTACAGTCGACAATGTCCTAAGCGCCTCATGACTCAATCTACTTTTCCGAAAGACTTTACGAGCTGCTGCTGCAAAGTGTTTGGATGCTGGTGACTGTTGGTGGTAGCCGTTTTCGGTATTCTCCAGCGGGTTAGGTACCACGATACTAACATCGTCCTCCTCTTCCTGATGAGCTGCTGCTATTGTTGTTTTTGGCTGATTACGAAGTCCATCTCTAAAACCACTTGTCCCTTTCTTACTAGTCTGACTATTCTGACTAGAGATTACATCTGATGATGCCTCCCAATCATCCACCTCAAACTGTTGAGATAAAGAACTGCTCGTTGCACGTTTCAGTAGCTGGGCCGAGTTTGAGCGGACGGGTTTACTCTCTGCTTTCTCGTGCTCCTCACCCGTATCCTCCTCGTCATCATTATCTCTTCCTTCATAATCAGCCGGATCTTCACCACCTTCAGGTTCCTCCTCTCGCTCTTCACTCGAAGAGATGCGGCCTTTTATGGGTGTTTTTAACGGTAATCTCAAACTAGTCCTTGGCATACTACTATGGCGAGACTGGTGACTACATTTACGAGACGGTGTCGTAGCGGTGTTTGACGGTGTGATGGTGAATACCGAGGACTCTACTTTTGGTGTTGCTTTGACCATGATGTCCAACATGGGTTCATATTTCCTATATTTCGTAAGCAGGAATGTCAATTTCAAGCGTATTTGCCGTACGAGGTCGTCCAGAAAACCGGCTGGGCACAAAAAATTAATTATCAGATACGTGCCATGAAGACGACACCTCTGGGACTTTGGCCTGATATAGCTCCCTTTCCTTGTCCATTTCGACCATCAAATTAGCATCCTCTTCGCTGCTCTCTGCTAAAGTAATACCAAATGATAATACTTCGGCCGCTAGGGCATAGTCGACGTGACTACCCAAAGCCTCCGATACAAGACACGACGCAACATGCCGTAGTTGCAACGGAGTCTCGTAAATGGTTGACAAGCACTCCAGGACATTTATATCCTGTGTTTGAGCATCTAGATACAGTTTGGCGGCAACATGCACCCAGGCACATGCATCTCTTTTTTTGGCAAGTAAAGGAGTTGTATGGTGAACGTCAATACAGTATATCAGCACTGCGAATATAGTCTGTGTCGATAAACACGATTCTCGAATACTCGTAGTAACTCGTATCTGTTTTACTGTATCCGGAGAAGGCCGCTTTTCATATTCTAAAATTCCTTGACAAATACGTATCAATGAGTATCGAGCACGAGTATTTCCATCTACTGCAAATGCTACGACTCGTTGCACTTGCTCGTTAAATCGTTTTTTCGACGTCTTTGCGATGGTGTTTAGCAGGACGTCTGCATGGTCTTCCATGATGGATACAAGCAACGGGCCTGCGATTTTTAGAGGGAGACTAAGTTGGAATTCGTGGAATTCACGGGATACTATTTGGTTTGTGGTCAAGACCGTTGATAGATGGTGGAGATACGGTGTAGGTTTACATAGTTTGATGGCACGATCGTATGCAAAGTCATAATCTCTAGGTGTTCCTAGCGCGTGATGGTTTAAGACGTGGATCAGCAGCTCGTATCCCTATTGTGTGTGGAAGTGAGACCACAAAGACTGTGGGTTGAGCAAACATACGTGTACCTGGTGATAGCAATGGACTGAAATGCACGCATCTATGAAGCCTTCCAAAACACGAGGGAAACTCCCGAGGTGGACTAGACACAGCTGAGTCAAGTGCTCTAACAAGACCAGACTAATAAGTGTGAACAACATCGATCAATTTTTGAACCAAACAAGGGCGAAAAACGAGAAGGACACCAGTGGGTCATGACAGCATGCAGGGTACCTCCTCAAATGATATGGTATTTCCTCATACCACTCCTCCGCATCCACGACAGAAAAGCCGTCCACAGCCAAACGTCCAACAGCAAAAGCAGCCAAGTGACTCAAACGAGGCACAGAGTCCACATACTTTGAAACATCCAGTTGCGAGCTTCCAATATTCATACTGGCTTTACTAGCAGCTCCCATATCCAAGTCAGGGAAGCAGTCAGCACAAACACGTGCCATTAAATCCCTAAATGTATCTCGTAATGCCAAAACAGGTTTCCTAACTGGCGATGCGTATCCCGATCCAGAATCTGACATGCGAGATATAGCACGATTCTTGTAAGATTTATATGTTTTGATTGGCTTTCGAGCTGGATGGATTGGTTCCAAGTGATTTCCAGGTTGTTGCATCAAGGTTGGGATTGATGAGGGAGCTGCATCTGCAGCTGTATTGACGGCTTTCAAGCAGCATTGTAATTGGCGGAGGACTCGACGGATTTTGGAAGTTTCTTCAAAACCTTCCATGATTTGACCAAAATTGTGTGTTTGATGATGGGGGTGTTCCTGGATAGAAATAGAGTTAGTTGCGTTGAAAAGAGGGATCAAAGGATTTTATAAGTGATACTTTACCTGATCCAAATAATCCAAGCTCCAGTAATAGTGTCTTTCTTGCAGTTTCAGATGCACAGTTGTTTTCTCAACGATGCACGGTAGCTACAGAGGCGATCGATGTCGGTTAGAATTTAATGCGATGCGATTGAATATGAAATTCCAATTTTCTCGTAAGGACCCACTTATGTTGCTTTTTGGAGCAGATTGAAGGTAAGGAAACCAAGCAGCAGCAGAAGTTTGTCTAGAACGAAGAACAAAGAACAAAGCATAGAACTCGCGAAACTACGCGTTTGCCAGTTTTTTTTCATACAATTCATTCTTCTATCAAGACTGTTTGATACAAAGACACCACTCAACAATAGTAGTCCTGGTTTTATTTGTACTTTCGACGGCCATGCTCATGTATATCAAAAGACATATGTTTGTTCCCTCTGTGTTTTGCAAATTGGGTTGGGATCGGCTTTGGCCACATTGAACAATAAATCGCTCACAGCTTAGCTACCCTCAGGCACGGTTTTGTAGTTTGGCAGCCAGCCAATACAACCACTTATAAAGAAGTGGATAGAATATCAAACGCTTGTATTCGCATAGATAAAACCGGTTCAAACCGCAAAAGACTTGATCCAGGCCACAATGACGAGGACTTGCAAATGCATTCACAATTACGCCTGCGAAGGATTCTTTGGCACGATGGTAACAGCAAGACGTCTCGTGCGAACGGAACTTTATATGAGGCTCCCATCCCATTCTCTTGGGGCCTCTGACGAGGTGACAAGGCGTCGCAGCTCAAGTTTTTATTGGCTGAGAAGGCACAAACCAACAGCAATGAACGGGGTTTTGGATGAGAATCAACGTAAAAGTTGAGCCGCACCAAGGCTTGTTCATGTGCCAAATGATAGTCACTTGAGAGCAGTCCACTTGAGACAAGGCTTGATTCGAAACGAAGATACATAGGGAAATGGATGTTTAGACGAAAGTTCAAGTCACGCAGCAGACCAAAAGAGAGTGGAACTGCAGAAAGATGTGCAGCAAGTTCAAGGACCATGTCAGTACATACCAGTGGTGGTTCTTCCTCTTTGCTAGTTCACGCCTTGTCGTTTGGGTGGGAAGAAATGGTCGAGGCGGTGAGGCGGTGAAATTACCAGGTCGCCTTGTAAGCTGCTACCTAAGCGAGACGAGACGAGTACTGACGCGTGTACGGGGAGGCTTACAGTGAAAAAGCTATGAATTCCATGTCCTCTGAGCGGTTGGTCATGAACGTCTCGTTCCTTACTTGATGAAATTGGCAGCATTGACAGAGATTCGACGTGATAACGAAGATTTGTAAAGGAACTCGTCGAATAGACCATCTGGTGTTCCAGTATCTTCTATTTGAGTATCAAGAACGGACGATGGAAGAGTTTCAATCATAGCATTTAGTTGTCATAAACTAGTTGGTATTAATATGATTTAAAGAAATTTACAGTGATTACTACTATACGAATGATATTAATATGAGGACGAATTCCATACCATTCCAAACATCCCTTCACTTCTTTCTCGTCTGATTAACCAACGACATAAACACATGCGCCAACGTATTCTGGGCAATACTATAATCCGTCACACCAAACCCCAATTTGGCATCCTCAAACGCCTCAAAGACCTCAGACAATTGACTTAACGCCTCAGGACTGGCGGTATCAGATGCCAACGGCATCTCAAACTGTACCGTTTTACCAATGATTTGAGCTACCTTGAGATTCAGCTTTGGGGACATGGCTTGTGGGAGCGCTTTAGCGGATTCTGGGGATGTGGTTTGGACGGTGATTTTGTAGCCCTGGCCGTACAGGTTCTTGAGATGTTGGGGAGTGCCGAGGGCTGCTAGGTGGCCGTTTGCGAGGATGCCGATTCGGGAAGCTAGTGCGTCGGCTTCTTCCATGCTTGATAGTGAAGGAGAATAGGTTAATGCACCTGGGTATATGCGTACGAGAGGACATGTTGCAGTCTACCTGTGTGTGGTAATAACAATCGTAGCTCCTCTCTCTTTCAGATCGTTTATGGTAGCCCAAATCGTTTGCCTGACTTCAACATCCATTCCAGTCGTTGGCTCTATTGGTTGAATTGAAGTTACTGCTAAAGCTTGCATCCAAAATAGGACCATGAAAGGCTAATACCATCCAAGAAAAGAATCTCCGGCCTTCCAACCAAAGCACATCCAACAGATATCTTTCGTTTATTACCACCACTCAATTGCTTTGATCGTTTATCAGGTTCACTCAACCCGACATTTTGAATGGTAGTCTCTACATCTAGTCGTGCTTCTTGTGTAGAAAGACCCTTGAGTCTCGAATACAGCATGAAATGTTCACGTCCAGTCAAGTTTTTCCATAATATATCTTGCTGTTGGGTAACTCCAATGATTGCGGGAATGCGTTTGTCGAATGGTATGGCAGTATACGGTCCCACTGTAGCCATTCCGGATGTGGGTGGAAGCAAGTTGGTTAGGATTTTGATTGTGGTGGATTTTCCTATCGATAAATATTATAAAAATGAGTATTTCATGTATATTGATGACTTGGAAACAGGGACTGGAGCTCACCTGCTCCATTAATACCCAAATACGCAAAAGTCTCCCCCCGTCTGACAGACATATACAAATTCTTAAGAATCGTGGCAACCTTCCTCCCACTAACTTCATCAACTGTAGTCGAAGGAAACTCTTTACAAAGTCCCAGCACTCGTATGGCATCCGAAGCTACATCCTGTCCCTGAAGCAACCGGCTTCGTTCAGCAGCCACATCCGACTCCAGCTGATCAGCTTTATAGTCCTCCATATCACCATGCTGGACTTTTGGTTTGGCTGCAAGAAACAGGAATTGGCGCAATGTTTGGCCTGTAGCCCGTAAGTGTGATAAGAGGGCCACGATTCCAGCATAAATCAAGGCGTCTAGTAAGAGGATGAGGCATACTGGGAGCACGAGACGGCTTGCATTGAAACAGTCGGATATTGTATACGGGTTTGATTTGGCTGTTCCTGCGATTTCCTGTTGGGGACATTGTATGTTTAGTTAGTGATGAAACTTCAATTTAAGGGTGTCTGTCGTTCGTTTCTTACATCAATAGCTCGATAAAGTCCAAAAGTCGGAATGACGATAGTCAGGCCAAAAACTGTTGATGGATCAATAATGTTGTTTTCGAAAAAGTAAACGATGAAATATGGAATGAAGATCTGATGGAAGGATTGAGCGTCAGCAGAGATGTTAGACTTTTGAGTAAAAGTTGAAAACGTACAAAGATGGCCATACTAATGGAGAGAAACGGAGCAACTGTTGCTGATTTTTTGAAAAAGAACGAAACGATATACGCCAACCAGATGAGTGCTGGACCTGCACATAGCATCGGCAGAAACCACGCTAACAGCATATATGAAAGTTTAGCAACAATCCGTGTCTTCAACCATCACACAATGCACTTACCAAGAAAACTGGTAGCCATAAACGCCGGCAGAGCGAATGCCCTTATCACGATCAGAATCACAAATACTCCAAACACGTATACCAGTCCGTCAACCAAGAATGCCGATACAAAGTATATGGACAATGGTAATCCAGCGGTTGTAAGCTGTTGCTGCATTCCCATTTCAATTTCGTCTACGAGAACTCCAGCAACGAACGGCATCGTGAAACTCAGTCCGTATACAATGAAACTGGGCAGGATTCCAGCAGATACGTCAGAAGCTTTGGTCGACGCAGGGAGGGTGCTCAATGCTGCACGGGTATATAGTGGCGAAGTATCATTTGCGGCAGCTTGTGCTGCGATACTAGAAGCAGACACGAGTATCGGTAAAATGGAGGAGCTAGCAGACTGCGAGTATATCTAATAGTACATTTTGGTTGAATGGGCATCCGGTCTGTCAAGTACCAAGTCCATCAAAGACAACTTACCACTGAAGTAGCATCTCCATCCAAATAAAAGCCACCAGGCGAAACAGTGCCAGACGTCGATGACTTGTATCCCGAAGTTACATTCGAAGCATATGCAGATATAGAATCAAACGAGACAACCGTTAAGTTGGAGGGAGCGCCGAGAGCCATCAGGTAGGAGGTGACTGGGCTTGTGATGATGTTGAGTTTGCTCAGACTTGACGAGTCTGCAACGATGCCGAGAAGGGAAGAAGCGCTTCCTTGAGAAAAATCCGAAGCGACAATAGGTCTATTCGAGGTTTTGAAGTTTCAGATAGGCTGTCATCCGCTTCTTTTGGCCGACGTTCAAAGCGTTGATCTTACATGGCGGAGACGACAGCTAGTTGATAGAAACAATTTGGTTGTTAGAAACATGTCCTCGTCACATTCCACAAACGACTTCAAGGTGCTTACCAGTGCTTGGAATAGTATTTTGAATTCCTCTGCTCAATCCAGTGGCAATGAGTGTCATCAAAGCTGGGAATAGTGCACCAGCCAATAGGTATCTACTATCTTTTCTGATCAAGAGCAATCGCAAACCCATCATCACTGTCAATTGTCCAAAGAAACTCATCATAGGCCTAGTTATCTTGGCTAAATGAGGCTTTTCCATGACTGAGTATGTCCTAAAGAGTATTTTTCGACGGAAACGTTAGTAAGTTAACGGTGTGTCGCATTCGATATATACACGGTGGTTATAACACGTTTTGTTTTTTCAGCATTTGAGGTAAAGAAGACGACGTTTGCGGTATGATACCTTGGGCCAAGTATCAACTAAAAGATTGGAATAGAATTCAGTCCTTCTCGGACGGCGACCGCTTTGTATTCTGTCGAGAACTCCACGTTGACAAGTGCGGGGTTTGACCGACTTGCTTCCACTAATAGGCTGTGCCTCCACGTGCAGAAAAGGACTTATTGTCGCATTATAATATCGCTTGCCTGACAGCGACGAACACTTCTAATGTCTCCAATACAGTCGGAAGTGTTCTCAGTCAGCTTGCAACCGTCAAAGACAAAGCAGTTTGTTGCGCTGGTCAGAAAGGACTGGAGACTCAAGGTATGTAGTGAAACGGTTTTTATACATGTTTCCATGTGTGTTTACTTCTTTTTGCAAGTCTGTTCGCTATACACTTTAAGCCAACATCAACACCACATTTTTTAATTCTTCTCACATCTCTACTAGACACGTGAATGGCTCCTCACCTTCGTAGCCGTGTTTGTGCCATTGTTCCAGATGTCAATCTTGTTGATCTTACAAAGTGCATTGCTCAAACGACCAGACTCAAGTAGGCTTTTCGCTCTGATGGATCCAACACAATCTAACAACTCATGTCATAGATCCACAGCCAACCCAGTTCCCAAAACTAACGACACTATGCACCTCATGTGTCCACGTCGCATACGTGAACGACTCGACAACAATCAATTCAGTCATCACGCAACTACAATCCCTGATTCTCGCCAACGAACCAACAGCCGTATTCCAAGCTTTCGATTCCGAAACAAGCTTGAGGACATATCAGGTCGCAAACACAGTCGTAGCAGGTGTCGCATTTACAAATGTCAGCTCAGCTTTGACTGGTGGAGCTGGTCTCTCAACATATACCATATACGCCAACGAAACCGTGTTTACGTCGGGGTATGCCACGTCACGGTTTACGACGTTGCAGTTGTATGTAGACAGGGTGCTAGTGAATTTAGCTCGTAGTGCAAAGGGATTGGCTGCTTTGCCGAATCCTTTGAACTATACAAGTAGCGCCACTGGAATTACGTATACGTATGTAGCAGGTGCTTTAGCTTCGAGTATCGCTTATCTAGCACCGTATTATCTGGCGTTCTCGATGCAGCCAATCTCAGCCAATGTACAGATACGTCTTGCTAATGAAAAACATAAAGGAGTCAAGCCATTTTTGATACTCATGGGGTTGGACTCCACGGTTTACTTGTTTTCTGCATGTTTTTCGGAGGTAAAGTCCCAGCTACGCCCCAAGAAGGAGAATACATGAAAGCTGACAATAACTTGTCCCTCATAGTTCTGCTTTGCCATCCCAACAATCTTACTAGCCACACTACTCCTAACCGTGGGCAACATCATTATCTACTCATCACCACTATGGACATTCTTGTGTCTCTTCTTGTACCTCCTCAGCTTGTTATCTCAAGGTGCTCTCCTCTCAGCATTCGTATACAATCCACGGGTCGTGTCACTGTCATCGAACTTATTCATGGCTGTGAATTTGGTCGTCTATGCTCTGGGAGCCCTATACGTATGGGGACGACCAGCAAAACTAAGCTTAAGCTGGATTATGATGCTTCTACCAGGCGTAGCATTTGCACGAGGAATCGACATATTACAACAATCCGATCTAAATCTGGCTGGTATTACCTTATCTAACGTCTCAACCACCGAAATGCCCAAAGTGCTGGGTATGCTGACCCTCGATATTGTCATATGGTGGTTTTTGGCTTGGTATGTCCAATTGCGATACCCTGGCATGAATGGGCCAGGACTCAGTCGTACATTCTTCCTCTCCTCGGAATTCTGGTTTGGCCCTAAAAGTGACACGACATCCAACAAGGAAATGCCATTATCTGAAACCGTGTCGCCAAATATTGACCCAGTAGATTTGAGTGCTATACCACAGGAATCACGTAATATCGCAGCATTGTCTCATGTGGTTAAGGTGTTTACGGGTAGCTCTGATGACGAGGGGCAAGTGAAGGGAGGGATTACTCGGCTGATTGAGCTTTTTAAGGCGAAAGACGAAACGAGAGCCATTGATGATGTCTCGCTATCGCTTAATCAAGGTCAGATTGTGGGTGTTTTGGGCCATAATGGCAGTGGAAAGACGACTCTTTGTAATCTGCTATGTGGGTTGATGGTTCCCACATCCGGGAGGTATGAGTCGGCATCACTTTTCATTTTTTTCCTCATCATCAACCCCAAAACTTCAACTCAATCACAAAGTCTTTCTGCGGTATAGTGTATTTTGGAAGATCCAAAAACCAGACGGAACTTACAACATTCTCGATACCCGTAATCCGCTCGGGTTAAACGTCATTCGACAAAACTTGGGTATATGCACCCAAAAAGATGTCCTGTTTGATTCCTTGACAGTACACGAACACCTGGAACTCTTTGCCGCTGTAAAAGGAGTAAACGTAGATGATCTAGACGCGTACCTGGATGCGCTGATAGCTGATGTTGGACTGGAAGACAATAGTAGTAAGAGAGCAGCTGGGTTGAGTGGTGGACAAAGGAGGAGGTTGGGAGTTGCACTTGCGATATTGGGTAATCCATCGCTGATTCTGTTCGATGAGCCGACTACAGGAATGTGAGTAAACTAGCAGACTGGATGTCGTGTGTTGCTGGTGTCCTTAACAAAACGAATGATAGGGACATCAATGCAACACTCCATTTCTGGGAACTTTTACAAGTAATCAAAGCAAACAAGACCATCATTCTAACCACACACAGTATGGAAGAAGCTGAAATCCTCTCGGATCGCATACTGGTGCTTTCACACGGTGGTATCCAAACACTCGGCACCACATCATTCCTCAAGAAACGCTTCGGCATTGGAATGCATCTCGTAGTTGACTTCAAACAGGACAGTGAATCACCTATTCGAGAAGTCTTGGCCATTACTAACTCCCACTTCCCATGTACGCTTCTAATGTACATTTGTTTCAAAAACACACATCTGACTTTAACTCTCCTTTTTTTAGCATCAACAATCAGCAAATCAACTGCCAATTCTGTAACGTTTACACTACCGCCATCAGACGATACCAGTAAACAGATGCCGGCGCTGTTGAAGGAGCTTGGTGACGGCATGCGATCTGGTAAAATCAACAATGTGGTTGGGGTTGGTGTGGGAGGAACGTCGCTGGAGGACGTGTTTCTGAATCTACGGGATGCTGAGTCTCATTCTACATAATTATATCTAATTACTATACCTTTGTCATACTACTTATGAGCATTTAATTACACGCATAGTTTATTTCACATCCTCATACATGTCGTCGGCAGGTATATTTACATAGTCATATATGACGTACATCACGGAATCTAGTCTATCAACACATCATGCGCAGTTACCGCTGTTTTACATGGTCACAAAACCTCCTTAACACTGCCACCCTGTGAGTAACAGATCGATCTAAAATGCGAGATCGATCGCGCTAGACCCAATTTCGATCTCCACCCAAGACATTTATAAAACACGCCTCCAAACAAAACATGAAGCGTATGGACAAACTACGAATCATTATCGAGCTCATTGCTCCATTCTGCAAAAACCTGCCAATCAAGCAGTTTTGGAGCGTGGCGTGTTTAGGGTCTGAGTTTGAAGCTGATACACGGGCCATGAAACATCATCAGGTTGTCAGTCATCATATTCAGTGAGTGTTTGTTGTGGTGTGTATTCGTTTGAGGGATGGTGTGATTTCACGTTTCGTTTTCGGAATGGACGCACAGTAGGATTCAACATGTTGTTTCCAGTACTAAACGTTTTTGGGCTCGGTTGATAGAAATTTGATTATGCAATGGTCGCTCTTACAGTCAGCATCGCCGTACAAGCCGCCTGGACATGTTGCAAATACCCATTTCTGTGTGTTGTCATGGTGGGCGTATGAAGCTAAACTTGAATATGGCCAATAATTCATCATTTTCATGTCCATTACAGATATCTTATGCTTTGTGTCATTAGGGACAACATGGTAAACTCTTCCAAACATGAGCTCTCGGACGACATGTCTCGTGAAGAATTTGTGTTTGCAATGCTACGAGCTGCATCATCCTCTACCTCTCTAATCAAGAGTAATGTGTCTCAAGATGTCGTAATAAGGAGTCTTGGGACTGCGCTGGATGAGACTATTCAGCTTTGGATGGTAAGCCTCAACCAGCCAAGAAACGGGCGTATGCAGTAGTAAGGTGCCTAACACATTTCATCTCACATAGTACGCATGTCGATACACAATCGCACTGATTGAAGGCAACACCAAAATCCAAGACCAGAACTATGACAAGGCCTCCCAAGTATTCAGAAACCAACGCCGTGTCTCATCTGACACACGTGTTGGTCCTCGATACGATCTATGGGCTGCGATAAATGCAGACGAGTATGTGCACCGTGGTGAGAATCTCGGGAGAGAGATGAATGGCCCTCAGATGAATCAGGTACGTGTCTGAAGTGCGTGAAGGGCGTTCTCATAACGGCAAAAGCTTTCTGGCTTTTTTTGTCATTACAGATATGCATGCTGGACAATGCAGTCCCCAACCTAAACTTCGCGACAATCCTCTCCACCGCGATCCCTAAAGCCCAGCAGCACTACCTGCTTCACCGTGCACACACCACAGCTACCAACGAGCCCAAAACAGCAACATTCCTCTTCAAGCAATGGCTGCCAACATCCCCGTTACCCCATCACCAGACATTCACATCCGACATGGTTATCGTACAGCTGGCACACGATGCAATGGTAGTGGCGCTCATGAATCACATATTTGGTTCTCCACATTGTTTGTTGCCTGGGGTTGAGACGGCTGTGATTCACTACCTAAATATGCGGCTGCTGGGCAGAGATACGCTGGGTGTTGATCGGACGTGTGCGTGGAGGGATTATTATCAGTGTGTGCATTGTCATGGGTGTGGTGAGGATAAAGAGAGGTGTGTGGAGGAGAAGGAGAGGTGTGTGGAAGGAGAGTGGAGGTTTGGGGATGAGACGTTGGGGGAGTGGAAGAAGGCGTATGAGGAGGGAGTGTGGAGGCTTGCGCCGGTTGTGGTTGCGTAGTGATAGTTGGTTGTCTATAGTTAATTTGTCTAGTACTCGAGTGGTTTCGCATAGTAAAATCAGTAGTTTGATATAGATGGTGTTGTAAACCGAATGTTACAACGTTGGCAGTGTAAACCTCAATGGCCTTGTCCATGTTGAATTTCAAAATCGTCCACTTTTTTTGGTCTCGTTACACGCGTCGAACTGAAAGTATCATCTCATAACCCCATATGTAGTTTCAACTAGCAAAGTAGCAACAGTACACTAGCTATTCATCTATTCAAAAGCATCGCCCTTCTCCCTCAAAGCAACATCGTATGTACCTTGAGCTTGAAACCACTTGAAGACGGGATCAGCTAATTGCTGACGTGTTTTCACTGCTGTCTCGTGATCAATCAAAATGGGAGGTGTGGCACTGGCTTCTGCAAGGAGCTGGCATTGTGCTGCCTTTTCCATACTGCAGAAAAAATATGAGAAATGTGCGGGATGATTCATGACAAATACAAAACCGATGGGAACTCACGTAATGAAAGCTTGCGTAGCCTCATCGACTGTGTTTCCTACAGTTAGCAATCCGTGATTCTGCATGTTGAGAGGCGAAAGATATTAGTTTGTTAAATTACCGTTGTCGGGTCCCTCCAGAATCAACAGCACACGACAATGGCATAATGAAAGAATGGCAAAAAGCCCATTAAATAATCAGTCCGATACATACTGTAAGGAAGAGACCCAGACCACCAGCTTTACAGTTTGCCAACGTCTCTGCTATCTTTTCGCCTTCTTCGACGCTGACAACATTGGGGTCTCCAACGAAGATGTCGTGGCGTTCGTATATGGCACATGCATCCTGGGGTGTGATAATTTCGATTAGACAAAGAATCAGTCTGGAACCACAAATCGACAACCAAAAAAAGACGGAAGCCGCGTATAATATGGTTTGGTACCTGTGTAATGGGATCCAGTTTACGATGTAATGCAGCCCATGCTTTGCCATACATAGAGTGTGCATGGCATACACCGTGAATCTAACACACACCGAGTTAGCTCACGACAAGATTTGAAGCTGAACAAGCTGTACCTTTGGGAAAGCCTTGTGAATCGACGAGTGAATGACGAATGCAGGACCGTTCAAAGGTCCAGTTCCTTCCAATACGACTCCGTCGTGGCTGACGAGTAGCAAGTCCGAGACTTTCATCAACGAGAAGTGGGTACCTAATCGAGAAGAAGGTGTAAATGTATAGTAGCTGTGACGTATTTTGGTACATACCAAGTGGGTTGACCCAGAAGGCATCTGTAAGAATTGGATCACGAACGGTGATATGTCCTGCGTGATCTGTCAAGTGGATATGAGGAGGTCAGAAGGTGGGTTTGTTCAAACACGTTCGTCTTTGGCATCAAACAGTCCTTCCTGCCATGCCTTTCGTTCCAGAACATACTTTCGTCACCATATCCAAACTTGGCAAAGATTCTCAAAGACAAGACCAGTCTGCGTTTCCTGTGCAGACGTTCTTCTTCCTATGTAACAAGGTGTTCAAGAGAAGTGAGCAGTCCGTCTCCCGGGTAGTATGAGCAGGCACGCAAACCGAGTATATACCAAACTAGCAAAAGTAGGTGGTCTGGGCATTCGCAAGTTTGGAGTCTTGTTTCGATCAAAATGTACTCCGTATCCAGGGACGGTTACCGAAGGAGTTGTCTTCTTTGATGCAGCAGATACGGTATCGGAGCTTGCATCATTTACAGCGAGTCCTACAGCCAGACTAGATGCACTGGCAGTGTTTGATGTTGTGACACTCTGATGGTGTTCGTGGGTCTCGTTTGATGCCAGATGTGCAGCTAAGAGAGACAATCGGGCGCTTGAGAGGGCAGTGGAACTCATTATTTGTATAGTGGATTGCTCAATCTTGGTATGTAGTTTGTATGCAGTTAGTAATAGTAGACATGATGAAGTTGTAAAGAAACCCCAACATCATTCAGAGCTTACATGTATGGTTCTTGTTCACGTCGTTCAACCTTCCGCTCTGGATCAATCGTCGAATATAAGTTGTTTACCGCGATCAAATTGACTTTATAGCTCTTCAACCATTAAACGTGATTTGTTTTGGGACTAGTGTGTTTTGCAAAAAAAACTATTGACAATTCCCTGTCGTTTCATAAACTAGATCCAAGCTCATTCACTGGAGCCAAATATGAAGCCAACAAATGACGACCCAGCTCCAGCTCCTTCAGCAGGAAACAAGCGTAAACGAATCTCAAAAGCACTTCGACAAAAAAGTGTTCAACCAGGCCACGACTTGGATTGGACTACTGTACCAACGCCAGACGCTTGGGATTTCACGGACGGGGCTAATGAAGGTGGCTTCTTTGGTCTGGAAGAGATTGATGGCGTCGATGTCGAATACATCAAGAATGAAACTGGAGGAACGACCATACATTTCAAGGTTTGGCAACATAGCGGTCGCTCGAAGATAGAGTTGGATCTCCTTTTTAACATATTTTTTAAATCTGCTAGAAGGTTCCTCAGCCAGTTAAACCTATAGCAGAGGATCAAGACGAACCTGCTCACCAAAACAAGAAGAAAAAGGTCAAATCCAAAAAGAAAAAGGCAATACCCGCTAAACCACCATCAGATGCATCAGATCCTGTAGAATATATGGACGCGAATAGTTTACCGTGGTCTGAAGTTCACACTTCAGCTGACGTCTTTGCCAGTGCAGACGATTCTGGCTTTTATTGTCTAGAAGAACTTGATGGCGTCAATGTCGTCTATGAGGAAGTGGAAGGTGGTGGTAAGGTTGTCAAGTTTAAGGTATGGGTTGAAGTGATATCAGGATGTGATGCTGCACCATTAGCACAAAAAAAACTTGACATGTTGTGTCGTGGAATTGACATGTTCATTTCTTTAGGCAACTCGACCTCTATCTAAAGGGAAACCAGCTGCACCCGAAGAGCCATTACCGAATCCAGAGGACTTTATGGCTGTAGATGACTTTGAAGAACCAGAAGCTGAAAGTGCCAAGTCTAATCTTGTCGCTGCAGATGATGCAGATGAAGACGGTAGCGAGAATTGGACTGATGTTGACGATGATGAAGAACACGGCGAAACATCTGATGAAGAAGATGCGCCAGGAGCTGATAATGAGCAATCAGATGTGGTAACGAAAAGAGTTGGAGCATTATCTGACGAAGGTACGACTTAGCTCTTCTACAACATCCGCGTTTTGGCTTGCCTCAATAACGGCACTTCCTCGTCAGGTACAGATATGTCAGCATGGCTACCACTACAACTGTCTGCACCACTATTACGTGGTCTGCAAGAACAGAAATTCGGCACACCCACAGAGATACAGTCTGCAGTGTTGCCTATAGCATTGCAATCGGAACGTGACGTTATTGGAGCTGCAGAAACGGTACTACAGTATGAACCAGTTGTTTTTTTGCACCACGTCTGCTCACTTTTCCATACCACAAACAGGGATCTGGTAAAACACTAGCATTCGGCCTCCCAATCCTCCAATCCATAATCACCTCAACACCATCCATCCTCACGAAACGAGACAAGAATGCTACACTACAAGCATTAATATTAACACCAACGCGTGAACTGGCTTTACAAGTAGCTGAACATTTAAACAATGTGGCGAAAGTGAATACGCATATTCATATTATTGCTTTGGTGGGTGGTATGTCGACATACAAACAAGAACGGTTGTTGAGGAGTCGACCTCATATTATTGTTGCTACACCTGGTCGTTTGTGGGAGTTGTCTACCAAGGTTGGTTCGCTTCTTGCTTAATGGCTCGGCTTCTTGTCCCGCAACTGGAACTAACGTTTTCCCCATCACCAGGATGAAGGAATCTTGACACGACTACGCCAAATCAAGTTCCTCGTATTGGATGAAGCAGATCGAATGTTGGAAGCTGGTCATTTCCGTGACTTGGAGCATATCTTGAGAGCATTGTCTTTCAAGCGAAAGTGAGTATACTTTCATACGACGATATTCTTCATGTTGTTTTGCCTTTTCGAAATAGACCCTTAATTCTCTTCTCACACCTCAATTCTTGTAGAATTACCAATGACGTTGACTACACCGAGACCATGGATGTTGGCAGCGAAGACGATGAGGTCAGGCCGGCACCCCGACAAACATTTGTGTTTTCTGCGACGTTGATACAAGATGCTAGACTTAAACGTAAACTGAAAAAGTCGAATAAGGGGTCTTTTGAAGGACCTAGTATGAGTACGTATTGAATATGCATGCTTGCTGGTAGTTCTGCATTAAAATTTGTTGAAACTTTTTCCGAACAGAGGAACTACTGGGAAGATTAGAATTCCGTGATCCAAACCCAGAATATGTAAATTGCATCAAGTCAGCCATGGCCAAGAAGATTACAGAGACGCGTATAGAATGTTTATTGACTGACAAGGTATGGAGCCTCTGGCAAATCCTTTCTTTCTCCACTACACAAGACTATTTCTTACTTCAAACTTTTCATAGGACGCCTACTTATACTACCTACTAATCCGATACCCCGGCCGAACCCTCGTCTTCGTAAACTCGATCGACGCCATCCGTCGTCTCGTCCCCATATTCACTCTCTTGAACATACCCGCCATGGGCTTCCACGCCGAAATGCAACAACGCCAACGTCTCAAGAACCTAGATAAATTCATTTCGAATCCTAAAACAGTGCTTTTTGCATCAGATGCCGCTGCTCGTGGACTTGATATCCCACATGTGGAGCATGTAGTTCATTATCAGCTGCCTAGAACTGCTGAATTGTATGTGCATCGCAGTGGAAGAACGGCACGTGGAGATGTTAAAGATGGTATTTCGGTGGTGCTGTGTAGTCCTGATGAAGTTGGGGTTTATAAGAGGATTTGTCATCTGTTAGGAAAAGGTGAATTGCCACCAATATCAAACTTCGTGTTTTGCGCAGCTCTAACATCTCTTTGTTTAAATAGACGACATGGACCTGTTTCCAGTTGATCGTACTCTCATGCGAGGCATTGAGAAGAGGCTGCTGCTAGTGAAGCAGATCAATGATGAGGAGCATAAACTTGACAAGGTAAAAGGATTCTTTGTTGATTTTTCTTTTCGCTACGACATCTCACACCTCAACTATGCGAACCTGCCCATAGAGCGAACATGAAAAGAAATGGCTCAAGAAAACTGCTGAAGATGCAGGCATTGATCTTGAAGGTGGAAGGTATGCACGTTGTGATGAACAAAATAAGATGAATTCTCATTCAGAGAATACTCTCTCGTCATCAAGCACATCTAATCATCCACCATTATTACGAAGCTCTGAATCAGATACTGAAAGCAAAGCAGTTTCCAAGAAAGGTCTAGCTCGCAAAAGGGCTGGATTACGATCACTGCGACAGGAACTGAATGTCTTGTTGGCACAGCCGATACTTCCAAAAGGTGTATCGGGTCGTTATTTGACAAGTGGAGTTGTGGAAGGGTTGCCTGAAGTTTTGATGCAGAATGAAGGTAAGCAGGCTAAAAAAAGTGGCACGAGGATAGGCCAAAAAAAGTGGCACGAGGATATACCCAATGTCGTTTTGTGTTCACTTTTTTACTTCCCCCTTGACATAGGTACAAGCACATTGCTACCGACGATTGTCGCATCACGGGCTGTAGATGATGCAAAGAAGAAACATGCTAATAAGCAACGGAAACGATAGTCTTGTGGGATGGCTCTGTTGTACTCGTTTGGTTTGTTAATACAGTGGTCGTCAAGTCTGCAAATTTCTTTACATTGATGTTGACATGTTTGGAAGACACGTGGAAGGAACGAAGGTTTGATTCCAAGATTCAAGTGGTGCTTGGTTGGGGGGGTTTTTTAGGATTGTGCTGAATAGGAATCGTGAGGTGCAGATCAACAGAGCAGAAGCAGTGAGGCAGTAAATGTTGTCCAAGGACGATGAGAGTCAAGTCAGCATCTCGGCCAACAAAACAAAAACGGTTGCATTTGCCTTTATATGACAACCTTCAGCAAGTGATCTGTTGAAGAACCTACTCCTCACATTGGGTGTAGCTGCTCGTGGATTTGAACTTAGAATTGTGTGTTTACAAGAGTGGAAGTACGGCATGTGCAGATGTTAATAAAGATAGGTCTGTGCATCTGTGAGGCCATGATGAGATTGGAGTTTATATGACGAGTTGTCAGTTGTTTAGCAAAGATGATGCACGGCAGTCTTCTTGCTGATCCTAAAATGTCAAGATGAGATGAACCCTGTTTCCAGTCGATCGTACTCTCCTGGTGTGGTATTGAGAGTACATTCTTGGTTGTCAAGCGGAGCGGACTACGAATGAGGATCACCCATTTCTTCTTGACAAGGGGTTAGCTCTTTCTGGGGCCGCATGTTTTTTTTTGCTGGAAAGTCTCACAATTCAACCCTTAATTTGCAATACGCAGCGTGAAATTGAAACGAAGATGTTGCAACGTCCTGCCCACGATACAGACGTAGATCTTGAAGGAGGAAATTAAGCACGATTGATGACCAAAAATGTATACAAAGTCTCTTGATACATATTGTCTGGTCATCAAGGACTTCTGATCATCCACTCAACTCCTTATAGCTCATAGCTCTGAATCCAATATTGAAAGCAAAGCATCACCCCAGAAAGGTTTAGCTCGAAAAAGTGCAAGGTCGTTGTTCTTACGACAGGAGCTGAGTATCTTGTTTGCACGGCCAATCTCAGTAAAAGAGCCTGGGCCGCTATTTTAATTGTGGTGCTTTCTAGGGGCTGAAGTTCTGAGACAGCATGAAGGTCAATTTGAGTCGTAAGAACGAGACACAGGAGAGGTACAGGCACACCATTCTCAACATTTGTGGCATCACGGGTTGTATGATACAAAGAAGAAGCATGCTCATAATGTTACATTACGATTCACAAAACATTTCTTTTCGCTGACTCTTGCTATCTTGGTTAAACAAGAAGAAACAAGTACTCAAGTCAAGGTTCGAATTGGGCTATTGTAGCCACGCCAGATGCTTCGGATTTAACGGACTGTCCTAACGAATAGGCCTCTTTGGTGTGGACGAGATGCATCGCGTCAATGTCGAACACATTCGTCAGAAATGCTGAAACTGACACCACGCTATATTTCTCGTTTTAACTCAAGCCCACAGGCTTGATTTGTTTGGAAGAACTCCTGATTGTATCAATGTCGTCTATGAGAAGGGAAAAGGTGATAGTGTAATGTGGTTCAGACAGGATGGTTTTTTCCCTTTACTAAAACACTCACCTTCTGCAGGCACAGGTATCCTAGCATGAGTCTGCTGTACATACTATTTTACTCGCACGTCCAAGCGCAACTCCCTCAAAAACCCAGAGAAACAAAACCTTTGAATTTATTCTTCAGAACTAGATTACAAAAAGCTTTCCCATTGCGAGGGTCGAACTCGCGACATTTGCTTGACACAAGTTGCGTATATTCTTACACATAAGAGCAATGCTCTACCACTGAGCTAAACGGGATTCGATCAATGGGATTCAAAACCACAACTAGTCCAAAGCGACCACCTCCCCAGATTGATTGGATTATTTCGAGCTCACTCAAAGTACTGGAAATGTGTAGGACGATATTAAAACAATAATTATACTTTAAATGCCCAAGTATTAGAACACGAACACGCAGCTGCTTTGAAGGAACTCCACATCAATGTCAGACAAGCTGCAGATGTGAACTTGGTATCATTTATGAAGGCTCGAGGCAGTCAATTTGAGCTCTTGGCTCTGTACGCCAACCGTGGAGAGCTTCCCATTGATGGATCTCTCATATAGTAAAATCATGTCCGAATCTCGTGAGCCTTATACTCTGGTTGGCAAATATCTTCTAGTGAGTGATCTGCTATACAGTATCATCACGACCCTCAACAAGTTAAAACACTTGCGTTATGAGCAGCCCAACCAAGGATTCTCAGGTGCTGCACTACTGGCATCACTCATGTCTCAAGGGGCTATGAGTGCTTGTCGATTCGAGATTGAGGGTGGAAGTTGGGTCTTCTCTGTTGGGTCTTTTCTGGTGAATTGACTGAGGGCATTGTCGAAGAGGTCAGGAGTACTGCAGATGGTCGAAAAGTACCAAAGTCGAGTGGATTGTTGAAGGAGAGGGTGAATAATGTGATCAAGAAGATTGGTGTGTTGCAGGAGGATGTGGAATGCTATATCAGGTCGTCATAATAGGCAGAGTATAGCTGTTGTTTTCATAATGGACAACTTGTTGTTGAAAAGCTGGATAGAAATAAAGCATCGTGTTTCGATAATCAAATCAATCAAGTATTCACGGTTGTGTAAGTGATGCTCTCAATTCATTTGAAAAGCAACAAAGGTCGCATGTTGACGCTTAACATAACGAGAGAAGGGCTTGTTTCTAGCTGGATCATCCCAAGGAACGTTCCGTTTCTTGGTGTTTAGACGACTACAAGACACTCCAATATTTGAGCTCTCACCACCCACAGACACGTCGAGAGATTCAACGCTTCAATTTCTTGTATTTAATTCCATATGATTACTACTCTTCCAGCTAATGAAACCTCTCCGTTTCATATACACCAATTCGTAGTCGTCGACGCGTCACTTTGCTCCTTCCAACAAACTTGGTATCATTCGACAACCAGACAAAGGGACTCGCGACCAGAATATTAATATAATAATCCACACGCATTCATGGCTCGTCGATATGATTCCAGGACTACCATATTCTCACCTGAAGGTATGTTGAAAGGTATTGATTTAATAACAAGATGAGCTCTTTTAACTTGTCTACTGTATGTTTGCAGGTCGATTATATCAGGTAGAATATGCCATGGAAGCTATCTCGCATGCAGGAACAGCACTCGGTATACTCGCTGAAGATGGCATCGTTCTCGCTGCTGAAAAGAAGGTCACATCAAAGCTGTTGGAACAATCCGTCTCGCATGAAAAGATTTACTTGATTAACGAGTAAGCTTCTTTCGATTATTATCTGGGAATATTTATTACTCGTTGTGTTGTGGTGTGGGGTGTTGGTTCCCTTCGTGTGTGTTTGGATCAGATGGGTTGCGTAGTGTTGAATGAAAAAATGTATCCTCGCATACTGATATCATCTACTCTTTACTAGCCATATGTGCTGTGGTGTCGCTGGTATCACAGCTGATGCAAACACCCTCATCAACTATGCACGAACGCAAGCTCAACAATACTTGTTTACATACGATGAACCAATCCCTGTCGAACAGCTGGTTCAGAAATTGTGTGATTTAAAACAAGGGTATACGCAATATGGAGGTAATGTGTGGAACTCTATCAAAGTCGAAAAGCAAAAAACAGGTGGTATCTCTTGTTAAATGCCGTTACTCACAACTCACCATCACCATCTAGGTCTACGACCATTCGGCGTATCCTTCCTGTATGCCGGATATGACGCCCACTTTGGATTCCAGCTCTACCATTCAGATCCCTCTGGAAACTATTCCGGATGGAAGGCAAACTGTATTGGTGCCAACTCGACCAATGCTGCAAGTATCCTCAAACAGGACTATAAAGAGACTGGAATGACTTTGAAGGATGCAAAGAGTCTTGCTGTGAAAGTTTTGAGCAAGACTATGGATTCTACTTCGTTGGGGAGTGAAAAGTGTGAGTTTCGGAGTGCTGTGCTCGTAGAGCGATTTCTATACCAACTGCTATGCTTTTTTTCTCGCTTCTTGAGGAACTCACGTTCTTAATGCTCACACCTTTTGTGAACCTTCTTCTAGTGGAATTCGCTACTCTGCACCGAAACGCAAAGGGTGAAATCGTATATCATGCATACAAGCCAGCTGAAATCGATCAATTGCTCAAAGATGAGGATGTTGTTTCACTCATAAAGGCACGTCAGGAAGAGGAAAACAAGTAGAGATCTGTGAAACAGATTTATTGTGCATAGTAGTTGGCTTTTTTCAAGAAAACTTTGAAAGTTATATGGTGTTTGTGTCTTTTTTTGGAAGTTTGGATTGTGAATGGAGTTGCAAGTCTTGTCTCGTTTCAATGTTGGCATCAAGGCGCGAACATTTGGTTGGTTTTAGAGGGTATCGCTAGACAGTTACGTGTATGCTGCAGTTTTGAAGCGCAAACGACCAGTATTACGACACAACGTATGGTGACATCAACCTCAACCCTTACAGTGCCGTACCTTGTGAGCATGAACGGCCTTTGTGGTGGAAGGGATGTTGGATGGCTGAATGTGAATCGAGGATTGGAGGATTGCAAACGTCTAATCTTGGGTGCCCTGCAAGCTGAGCAGTTTTGCTTAATCATCTTCTACGACATTGCTTGCATTTTGTTTGCATATACACTGAAACTGCTCACTCTCTTAGCACCTCTCTTGAATCGAGCCCGTGCTCTTGAATGCCTTGATCGCATACCTGGTGCTGGTATGTCTGCTGCTCGAAATCATGGAGAGGGGAAGTAGCCAATGTCGGAGTTGGAAGAGGCGAAGGTGTCGCTATATCTGAAGATGCACGATGAAAGTAAAGCCATAAACGTTTTGAACGCACTAAGGCTCCGTCAACCACAACGACCTATATCACACAATGTATCGAAAGCCTTGGCCCGCATGACAGGTGAAAAGGGAAGTCGGTTGGATCTGGTGGCTGCCGTTGAGTTGACACCGAAAGCGCAAAACAGAGATATATGCAGCTATCAGATGCGGATACGCAATTCTCGGAGATATCAATGGTGTCAAGGCATGTTTAAATATTACCAAAGAGAGCACAGTGTCACTGAGAGATGTGGTCGCCTGTTGGTACCGAAGATTGGCAGGATGTGGTTGAGATGGCCAGGTCGAGTAAAGATCAGCCTCTTGATCCAAGAATCATTAATGCTGTAAGTCAAAAGTACGGTGCAGAAGCAGCCGATTGGGACACGATTCAATCTGCTATGCTGAAGGTGCCTTCTGCGACATTGAAGAGCTCCGATAGTTGGAGAATTGTATAATAATTTATAGTTTTGCATGGGAATACAAGCAATATGTACCGAAAAGATATGGATTTTCGATTCGCATCGCTGCAGGGCGCGACATCTGTCCCGAGAATAGGTAGTCAAACGCGAGATCTGGGTCCATACACGAGACGATATTGACGTCAATGATTTGATTGCGTCCAAGCGACGTTCCTTGACGCTGGCTCTAAGTCATCGGGAGCCCACTGTTTGTGCTATATTGAGTTGCGTCTTGTCGTTCAAAATGTTGGTACTCCAGAGAAACACACACATGAGGAGTGTACAGCAACCGAATGCTAACAGTATTGTAAAGATTGCCCTTCAAGATATTATACAGCCACGCCATTATGCAACTCAGTAAGTGATCGATTCATGGACGAATTAACATGATGGCCACAAACCACTGCCAAAACGAAAGGGGAAATATTTGAACACTTTATCAGCTGGTAGATTCTCAAGCTTATCTTCATTTTTCAGGTCTGTCCGGTCTCAGGTCCCATAAAGCCCCAACGTCGTTTCGCAGAGGTTCAGATTTCAAAAACCGGTATAAACGGGTGATGAGCGTGTTTCGACGTGATATTTTGACGCTATTGGCATAGATCTAGACGCATTACTATCAACACACTACCTTTTGCCAATGCAATGGATTTCTACATCATTCGTCCACACTCACATGTTAAGATATCACATTTTCGTCGAGCTCATCAAAAACAATATAGAAGCCATGTCAGCAAGGAGAGCAGTATCTAGCATCGCCACAGCCGCATCCGCATCAACCAGTAATCATGTTCGTCTTCATATCAAACTGCCATCCAGAGGACTGGCAACTACAGTATCATCACCATCAAGGTCGTCTTTCCATCCGTCGACACGTATAAAGCAGGCATTATTAGACAAAGATACACATAGAGCCTGGAAAATCTTTTCTGGGATAGCGTCTACAGATATGGTGACGGAGTTAGATGCCCGACATTTCGACTTGTTATTGAACAATGACCCATCAAGAGCACATATTATAGCTGATGCTATGGAGAGGGCTGGTAAATTGCCTACTCTAGATGTGCTCGTGAATATGATGAAGGTCGCTTCCGATGTAAGTATTGCTGGGTTGTTGTAACAAGGACGAAGTTCAATTTTTTTTAAATGTGGAAAGCTCACATATACTCTTGTTTTCAGGAGGGCAACGTGGCTTCCACCAAGAGGATATACAATGAAATAGCATACATGATCCGTAGCGACAGATCCATAAATCCACGAACGGGTGTAAACCTGCTAGTCGCATGTCTCGCCAGAGCAGGACACGTACAAGAAGCTCTAGACACGCTAACGACCCGTAAATCCATCAAAAAGCTCACAACCATCGAGTTTTACAACTGTATCCTCCTCCCACTAGCCCAATCCGGAAACGTGACCGAGTTCCAACACGTTAAAAAGATCGCACTCGATAACGGATGTAAACCATCACTCAGCACCTCCTTTTACGAGCAAATTCTATATATGAAGCTACGGGACTATAACGCCGTGATATCCATCTTGGCGTCTGTCGCGCCCAAAGACAAGAAGACGAAACTACCGCTAGGGATGGAACGATTAGCGGTCGAAGCACATATAGAGCTGGAACAGTTTGATGAGGCCAGACATATAATCGAGTCGTGGAAGGATGCCGATTCCAACTGGGCTGAATTGGAGGAGGCCAAGGTGTTGATGTATGCAAAAGCACGCGAGGGTAGTAAAGCTGCGGGTGCACTAGATGCGTTACGACTGCATCATCGAGACAGAGGGGTAACGGCCAAAGTTGCAATGGCGTTGGCGCGTATGGCTGGTGAAAAGGGAAGCAGCTTGGAAGTGGTGGCTGTCGATGAGCTGACGTCCAAGCAGCAGAGTCAGATGTATGCTGCTATTAGATATGGCTATGCGTGTCTGGGAGATATAGATGGTGTCAAGGCATGTTTGGAGGCCAGTAAAGGTAGTTTGGCAACGCCGAGAGATGTGGTGAGATTGATTCAGGGTGGTACGGAATACTGGCAGGATGTGGTTGAAATGGCCCGATCAGGGGATGAGCCACTTGATACGAGGATCATTGATGCTATAAGTAAACAGTATGATGCAAAGGCAGCAGATTGGGTCAAGACTGAATATGCTAAACAGTCTTCAAAAACAGTGAAGGGTTCAGATACTAGTAGAGCCCAACCATCAGTATAATTAGTTTTGCATGCAAATACAGTTGTATTTAATACACGGAAATATAAACATTTTGAAATCAAAGATTTACGTATGTACACACAAACTCATTTACCAACTGTTGCAAATCGAGAGCTATAAGTGGTATTTATTCCACTTCCACTAGCACGAGCAAACTTCAAGAGCAGCACGTCTAGTTTCTTCTTATCAGCTGCTAGATCTTCTATATAGGGGATGATCTCATCCAATGTCCACCGTGCTCGAGTCGAGAACAGGTACTCGAATCGAGACTTGGCGTCCATGGATGATACGACATGTTTTGGGTAGTATTTGAGATACACTACTCCCAATGGTGTAGTCTCCTTCAGGAAGGAGCCCTATGGTCGAGAGATGTTGATGAGATGAGCAAGAAAAGGCCATGAGTTGAACGTAGTAGATGCAGGAACGTTTTGGTCTTTACCCTCAACAGATCAAGTGACACGTCTGTCAGATCCAAGACACGCTCCTTCCAGGCTTCCATGAAGTCCTCAAGTTGCCATTGCTTGGGCTGTATGGAGTGGCGTCAGTGTTCCTCTACGAGGTGACCAACTCACTGCAGCGTTTACACATACATGAGCCGAAGCCAGCAACTGAATTCCAAAGAAGGTAGATATCTTGTCCTTTGATAGAGTATAGCGTTGCAAGGCCACTAGCAAAAATACCCCTGGGATGAGCGTATGCTGCGCGAGACATTATGTTTGTATCAACCGTACCATCCACTGACGAAGAAAACGAATCCAAGATATGGGCCAGCATATAGTCTGGCACATCGTCTTCCGCCAATTCTTTCGTGCAGGTCTGTAGTGGCACACATGACAAGTCCAAGTTCTCCGATACAACCGTGTTTAGTATCAATGAGAGGATTCGTTCCGTGTATTCGGGATCAATCATTCGACAGTATCCTGAGAGCAGTTGAAAGATGAGAACATGGTCTACGAGGTAAGATCGACAGGTTACTAACTTACCATTGATTTCTGTAGCATGTAGATCCTTCAATCCCCTTTCAATCTCAGAGTGACTAGCTTGTATTGTTTCCATGATTTGTTTCTTTATGAAGAGGGTTCCAGCGTCGTTCTAACAAAAACAGGAAGGATCACTAAAGCCATCGAGCACAGCGTCTCGCTTCCAACAAAACTTCTTCAGACACTCTACCTCTTCATCCTCAGGCCCTCTGAAAGCAGAAGGAATCAGCATATCACGTAATCGATCCAACCGTGGCAAAACTTGAGCTAGCTCATAATACGAGTTGAGCGAGTCCTGTACTTCATAGACAAGACAATCCTCTTCCTCTATTCCATCCAAGTGTTCTCCGAATGAAGATGCAGTCATATGAGTTGGAATGGCTGGTGAGGGTCTTGCAATCAGCAGGGTGTTTGAGACTTGGACATCCTTTAAGGAATGTGTTGATGTTGCTGTGCAGAGCACTGCTTCGTCGTGTGGATGTCCTTTTATCAATAGACTATGATATATAGATAATTCAGAATTAAAATCATGAGGAATCTGATTGAATCAAACGGCACTTAACCTTGTCTCATTTGCAGCTCCAGGTGGCGATGATGATGTTGATGCGAATAGATCTGCCATCTCTTTTGGCAGTTCAACGAGTCGGTAGCGTCTAGCTTCAAAGTCAGAAGCAAAATACAGTAAATTCATTTGTCCATGGCCCGTCATCGTCGCTACAAGTCAATACACAAATGAATCTTTCAATGTCTGTCAGCCCTCAACGGTCAGCTGGGAGCGGTAAAGAACTAGAGAAAAGCTTAAAGATCGTGCCTGCTTGCGTTCGACGCGTATTGACACGTAGACCATAAAGTTCCAGAGCTTCCAAGTATCATATAAAACCCAAAACTGCCTTCTGTCAAAGCATCCAACAAAACCATGACGACGATGGACACTGTGACAGCTTGGAAGTTTGCCATTGAAGCTCTCAAGAATGGAAAACATGATACTTATGTAACAGCTGCTTTAGAAGTGCTCGAATCCTCTCATTTGGAGTCTCATTTGCTCGACGCGTTTTTGGGTATCAAAGCGATTATTGTTATTGTAGTTGAAACTTACTAAAGCTTATTTTTTTGGTTAGAGGATGTCCAGAATACGTGTCGCAGTAAGATTGCTGCATTCCAACTCGGACCAGTGAGCTTGAATTCGCTGGCATTGATGTTTGGACATTGTTTTGACCTTGTTCCTATAGGATTCATTGGATGCATTTCAGAAACTACTTCTGGACTTACACGATTTACTGGATCATTACTTGCACTGTTTGAACGCCTGGCCAAAGTATGTATCGTGCTGGCCAAAACAACGAATACACATCGACTAACACCTCGTTGTTTCTTCTCTAGCCCTACGGCATCGCAACGGCTATTACGAGCATTTCGTGCCCAAGTCTGTGTATCAATGCCATTAAGCTTCCACGAACTAGCTCGGATTTACCTGAAAAGGTCAATCTCGATGGCTGGAAGATTAGTATGGGCTCAATCAACACCAGGACTCGAAACCCTCCTAAAACGCGACGAAACAGTAACCACCAACGCACCACGATCCTCACCAATACAACCGCAATCTGCCATGTCGGATACATTCGCACCATCAAAGAATCGACACCCTCTAATATCCCTCGCCGACGTAGAATTCGAGGACTGGAGTGTCTTTATCAATACCGATAACGAAGAGGAAGACGTAGATCCTCAGTCAGCATACGCATTCATGGAGGGATTTGTCAAAGTGTGCCAGCACGTATCCATGCTTGGGTTATCGGACATTGTGTTTGGGCAAGCAGAGACATTGTTGTATTCGTATGTTGAAGATCAGGCCGTTAATGTCTGTGGAGATGATTTCGAGCGGGCATTCTTGAAGCCATGCTTATGCTGGTTGGCAAAAGCTATATTGCCATGGTTGGAGTTGCTTGTTGGTGGAAGGAAAGGTAACACATTGCCACAAGAGTATGGATTTTTCCCGCCTCCACTATTAAATCCACTAATAGGGATGATGACATTAAATCAATGGCAGACACGTTTGGAAGACCACGTTTATCGTGTATTCTGTGATACATTGTGAGTGTGGCTTAAGCGAAACGAGTCTGCATCTACGACACGAACCTCAAATCATATTCCGTCTCATTTAGAACACGAAAGCTATTCGATATAATAGTTGCGTATCCAGATTCCCTTCCAGCCTTAGAAGATCTCAAGGTATCATCAACGTACCTGTTCGTTCAGGCTTGAGAAAATCTTTCATAACAGTCTTTTTTGTTGTTGTAGGCATGCCTCGCCAAGACAGATCAAAAATGGGCTGTCGGAGAAGCCTTTCGGACTGCGTAGGTGTTCTTCATCGTTGTTTTCGATTTCCCCCTGTCCTCATTTTGGTAACGTCGTTAGGACTAGAGGTCGTTTACTTCATCATGGCGCTTTGACTGTCGACATTCTCATGCTATATGTCTCAAGTATCAAGTGTCTGGACTTGCTGGATCCTTCTGGTCAGCTCGTCAAAGTCACTGATCCTATACAGCAATACCTAAGGTAAAGAACGTATTCCTTTGCGTTTTCATTCAGAGTGATGATTATCTGAATACATCTTTTCAATGCTGAAACAGAGGTCGTGATGATGCAGTGAGATCCATCATCAAGATTCTGTTGGGAGATGCAGACAAGAGAATGGATTTGGACGAACCACCAGGTGTGATTGTTGTCTGCGGGGGCCTTTTTTTGCCAACTCTGACCTTCCACTGATCTAAAGAGTCAGATAACAGCGAAGAGCTGACCAAGTTGGTCGAAATATACGAAAACAAGGAAGTCTTTGCCAGAGAATTCCAATCCATGTTGATGGAAAAGCTATTGGCAAAGACGGATTATAACTTTACTGATGAGGTAGATTGAAATATGGTTCTATAGACTATCCGCCGTATCCAAATTGTCGTCTTTTTTGTCATGTAGGCTCAACAACTCGAGTATCTCAAAGTCAAGTTTGGAGAATCTGCCCTGTCAATGTGCGATGTGATGATGAAGGATGCCATGGAATCCAAACGCGTGGATGCGTTGATTCATAGTGAACATGAAACTCTTCCAGTAAAGAATCACATTTTTGTTTCTTTGGTTTCTTTGCTCTGGGCTCACAACTTGTCTTTTTAGAATTTGCACGCGATGGTTTTATCTCGTCTATTCTGGCCAAAGTTGCCGTCAGAGACTATGGTTTATCCACCTGAGATTCAAAGGTATGCACAACCAAAAACTTCGTTACTCACAAATCGATTAATGCGGTTTTGCGTAGACATCTCACCGACTACAGTAACGCTTTCGCAATAACTCGAACTCCGAAAGAGTTTCATGTTGTGCCTGCTCTTGGTACAGCAACACTAGAATTGGAAGTTTCAGGCGTAACACGAGAATTCGTAGTCCCTGTTCCTGTTGCTGCTGTGATTATAATGTTTGAGGAACGAGGTACAGATGCGTCACTACGGTTTAGTGTGACTTTTTTTCTTCGACACTAACACAATCTTCCCTTCAATATATCAAGATCAGTGGTATGTCGATACACTGGCAGCACAAATGGATGTCGCCCCAGGCTTTCTACGAAGCAAGCTACAAGCTTGGGTTAGTTATGGCGTGTTGGAGGAATCAGAACACGATTTGTATCGGCTTGTTAAAGCTAATGAAGGAGATCCTGATGGTATTGTTTGCTTGTAACTGTCTTCTAGTGTGTTTGGGATTTACCTCACCCTATTTTTGGTGGTCGATAGGTCGAACATCACCAGAGCAAAACATCACATACACCGAAGATGATATGGATGTGGAAGCTGAAGAAGAAGGTGATGATTTGCCACCTGCTATTGCTGGAATGGTTGCTCGTAAGTACTGTTTGAAAATTGTTTTGATATTTCCTGCGAACGCCTTTTTTTGCCATTAGCCATGGTGAAAGCAATCCTGACAAACCATGGAAATTGTGATGTCCACAAGATTCAATTCCATATCAACAATGTGCTTCCCGTCAAGCTCACTGTTGAGATGCTTAAGAAGCAATTGGACAAGATGGTGGAAGACCAGTTGGTTGATGTTAGTGGGATCTCATATAGTGTCCGAAGGTAGACTTGTGTGCGAAGGTAAACTTGTGCGAGAAGTGAGACAGGAACGATGCACAACTTATTGGCTGTTACTACTATGTGTGTACATTATTCATCTAAAATATATACCAAAATGAAATATAAATTAACTTGCCATCCAAACAACTTATGCGAATCATGTAGTAATGCCCTCCTCCATCTCTTCATCATCCTCATCTTCGTCCAACGATATAGGAGGAATGACAATATCATCATCGTCATCACTCTCTCCCTCATCTTCAATCATGGGTCGTTTCCGTGAAGTTTGATCCTGTGGAGTTGAGAATGATGACGATAACGGTGCTACTATGGGGTTCTCAGCAAATGGATGTACATGTTTTTTTGCTACGATTGCTTCAAAAGTGGCTGTTGGTTGTTTGTTGAATGGAGACGTATCGGTGCTGCTGCTTGCTGGCATTATGATCGTGTTTGATGTTGGAATGGTTGATGTATTGGGAGCCTAAGTAAAATCGATGGTGTTAGAAAAAGTCGTGCAAAAAACCCTCCTTCAAAGAAAGGCAATACCTCTGTGGATCTCATCACCCCACTACTACTCGAAGAGGCCTCATTAGACTGCGTACTCGCAGCCCATTTAGACGTTATATCATCAAAGGTCTTTAGCATTTCTCGCTTTTCGGGGGATAATGCAACCATTTCAGTACTTTGCTGCTGTACTAGTGCTCTCAGTCTACCATCGTCTTCTCCTGCTTTATGTAGCTGCATGATTGGTGGTCCTTGTTGCAGCGGCATTGGTAGTTGACTTGTATAAGAAGCGCTGCTTCCAAACACATCATGTGCACCAGCACCGATTTCAATTGTACTTTTTACAGCCGTTGTAGGAACTCGAGGATGCATTATTGTTTCACAAATTTCTAAAGCGTTTATGCATACGTTCTTGACCTAAACACATGTTAGAAACAAGTCAGATGCAATGCTAACAATGCTCCCATCTTCAAATCTAAGCCAAAAAAAACTTAAAGACACAAAATTGAATCGTATTTCTGAACTGACCTCTTCATCTCCACAATTCAACCCATTAGCAAGCACACGAATAGTAGCAGACAGCCGAGACATTTGCAGAGACCCATACAGGATTGAAGCCAAATAGCACGAATACATTGCTGCTGAATGTGATGCTATCGGTAGGGCATTTACTTGCTGATGTAGTATGTTCCCAAAAAGCGTATCCTGCACTGCTTGACGAAGCTGTGGTGATATGGTTGTGCTTGATTTTAGGAGTGCTTCTAGTACTTGAGAGAGAGATGAAGCTGTGACGTTAGCGTCTTGTCGCCATTCCTTATTTTTTTGTTCTTGACTGAATGTCGCCAACAGAAGGAAGGGAGAGCGTGGAAAGAAAGCGATCAGTCCCTTAGATATAATAAAAGTTTGGAATCATAAATTATCATGTGAAACACGGATATAGAGTCATCATCTCGAATCTTTTCAGCTGTCCCTTCTTTCCTCTGTTGACAACAGTGACAAAAAAGCACTAAAGGATGGTCAATACTCACCAGATACGGCGAATGTGGCATCATTATCTTCATTCACAACATCAGAATGTATCGGAACATCACCAACCTTTTGTCGTTTTGATGCCTTAACGTCGAGAATGAGAGTATTAGTCGTGTTCATGAGCCAAAACAAAAAACCGTGAAGCAACAATTAGCTATGAACTCGAGACACTCACCACACGATTGAATCCATGAAGAGCATGTGCAGCATCCACACTATACAATCCACGAATCTGAGCAACAATGGCCTCCATGACCTTGACTTGCACATCCTTTGGTGGTAGTCCAATAATGGTGATGCACTTGGAAGCAGCTTTGTGCCATTGTACTGCCAGCATCCTAAAAAATATACCCAAAAAAAGCAAATAAGAGAGTTGGTGACATTGGCTTACACGATCCCAGCCACTTAATCATCAACATACCGATTCTCAGCAGTATAACCCCATATATGAGACATGAATGTCCACATAGTCTCATTTCGAATATGCATCATTGGAGTCAGTCTAAAGAAAGGCGGTTAGGCATGTCTTGCAAACGGAAGAGAGTTTCGACAGCCACCACGTACCTCTTAACACAAGTTTGCACTAGATGTAACGCTTCCATGTGAAGAAATGGTAACAAGAGACGCACAATACGTTTAGCTGTCTTGCTTGCCTCCCTTGACATCTGAAAAAATATCGAATGAAACGCATGAGTTACAACGAACAAAAAAGTGGAAAAACGAGATGCTATTACCATCATGGCATCAGCTCCAGAAGCAACTCGTTCCAACAGTCTCATCAAGTGCTGCTCTGGTATAGTGAGTTGTCTGCTCCAGCTTGCTCTATAGAGACGAAGACAGGTTAGAGCTTTGTTGCTGGTGAATCATCAAAACAGAGCTCGGCACTCACAATAGTGAGACTCGCAGCACTCGAAGCAGCATCTGAGCCCTTCGAAACAGTTCAGTATACACAGTGAATAGATCCTCATCACCAGATTTGGGAAGCGGGATGTTCAAAAACGTTGATGTGACTCCTATCAAATTGACAAAAGAAGATCAACACAAATCAGCACTATTGGAGCTTCAGCATCACCCCTTACCATTCACAGCACCATTAATATCAACAGCAAACATCTTATCCAATATCAGATGTACAGTCAAAACCAACCCATCCAATGGCGATTCAACAGCATCACCAACAGGTTTAGGTCTCGTGGTACACCACAACTTTACAATCTCAAGTACATCATCGGATGTACTAGCTGTGAAGCCATCAATTACTCGTCTCAATAGTTCTTCGGCCCTGTCTCCGTGGTTGCGAGCTGCAGATAAGGCAGCAGAGGTAATACGATTTAGGGATTCGAGGGCGTGACTCTATTCAAACAACATGGGTCAAAAAAGGAAAATGAATTGATTATCCATACAGTAAACGTACTCGTAAGGCATGATGATGTGCATCCGCTATAGCTTGTAAAGCAACCAATATTTTAGGTATTTGCAGTCCAGTGAGTTCTCGATTGGATTCAGCCATCACGGTGCTTTCCACCACGAGATCCGTTAAGGCTGACATTGCATGACGTTGCAGTGGTATAAGAGTTGATTTCTACATTTAGAACACGGTTAGGTCGTCTTTCTTCTGAGGCTCCAGGTTTTTTTTACGATCCACACAGTACTCCTTTTACCTGTATAGCAGATAACAGATGACTAGTCCAAGTAACACCATGTTTCTTCAACAAAATAGATGACTGCTGCACTGTTACTTGTATACAACATATAGCATCAATCCGTTGCTTGACTGATTTTTGTTCAAGCAATGTTGAAACCCGTAATCCCCATCGTGTCAATGCAGATTCAGCCTGCTTGGGCGACAGTGTACTATTGCTATTCTTTGATGATGATAAACTGCCACCATGATGGCTTCCAGTTGTAATGCTGGTTGCAATAGCGTCTAGATGCTCCAATGGCCGATGTAAATTTAGGAGCTCAAACCATGATTCGTGAGCGAAATCAGAGAGGGTCGATGTTAAATTTGATGCTTCTTTGGTCGGTAATGTGCTTAATCTGTCGAGGATGGTGGTTAGAAGCTCGTCTGGCTCCATTTGCGTTCTTGGAGCAAAAATGAAGAAAAAAAGCTTAAAAAAAGGAAGAATTTATTGAAAACAACATCAGGCAGTGCTTGACTTTCGACGTGTTTGGTAGGCATGGATCAATAAATTAAAATAACATCCTGAACGTGATCTCCACACTTTTCAAACTTGTATATTTTATTTGACGTGAGTATGATCCAACAATAAAATGGAACGAGCCAACCTAAACCTTTGAATGCGTTATTACACTGATCACACAGCGCGCTGCAAGTCTCGATCCTCTTTACTACAACCCTGTGACTCGACAGGTAACCTCTTGCCTCTGTTGTTCTAAACGGTGATCACCAGAAGGAGGAGGCATAGCAACAGGTGTTTTAGCAGGCCCAATATAAACTCCGTACGGTATTGTTTCACTTGAGTATTTGGTTTCGACAAGGTTCCTGAGGAAACTTGGATAGCAAAGAATGAGTCACCATAGCAACAACAATCAGTGTTCAAAGAAAGGATTCTAAATGACTTGATTTAGATTTCACCTCAGCTACAGAGCTTGTTGTGACAAGTTTCTTTGTGCCATCCATGCTTTCAAAGCTTAGATTACGAGCGTCGAGGGTCGTTCAGATAGAATCAGTCAACACTTGATCATCGAGTGATACCGACCAATTCTTTATTCTCATTTTCACGGTCTTCTGAAGGACACGAAGTGCTTGTGTTATCTAAACGAAACGAAAATCCAAGTGTTAGCTTTGGGAAAAGCACTTTGATTCCAGCAACCAAAAAAGTCCCACATTATGACGGCAATTTTTTTAAACGTACCGGCAATTAACAACACAATAGTATAATTCCAACAACTACACTACCGCCCCCAGAAGTAGCCGCAATTTCTCTCTTTACAGCATCAACCGGAAATTACACATAAGGTCTCGGCATAACCGAAATCATAATCCATCTCAAATCGTATCGTGTAAGCCACTGAGCGTCTAATAGCATATCTCCCGAGACTGACGACTCGTCTGTTCTTGAGACTCCAGACGTGATGGTGTATGAAACGTTTGCTGTCTCGACTATCTGTGTCGTTGAATCGAAAATGGCATTGCAGCATACATCAAAATTGATTTCGTAAGTGTAAGGGTATAGACCAGCAGCTTCGTTGATCGGATTATCTTGTAGATCCCCTACGTTGAACCATCAATTTTAACTTCTTTTGCCTCGTAACGGTTGAAAGGAATACAACCATTAGAACACCGAGCAGCATTACATCCCCAACCAACAGCCCAGCACTACAACACGGTACTAGTGGCTCACAGAGAGATGCGAACTTTCATGTCAAGTTACGTACTGCTCTCACAAAACTCCAGTATACATATTGGCATCTAACATCCGAATTTGTTTGACATGTCGCATCACCAGCATGAGCAGCTACATCAATAGCTACAGGCGATGAATTCATTGTTCGGATCGTTGGATGGATGATGCTCGTAGCTGGACTCCCAAGTTTGCGAGATTCCGATGTTCCGCTGGATTTAGGAAGGTTGATATTCCGAGGAGGCTTGCGATATTACCGTCCATCCTAGAAATTGGGATAATATTACATCTTACGCAAGTTGGAAAGTTGTTTGTAAGGAAATCAGGATGATGTTGACAAATTTACGAACAAAACAACCCATCGATCCTGGTATCCGGATTCTGAAGCGAGTGGCGGTTTGCATATTGGCAGTATTTTGACGGGTTGGTTCCTTCCTTTGAAAACCAAGACTGCAGTTATAGAAAAGAAGTGATTTGTGGTTGAGAACAAATCCCACCAACAGCCGTTTCGATGAATCGTCATATCAGAACCTTCAAAGGTGTATGTCCCGTTTCTATCTCTTTGCTGAGGTTATCTGTTGTGTTGAGCTCAAAGTTTGATATTGCGTCCTTCTGGCAGAAGAATCCGCTGTTAATCACCATGTACACTTCTCCACCTCGCACTCAAAGTGAGAATCAAAGCAAATTAAGCTAATCAACACGTGTATAATCAACCATCAACTATATTGATTCTTCTACTTAAACGACAATGCAGATGCAAATACAGTACCACCACAACATGCAGATTCAGAATGACCAACCCCCCTCTCCAATATAAACAACCACCTCTCAGAACAGCCCTTCAGGCACCTTCCCAGCATGCACACTATCATACGTAGCAGGCAAGAATATTGTCTTGCTCTTCATCATACGAGCAGTGAAATTTCCAAAGATACCCAGCGGCGTATACACCACACCATGAGCAGGCCCGAAAGCTACACCCATCACATCTAGTGCACTTGCGGAAGTCCATTTACCAGTCAGTGGTTTGTTGGCGAGTATGGATGCGAGGTTTTTGGCGATTATGGGGCCTTGGGATTGGGTTACGAAGCCTACTTTGGGTGTTTTTGTGTCGATTATGTCTCCCTGATTGAGAGTAAAAGGTTACAAATCATGCAGATTTGGGAATGAATATGTAAAAGTTTCACAATGAGCCAAACTTCAAATAACAATCTTTTTGGTGATCTGAAACTCACCAATGCGAAAATATTATCAAATCCAACAACTTGCAACGTCTCTTTGACCTTGACCTCCTTCTTCTCATTCAGCACACCTTCACCAAGTCCATCGGCAATAGCTTCCGTATTGAATTTAGCATTACCAACAGCCAAATACACCACATCAGCAGTATATTCCTTGCCACTTTCGCTCTTGACTGTTGCTGGAGTCAACGAGTAATCAGCACCGTTAGGCAAGATGTGCCCATCTTCGCCTTTGACGATTTTCTCACTGAGGACGACCGTGACACCCATTTTGGATAGAGTTTCGGTTATCTTTTTGGTTAGATGTGTTTTGGAGAAGTGCTCGTTGATGAGGTATGGTTGGGAGGTGACTAGCGTGACCTGATATTCAAATGGGAAGTGAGTAATGTGAGATGGAGTATTGACATATTGGACTATGGTGCATGCCATTTTTCTCTTCGTTCAATGACATCACAGAGCAATGGCATACCTTCTTGGTAGGATATTGAGCTGCGACTTCACCAGCAAATTCGACACCGACTGCACCACCACCGACAATCAAAATAGTTTTGGCGTTCTTGACACTCTCCGCAATGGTATGATATTCTTTGATGCCGTCAGCCTTGTCATCGTATTTGGCTATTTAAATACGAGAGAAAAGTCAGGCAGTCATCATATCAGCATCAACAACTTGGGCTTATGGCACACATCATAAGAATCGACTCTCAACGACAAAAAACACCGCAGCATTCTCATGGTGAATGGCCAAACTTACTCTTGCTGGCATTTGTAGACCCAGTAGCCAACACAGCGTAATCAAAAGAAATAATGCTTCCATCTTCAAGCTCTACTTGATGTGCTTTGACTGATTTGGCAGTTCCAGTGACGATCTTGTTGGCCTATGTGCAAACACCAATGATTAGTTCAGTTGAAACCATTCATATATCTACACTTTTGTCGTTACGTACCTTGTTATCCTTAAACAGATTCGAGTTATCCACAAAGATGGCATCGGCCCACTTTGGAATCACCAATGCTCGCGGACCAGCATAGTTGTGATATGCGAATGATTTGTGCTTTTCGATTACAGTGATTTCGAGCTATGTGATCAAAAAAGGAAGAGTTCATTTAGTCAGTGCATGATCGCGAGGTTGTTTCTTTTTCTGGATCAATGTGGAGGAGAGACACACCTGAGGGTTTTTGGCAAGAGCAGTGGCAGCAGATATACCAGCAGGACCTCCACCAACTAGAAACCGAGAAAATCAAAGTGGATTTGCGTTAGTTGTCTGTCTGATCTGATGAATTTTATAATACACATAAACACGACACGACGTACCGATGACGACTTTAACTGGAGCCATAGTATGCGGTAGTATAGATTTATATGTAGGTAGATTCGAGGACTTGTTGTGTTGTTTGTTTGGTTGAAGAATGATTAGCGGAGGTTGCAGGTTCATGTCTCACTTGCCGAACCGGTTCGTTAGAAATCTGGATTTGATGAAGGGGTTTCGAAGCTTACAAAGCAGCTACCGATAGGAAGACTGTACCGGTTCGCGTTATAAATGAGTTCATCTATGAAAATAGTCAACATATGTATCAAATGCTTTTCAAATGGTTTTCAAAGACGCTCTCTAACTTGTACCTGAGTTTCAAATTTGGGAATTTTTCGTTTTCGCGATAAGAAGTCTAGTTCTGCTCTCTGCTATACATTGAAATTATTTAAATCATTTCGAGTCTCAGATGCTTTGCTGTTTCTCATACTTATGCAAGAAATGCAGGCGCCGCAAATCGAAATTATGTACATCAAACATCCCATAAGGCCTCGTCTGAATATCCAAATTTATGGTGATCTGCGACCAGATGGTAATAGAGTCCCTCCCTTCTTTCCCATATCCATTCCTGTGGTCTTCATCTCTCGGCCTCTCACAAACACACTCAAGTTAGTGGCAGCTGGCTCACGTTATTGCAATTCCACTGTAATTCATCTCGGAAATACTCGGCATGCATGCACGGAAACCTCGCATGGTGACCTCGTTGATCAAGATTTTATGCTGATTTGCATTTGCTCATCTCCCCAATCAACGTCGGGTTAGTTGAAAATCGAAGGTCTTCGATCATGATCGTCGCGAAGGCCGATCATCAAACACTATGAGAATCAATAAGATGTTGTGCAGCCTGGATTTTCGACGAGACATCAGCGAGATTACTTACAGGTTAATCAGCGTCGTTAAATTCCATTCGGAGGAGTGCAGTTTACAATACGAAGGAGCTCAAATAAAGTTTCCAAACTCCAACGCGAATAAAGCTAAGTCGCATTGAGCCCTGCGTAAGTTTCCCCTCTCAGGCTTTTACTGTTTCTCAGTGTCTGCCACGAACTGCCGCAAATCGGAGTTATGAGCATCTACTCTCAAGCGCCGCAGATTTCTTGAAGCTGCAATGAAACTTTGGAGGGACATAATGGTTGCAAAGTCTCCTAATGCTGCAAATCCTCTAGGGTGGTCTTCGTCAGCCGTCGCGAACGTCAACAAGCTCCACAGACAGGCTTTACAACCAATAGTTGAGATGTGGTTAACAAGACATTATTCAGCTAATTTTAAGCCGTATCGCTCTTCCAAATATGTATGCATTCTCCTCTGTTACTGTGCTTTCAGTCAAAAAAATGATTTTGCAGAGGATGTCGTTACTTGCGGAAAACGGTCGTGTCAAATCTATAGAATTTATAGGCTGGACCTAATATCACCGACTATCGTGTTGAACTGATCATGATTTCTCGCAAATGATTTGCATCAGCGGAATCAGCGCATCGTGGGGTTTCGTGTGAAAATCGGCAATCACGTAGATCTTGTTCACATCAATCACGAAACGATAGGAGAATCAATAAAATCACGTCGTTGTAATATCAGTGATATGCCTTAGTGGTTGATCACTTGGTCGAGTCGAGTGTTTTTGGATCTCCTCACAATCCTACATCCTACATGGCATCTGACCAATTGCAACAGAAGGCAGCAAGAATCATTGACGTGACAGACGCGACAGAATATCCGTATTTGGATTTGAATTACTGTCCCTCTAATTTCAACAGAGCTCTTAAAGGCCTCAACTCCCGCACGGCAAGTGTTACCTCTACAGTTCTCACCACGACACCTTAGAAACCCGACAAAATGACCAACTTGACTACAGAAGAATTCCAGACAAAGCTATCCGGCATAACCAGTAATGCCTTGCTCTTCCTCGTGCTGGGGGTAGCTGGTAAGCTCCATTGCTTACGGTAGTGTTTGTTGGTAGCGAGGTTTTCGTGTAGTCGTTTCTTCACGTGGATGTTGTTTTCATGCGATTTCATACATGAAATCGCATACATGTTAATTTTTCCATGTCGCCTTCTCGACCATTCACCCACTTACGACCTTCATCAACATCAGATGATATTGGCCTGTTGCGTTACATGGCACATCAGCCTATGAAAACACCAAAACAGATTGCCGATGGTGCAAACTTGAACGTAAGCTGCGATATTCGTGTTGCAGCAATGCTTGTTTCGTACTTCGCAAACCCCCTACCAACATCTCCCTTCTTTTTGCTCAAACTATACACAAACATAGGAACGCTATGTCCGTGAGATCCTATCAACTTTAGCAGCTGCCGAAATAGTCACCTTCCATGACCCAGACTCGTTTTCTCTGCCCGAAGCATATGTGCCTAATGTCGCCGACGACAGCTCCTTGTCGTTTGGACTTGGGTGGACTAGCATGCTTGCAAGCTTCTATACGATCAAGAAGCAGCTCGCTGAGTGCGCTAGGAATGGAGGTAGGTTTGAGGACGCCTTGTCTTGTTAAATGTTGTGTCGTATTCATATGCTTGTGAAAGTCGCTGTGGTGGTGTTTCGTTGATCATAGCATCCGGAGTGGTTTTGCCTTCTCTTTCGCTCGGAGATTTTACCATACTCTTATTTCATTCGACCAACTTCATCTCTTATCCCTCCTACAGGTGGAGTTCCATTCAAAGACTATGGACCCGAACTACCACAAGGACTGTACCGTATCAACGCACCAGCTTCAAACCACGGCGTCATATTGGACTATATCAAAGCCGTACCAGGACTACATGAAAAGCTGAGCAGTGGAACTCCCTGCAAGATCTTGGATTTAGGGTGCGGATCAGGACACGCTTCTCTCAAGTTTGCTGAGGCTTATCCTTCCTGGTACATATATCGTTTTTTGTCAGTTGCTTTATGCCACAATGAAAGCAATAGTTTTGTTACACTCCACTCACTTGGACCAACTCTTTTACACCCACAGCCAAATATACGGCTACGACATGGACGCAACATCAGTCACACTAGCCATCGAGAACGCTCAACTACGAAACATTCCTAACGTGACGTTTGAAATCAAAACCGCCGAAACACTCCCACCATCCTTCTTTGATTTCATCATTACATTGGACGTCATCCATGATCTGGCCAAACCACTTGAAGGGCTCAAATCCATAAAGCAGGCATTGAAACCGACTGGACAGTATCTCATGGCTGAACCGTTATCTGGTAATTCTCTGAGAGAGAATATGAATCCACGGGGTGTGTTTATGCTGAGTGTGAGTGTTGCTCATTGTATGACTTGCAGCTTGAGTGGGGGAGGGCAAGGTGTTGGGACGTGTTGGGAATGCAGAGGGGCGGTGATGATTGAAGAATATTGTAAGGAGGCTGGGTTTGTGTCGTTTTTGCCGCTGGGGATCAAGTCGACTACAAAGATGTTTTTCTTGTGTAGTTGAAGATAAATATAAGGATTATATCGAGTAAGGTTGGCAAAGTCGGAAAGGTTGAGTTAGCTCTGAGGCATTGCCGCGGAAATTTTTATTGGAGCGCTTTTTTCTTCGCTTAGCACAACGTGAAGGACAGGCTCGTCAAATTCTGAAAAATATTGAGCTCTATAGATGTCCAATGTTCATTCGAATAACGCGTCCGACGCCTCTTGTTCTGCTGTATGTCGTTTTTCTTTCATCACATCCAAACATCAAAACTCCAAAAACACGTCAACCAAGCATATATATATACATACGTATACAGCCAACATGACGATGCAGCCATACAAGAAAGAATTCATCGAATTCTGTCTCGAGCGGCAAGTCCTCCGCTTCGGCAGCTTCACTCTAAAATCAGGTCGCCAATCGCCCTACTTCTTCAACATGGGAAACTTTAATACAGGAGCTGCGCTCTCGAAACTGGGCCATTTCTTTGCTTCGGCTTTACAGGATAGAGCTAATACCCTTAAAAATGGAAATAATAATAGTAATCCTGCTAGCAGTGGTAATGCAACATCACCATCATCACCACTCCCATTCGACATCCTCTTTGGCCCCGCATATAAAGGCATCCCTCTCGCAGCATGCACCGCAATAGCCCTCTCTCGAGATTTCGCCCAAGACGTTCCCTACGCATTCAATCGCAAAGAAGCCAAAGACCACGGTGAGGGTGGTTCCATCGTCGGCCATCCACTCAAAAACAATCGCATAATGGTTATCGATGACGTGATTACCGCTGGAACGGCCATACGTGAGTCCATGAATGTTATTGTCGCGCAGGGGGGTACGCTGGTCGGCATTATTGTGGCCATTGATAGACAGGAGAGGGGGAATAGTGGGGATATGAGTGCGATACAGGAGGTCGAGAGGGATTTGGGGGTGCCCGTGTTGAGTATTGTATGTTTGAGGGATGTTGTGCTGTATTTGGAGGAGACGAGGTCAGAGTATACCAAATATTTGGGGGAGATTAAGGCGTATCGGGATCAGTATGGGGTTAAGGAATAGGTTGTAGGTAGTACGTATTGTCGGCTGGCGAAAGAATATATAGATGTATAATATGCGAATGGTGGTGTGTGTGTGTCTGTTGAGCTAGTTGACAAGCGGACATTGATCTCTTGGGTCTCTAGGTCTTTTTTGGTACTTCTGAATTGTGTGATTACACAAGATGAAGCTTGCGAACTCTTTCAAACGAACGCTGTCACAATAGGCTGCCGCCTACGATCATCCGTGAGCCTCGAGACTTGGAACGGCAAACGTAGATTCAGCAAACACTCAACACTTGCAACTCGCACCACGACAACTAGCGAATGTTGAAGCGATACAGACAGTGGATTTGAAATCCTCTCGGCCATATAATCGAGTGTACGTAGCCAATACGCTTCATCATTCTTACCTTGACATCCAGGAAATGATGCTTACAGTCCCACCAACAGAAATACGCATGCTCTCTAGAGTTAGCATCATCGTTTTGTCAGTGCTTCAACACTTTGGTTGAGATAAAACCAAAGATGTGGACGAGAGTGTGTGTAGAGAGAGGATGTCTTGGAAGAGTTTCCCTCCTCGACTCGGCTGAAACGAGTCTCACCGGATATATTCCAGAATTCTTGTATACCAGTGGAGTGATGGAGATAGCCTGGCGCAGTTGCCTATTGCAGAATGGACGAGTTGGTCGTTTGTCAGTTTGATGTTCAAAGCCGCAAGTTGGATTCTGAGAGTAAAAACGATATAAACAGGAAGAAGTAAGGCAAGGTCATGGCAAATCCTGCATCCATCGTATACACACCTTCTTGTCGCTATAATCCCGCAGATCTAGAGTTTGAGAGTGGACAAGATGTGAGCAGTTTGTAAGTCATGTACAGCTCATTGCAGATATTAGATCCAAAGAGAGACTGACTAGATCCTATGCATTGCGCGATGCCTTGCAGTGTATATCGGCTGTTCTGGTTCGTACCTGATGTCGATATCCACTGTTGTTCAATGTTTGGAATTCTGCCAGTTTTTTGGTGAATTTTATAGGACGAAAATGCGCAGTGGGAGACAACCAACAAGGAAATAAATAGCCTTGGAAATGCCATAGACGTGGCTTGAAGACGTTACATTACAATCTGCCTGTACGTGATTACTGATTATTGGGTATAGCAAAGCTAATCGAATCACTTTAGTTGAAGTTTGCCTCTCGTACTGTAGCCCGTAGACATGAAATCCCAAGTACTCGATGCAGCTTGTTTACTATGTATGCATGTGTTGTGTATTATTTACAGCTCCATTTACAATGGTTGGGGAGTCCCCGACCTTTACAAAAGAATCTACATTATGGCCCACAACCACACCTCCATCCTTTGCGAGATGCCGTTCCGCAATAGCAACAGTCTCTTTAGCATTCTTCCTAACCGTGACGGCCAAATTTGTTTGCCATCTGATACTGTCTAGTGATTTGGATGCGGTTCGTGCCATCTCTAATAAACCTGACATGTCCGGGAGGGACGACAAGGATGCCAGAGTCTTGACACATGATTCTACTGCTAGGATACAGCCTAGACCAGTCCAGTTCCTTTGAGTAACAAGAATGTGGTTGGTGAAGACAAATTACTAATGAGAGAGGAGACCCACGTACCACGCAGGGTCAAACTTCAAGATGATATTCTGCAAGATGTCATGTATCGCAATTGCAGACCTCATTGCTGTTCGCACACTAGCATCCGCTAGAGCATCTTCCGATGATAGTGTTCGTATTGCTAGGATTGCTCCAGGCTAAAACAGGGTAACAACTAAGTTGTGTGGCCAGCAGCGCAAATACTGTTCTCCCTCTACAAAACGTACCTTTGATATCCCAATCAGTGAGGTATGAAACAACATATGTACAAACACAACGTTAAACGGATTGTTCTCCTTGTCTCGAAAGTCGCGAAACCAACTATGCAGCCCATTCTCAACAGAATGCCACTCGCTGCATTCAAATTTCATGTATGGCGGCAACTGAGCATAGAATTGATGTAGACGCGTTATCATTACGGGTCCAAAGTCAAGGTTCTTGACTACAAGTTGCCGTGTCAAGGTATCTACATAAAACAAATGTCAATACTGATCTTTCAGTGATACAAACCACTAGCAATATCAAACCTTCAGGAAACTCTGGCATCTTCCTCGGTTCAAAGGATACAAACGACCATGACTCCATGTTGTATAAATTTGCAACTCTGAGAGACAAGGAGAACAGTCGAATGACCTCTAATCCAGCTTGCAGCGAGTCTGTAGATTCGATAGTGCTTATCTCCTGATCCACTTCGCCCGTTTCGGGTGATATGGCGAGCCAAGTGGACTCACAACAGGGGAGCTTGACATGAGACACCTCATCCAGCTCGTCTTGTCCTCGCAGGGTTATTGATGGTGTACCGGTTAGCAAGGAGAGTGCTGCTGTCTAAGTGTTAGAGTATGTCGTAGCACAAAACGGAATAATATGCATGCTTGCAAATTACTTCTTTCAGCAACAAAATGAGAACTCCACAGCCTTCTCCACGTCTCCTTTTCCAGGAAGGTTTTAGGAGGCAATGCTCCCTGGTCTATCAGATCGTCCGGATCTTCGTCCATTCGTAATGTCATCATCATTTGAGATAAAAGTCTGAGGTAGAATACGTGCTCTTGTGCTGAGGAAGAAAACGTACGAGTCAGATCGTTGAACTTTGGAAACAATTATAAAATGATTGCGAGGGAATATTTACCATGGCCTAGATGTTCATGGTATAGAAACAGTAGGGAAAGGCCTTGTACGCATTCACATGACGGTGGTTGGGTAGAGTCTGCCAACAATGCAAGACAATTATCAATGAACGGCCGGCTACGTTCGGCTGGAGTACTTCCGAATTGAGATAGTCCGTTTTGCGAAGATACTGTCGCCCCTATAGTCAATAAAATTAACTAAAGTGTTTCGTCTTAAAACCTCTGACTGAAGCGTCCACATACCCAAAGCGCATATCGCATTAGAAATGAGCTGATTCTTGGACAAATGAGATGCACCACCATACATCCAGCTTGGCTGATGAATATGGCACGCCAAAACTTCTGCAGGATATATAAACGAAAAGAAGGTCTGGTAAAGCCCTCTGATGTCGACTCGGTCCAGAGGATTTACGATTTGTACTATAGATTTTTGGCAAGGAAAGTTGGGCCATAAGATTCGTTACATGTTGCTTCTTGCGAATGCAGAATTACATACATGGAATTGCTGGCATCGAAAAGTAACGTCTCTCCAGATCCACATGGAATGACACGTCAAAATGAAATCTTTCCAACGTTTCATTCGCCACGTATGAATGTGGGCGACGATGAGGATTGGGTGACCGGACGATGGTAGTGGTCGTGGTGTTACTGAATGAATGCGACTGATCAGGCGTCGAGGGTTGACTGCTGTCAGACTCAACAGGCCCTGGATCAGGTAGACGCTTGGTAGTTCCAGATCTCCGCCATATACAGACTGCCTTCTTTGTTCTGCTATTGCAAGGCCCACAAGCTGGCAGCTTGACTCCGTCACACTACATTAAAGACGAACATGGCGATTAGCAATACATCTGGAGGCAAACCAGCGTGGGATTTGAGCGCCGAATAAAGAGAAAACGCTGTGGGAAACTGATCTACCTTTATCTTGCGTCTTCGACATTCGAGGCACTGTCAGTGAAAGAAGAAAAACTAATGAGCCAAGTGTTGGAAGACAACGAAACGTGAAATACTTACAGCTTCTGACACTCGTAGCCGACGCATACTTTATTTTAAATTTTTGATTTTTTTGGACTGCTGGGGTTCCTTCTTGCTGACAGTCTGGGGTTTGAGCCTAGATCCAGCGGCAATCAGCATCCGAGCGAGCGTGTTCTAGATTTTAAAGAACTGACGACTTTGCAAGAATTTCCACCAGTGCGATTTACCTCCGCAAGGATCTCTACATATCTGCAGTTCAACCATTCATTATTCGTTGTCTCATAACACTTCATTGAACTTTTGGGAATAGACAAGTCGGAAAACGACACAAAACAGCACACGACCGAATTCGCGTTTCAGCTTGTTTGAAGGAGGTTTGACCTATAAAACTACATGTCATGACACTCTATACAAACGAATGCAGATACCAAACACATGCAGCGGTGTTTGTCAACCTCTTTGTTCAAGTTTGCGTCCAAACCCCAACATCACCAACCCGTGGCGGATTCAGGAAGATTCTTCCAGTCCTTGAAAATATGCGAAAACATACTAGAAAGTAATGCCAAACCAGGTCACATGCGGCCTTCAACATGTTCAACAAAATGTTTGTGAAAAGCATGTTAGCTGTTTTTAGTGACAACGTTGGCAACTTTGAAGCCATCTACTTTCAGCGACCAAAGACAACGATTCTGACTTGAGACCGGTCCAAATACCAAGTACATAACTGTGCTACTCATTGACGGCCATTGAGCAGCCTGGAATCCGAGTTAGCTTCTGTAGCTAACCCAGGTCAATGACTGATGTCTCAGTTTGCTCAGAGAGTGTATGCAAAAAGCGTCCCAACACTTCTCCTTATTGCCCTTAACTAGCGTTCACCCCCTTAGCGTGAACGTTGAAAGAAATCCAGAATGAGGATGGGATGTCATCGAACTTTCATGTTCCCAAGACCCCAATAGAAGGCAAGAGAGACTTAGATCATGATCCATATGTGCGCGTATGTTTCTGTATCTTTGTAACAGCCCTCCCCGACTTGATCCGTGTTAAAGATCTAGAGTGAAGGGCACGCGACAGTTTAGATCAATTTTTGAAACGTTCGAGACAGTTCAAGATAAGCGTTTGCTACTTCCTACACATACCAAATTGCCTTGCAATGGGCATCAAATGTATCAACTGCTCGACTTGGACATAGTAAATCGTCAAATTACGTGGGTTTGATGTTTGGAATTTCGAGAACCAAAGACCATCAGCACCACGAGCTAAATAGGTGAATATGCGCGTGAATGAATTGTATTGCATGGCCCGCTCAGTGTTGATTATAAGTCACGTTATATCATCTCACATACCTCCTGACCTGAATAGAGTTTATCGCACTTAGAGTTGCCGTCCTAGGTTGCCAAGGCGAGTTAAAAGAAAGAGGCAAGTTAGCAGGTTCATCATTAACACTTCGCTGAATATAATTTGACTATGATACTAATTCCCTCTTTGGTCTCTAGACCTATTAATCACAAAACACGACATTTAAATATAAACAGAATGTTGGCGCAAGAACGAGACCAACGAGATATCACGGTCACCATGTATCAGGCACCAACAAGTCTCACGGAACTACCTGTAGAGCTGATACAGCAGATCCTGATCCTGTACGTGTAATCTCTGACATTTACTACTTAACATGTGTTTTGATTGTTTCCCTCGCAATTGAAGATAGAGTCTATAACTGATTAAGTCGTCTTGTATTTACAGGTTCTTGGCTGGTAGAGACGTATTAAGGCTATCAAAGACCTGTAAATGGCTGGACCAAGTTGTTGATGAAACTGTCTATGTAAGTGCACGTGTTCTGAAGTCAGCTCGTATCAAAGAACTATGGATCTCATATCTATCTCATATTAGCAACGAAGATGTCACGTCCACCGTCGCATCACATTCTGTTCTCCAGACTCGACTTGGAAGGCAAGCATATTACATCGATCCTGTTCCTCCTTTCTGGCCTCTTCGCTGATATATCTCAAGCACCTTCAACAATTCATTAATATGACCAACCTTACTCTGGCACACATACTAACTCGAAACTCCATGCTTATAGAAGCTCTACTTTCAAAATTGGACTACAAATCAGATATGCTTGCATCTGAATTCACTACAGGATTCAGTCATTAGAGAACGGACGAGGACGTTTGCTGCTCTTGTTGCAGACGATGCTGATGGTCAAGGACCTAAATGCACGTTTCCAAACTGTCATGTTGGAAGTCCAGATTTGTGGTTTTGCCTTGCTGTAAGTGGAGAGAGTCTGTTGCATTATTGAATGGAGGAGGTGTTGGAAAGAAAAGTAGAGGAAAGTGTGCTGCAGGAGATGCCGGTGAGAGTGTTTGCTAGAGGAATTGAGAGCAGCAGAGTGTTTGCTGGAACAAACGAGACTATGAGGGTGTTTGCTGGAGCAAAGAAGACTAGGAGAGTGTGGGTTGGGTTAAATGAAACTATGATAGTGTGTGCTGAAGAAGTGAAGAAAATGATAGTAGACGAGTGGTTTTGGAAGAGCATGGAGAGTACATCAGAGAGCGAAGCAAATTCACCATGTCTGTCTAAGCATCTAAGAACTACACTCCTTAACTAACTACCTCACACAATTTCAAAATTAGGCCGGATGCACATCAATAGGCTGTGGCCGCTTCAAATCTCGCCACGCTCTCGACCATAAATCATCATCCAACACCAATAACAACATCACAGCCTCCTCAGATACCCATAATCACAACAGCACACATAATCAGCAACACACCCTAACAGCAAAACTAAACACTCTCGAAATATGGTGCTACGAATGCCACAAATGGTGTGGTACCATCTCCTCACATTCAGCTGAACGTGCCAAAGTTGGAACCGTAATTGCCTCGTTATATACTGTTGTTACGAATACGACATGGAGGGAGGATGTCGCGATGAACGGCAAGAGACAGGCTGAACGGGAGCTGTTTACGAGGTGGAAGAGGGATGGTGGAGTGCAGTATTTTATTAGTATGGGATGGATGGCTGAGTGGAGGGCGTTTTTGGTTGGCAGTAAGTGTCTGGAATTCCAGTTGATGTGGTTGTCTTATTGTTTGGCTGGTATATGAGGGAGAGAATACGCCTACTACAAACCAATTGGCCTGTCTTCGCTAATCACTAACTCTCCTCTCTTACTTCTCACAGATGCATCACCACCAGGACCCATAGACCAATCGCCACTCTTACTACCAAATACCAACAAGATAAATCCTCAAATACTTCCTGAACGGGACATGGTGTTATTAAGTAAAATAGTATGGAATGAGCTATTCACGTTTTACGGTGGTGGGCCTGAATTGAATGAGAGTATGATTCAGGATCAAGAAGAGTATAGGGCTTTGAGAGCCGTGCTGTCTGGAAGAGGGCCCTTTGCTTGATTGTAGTACTGGCGGTAGGGAAGGTGAAGGGAGTTGTGTTGTGTAGAATAGAGGAGGACCGGATGAGTACGTGAAATATATGCAGAGGGTGGAAACTGTTGGTTTTTTGCGGTCGAGATGATGTATGATTTATTTTGTATGAGAACCAGAGAGGGGAGCAAAGAATGTGTATAGCAGCTCTACAATAATATAATTTACAAACCAGAGCGACAACAAAGACTCATCAGTGTTTTAGAAAATCTTGTTAAAGTAATCCAACTCGTAAAATTTTCCACCACCGTCAATCATGTATGGCATGAAATGCCCTTTTCTTTTCAGTGTCAGTGACGTATATGATGTTGCTATGGTTTCAAGGAGGATTGTGTGAGGTTGGGACATCGCAAAGAAATAGCTCAACCATTATTTGGAATTTATTTGCACACACACATCACACATACCATTAGGAACAACCGTCGATTTAGTAAACTCGCTAACAGCATACACTCGTCTGAATGGTGGTATCAAATTAGGTGAATCCAGGACAAAGTGTTTGCCATCTTGGAGAAGTGTGATTCGTTTCACTGTCCTATATGAGAGGAGACAGTGTAAGAAAAAAACCTAACAGAAAATGTATCATTCCACAATCGAGGACTTTCAAAGCCTCTACGTTTCTACTGCAATGCCAACCCAACCCAACATACCTCTTTGCCGTAATCTGAATAAAAACCACAACAACCAGCGTCAGCCCCGCATACGGAAACACGTCCTTTATGCGTTCCAGCACATCTGCTCTTCTGTACTTCTTTTCCCTACAGCGCAAAAAAAACGACAGACTCAGTCTACTGGGATTGGTCTCATACCAACATAAACACGCATACCCGGTAACAAGAACACTCCCATCCGGCACATCCAGCGTTAGCCACGCATAAGAAGCTGCACTCCACGTCATTACTACTAGTAACAGAGCAGTAAGCTGGAGCGCGTAAGCTTTCAGTTGGTTTGATTTTTCGTAGATGATGACGTCCTGAAGTAGTGGTTTGTGATGGGAGGAGGGGTTGTTGGCCATGTTTATGGATGGAGGTGTGAATATTAATGGTTGTTTAGGTGGTGTGTGGGTTCGTTTTGACGAGTAAGAGCATGAATTCATTGTGGAGATTATTGGTGGTGTTGGAAGGCGTTTTGGGAGGATCTGAGGAGTATAGAGGGTTTTGAGAGTGTTATGGCACGTGGATGGACGGACTAAGCGTGTCCTCATTCTCGTTGTGGTGGTGTATGTGCTCGTAATGTTGTATTGGATGTTTGGAAGAAAAGCTAATGGACGCTAATCGAGAAAACGAGATGATGTGTAAGTGAAATCACAAGCTATTTATCTGACTTCGAGTATCTTATACGTTTATGTGTCGCTCTTTGCAGTTTGGTTCGTTGTATCATCAATTTTGCTACAGACCATTGCGCTTCTGATTGACACCTATTTAGTAGGCTTCTCCTCCGTATTCCTCTGCGACTTTCTATGGGAATACACACGTACCACAACCGTGATCTCGTCGTTGGATGGCCACAGAACTGTTTTGGTGCCTCAGGGACAGAATATCCAATCAAGGCTCAATAAGCACTCCTTTGTGGCTTCCAATGTGGACGATGGCAAGATGCATTCTTGGTGCGTTTTTCAGAAGCCAGTCATTGTGAATATTGCCAGAAGGTACTTCAATATCCAAAACGCGGGATGTTACAAGGTTGCTTACCTTTCTTTTTCCTCGATGCAGGCACAATCTTCGAGTTTAACCAGCAGCTGTTCAAGACTTTAATAGATTCTAATAGTATGCTCGTGCTATATCTGCTGCTTGACTTGTAGCCGCCAAGATGCACAGGTAACGAATTGTTAAACATTTCAAGACGCTGTTTGGTGAATGTGATGTTTGTTGAACACCCAAGGGTGTATTTACGTGCAATGAACCCTCTTAATTCACTGGGTGCACTTTGTGCTAAAAGATGGATGATTGCTACCTCCTGTGGTCGTGATGAACATGAGGAAAACTTGTGGCTATTATTCTACAGATGCATTGTCGACAACCTTGGGTTTTTGCATGAATAACACATCGAGACTCCTGTTCTTGTCTTGCATTTGAAATTTTGAAGCCCAAGAAACCCAAATACACGGCCCGATTCCATTAACAAATCACAAATCAAATCTATATTGTATTTCTCTTCAACAATAAAACAAACTTCAAGATGGAATGTTTTTACACACACTCCTATGTTCATTCACCATGCCATCTTTGCAATAAACGAATTCGGATACAATCTCGTAGCAAGTTTGCGTAGCTCATCAGCAATCAGGATGAATATTGCGAATGGGATTGGAATGAGCCAGAACTATCAGCCAAAAAAAGTCAAATTTAATGACGTGATTGGATACTTTATGTCCTCATAAGCTCTCGCTTTCTCTTACCTTGACGGGAATAGGACTGGTCCCAAATGTCGTCTGAAACCATGGTACGTATAATACTAGTAGTGCAAAGCTAGTATAAAACAGATTTGTCCAGAGTTAGACATGGCTCGTTGAGCTTTGATATTTTTAACGCCTCACCTCAAAGATATCAGAGGCGCAATAAAAAGTTTCGGATTCGATACTGGCGAGTGTTGAAGCAACGAGAGGTGGCGCGTACGTGTTGCAAATAGATTACCCCATTGCATCACGACCAAGCATACAAAGTAACTGGTATTTGTTAGAAAAAATCTGAGTGCGACCCCACAAAAAAAAATTCACGTGATGGGAAGCAACGTACGCAGAGTTGCCAACATTCGTAGCATTATTCAGCTGATCACCAGTAAATCCCAGATATCCATCAGTCCATTTATCGAATGCGAGAAACAGCTTCGATGGGCCTACTCCGCCAAGAGAGTCGGAGACTGCCATGAAGAACATTGCGTGTGCGCATATCATCTATGAGGAACAAGAGGCGAGGTGTGTAAGCAATCATGATATTTGCGCTCCCCTGTTTTTGTCAAGAACTAATCTTACCTCAACCATCCCAATAAACAAGTACGCATGTATCAATAGTTTCCCATCGACTAGATGATCCTTCTTTACATTTCGAGGTGGGCGATTCAGCAAATCTGCTTCGGCGGGCTCGTACATAAGTGACAGAGCAGGTGCCAGGTCGGTGAATATGCATATGACGCTGGTTTTGAGAGGGAAAGAGTAGAATAAGAAGATGGCATCAGTTATGACAAACGACTAACTGAGCGCTTACATCATGAAGAACGGAGACAATGGAATAGGAACCCCAAGACAAAAGTTGATCAAGACTGGAATCAATTCTGCAAATGATCCAGCGGGTAACAAGTAGAGGCAGACCTGTACAAGAAAGAGATTGGAGAGGTGTTAGTTGTACCAATCGATCACATGAATTGTGGAAGTCCTTTACTATTTTTTGCTCAAGAGACATCAACTACATCTCCGCCCTTTACCTTTTTCAAATTATCAAACACCAACCTCCCACTCTCCAACGCAATTTCGACAGAAGCGAAATTGGAATCCAGCAATACAAGACTTGCGGCTTCCATAGCGACATCGGAACCAGACCCCATAGCGACTCCAATATTGGCTTGCTTCAGAGCAGGTGAATCATTCACACCATCACCAGTAACTCCAACAATGAAATCGTGGTCTTGGAATTCGTGCACGATACGGAGTTTTTGTTCTGGTGTGGTTCGTGCGAATACGACCTCCTGCGAAGAAACGCCAAAGTGTACAGATGGTATCGTTTTTCACAACATTCACAGGCACAACAACAAACTTACATTGTACGTAACGACAAGCGACCATTGCTCATTAGTGAGCGACTCCAAGTCTTTACCACTCAATAGGAGAGAGTGGTCTCGGTGATGGTGCTCAGCGGTAAATCGAGTTGGGTCTGAGGGATTCTCGGTAGACAAGCTGGCTACTGTATGTGTTTCCTTGTGTGTAAAGATTCCGACTTTTCGGGCGATGGCTGCTGCTGTGGTTGGGAAATCACCACTACATTAGAGACATGATGTTTGAATTATGGAATGGTTGGGCAAAAAAAGACAAGTCTGTTTGTGTATCAACCAAAAATACATCCCGACATATTCTTCACAAGTGACGAGCCCAATGCCAACTTACGTAACCATGAAAAGACGAATACCAGCTGGTAAATGCCGTGTAAAAAAGGGATGAATCGATTAGCAATTCAAAAATGGGTCGATAACCCTCAGACATGGTGCTGATTAAGTATACCTTGACGACACGTCTTGACCACACCAGGAATCTCAGGTCGATGAGGATCAACAATGCCAACCATACCTATTGCACATACGAATGAGTTACTATTGAATGTTTTCATCGGCAAAACGAAAAACAGTAAACAGTCAGATGCCATACCAACAACAGTCAAATTACACGCCAACTCTACAACAGCGCTCTCCTCCATCCCCTGATAACACTTCACATCTTCAGCTCCAACACTCCCCATCTCACGTTTAGCCAACAAGAGCACTCGTTCAGCACGTTCACCCCAATCTTCCTGTACGGCAGTTAATCGAGACTTTTTCTCATCGGTAAGTGATTCAACGCGTCCAGTTTCAGGATCAATGTATGAAGTGCAGCGAGGTAAGAGTATATCTGGAGCACCCTTCATTAATATGATTACGGTGCTCGAGTTGAAGGGGTGGTTTGGAATATTTGGGCGTAAGATGGATACCATAAATTTGTTTTTCGAGTTAAATGGTAGGACTGTGAGCTATTCCGAAAAGGGGGATATTGAGAAAATGTAAGAGCACAAGTAGGGTGGCGCAAAACCGGTCATCACTGATCATTAATACCTTATCATAATCGGCCCTAGTACTATCAACATCCAGATATCTCTGTCCAAACCTCAATATAGCATTATCAGTAGCATCTCCATTCACCTTCCATTCAGCAGAGTGAGAAGGATTTGCTACCTTACTGGCTGGATCAAATGTCGAGTTGTTGCAAAGCGAAGCTACAGTGACGAGTTCTCGAGGACCAGATTCGTTTAAATCCATCTTGTCCATATCCAGTGCTTTGTTGAAGAAGGCAGCACTTGCAACCACCATTAGGTTGGTTGTTAGTGTTCCTGTCTTGTCTGAGCATAGCACGTTGATTGCGCCCAGTGTTTCGACTGTAGTGAGGTTCTATTAGAGAGGTTTTGGATGAGACGATTGAATCGAATGGAGTCAAAGTTGAGTTCTTTCGACATAAGTCATAACAAAATATCGATGGTGTTTTGTTGTTGTTGCAAAGTTTGAAACTTTTGCATACCTTCACGAGCACCTTGTTCTCATACATGCGACGAGCAACCAAGGTCAAAGTGAGGGTAACGGCAAACGGAAGACCTTCAGGAACTAGTAAAAGGATAAACCGTAAGTTAGCGCCCCTTTTTTGCCATAGCAAAAAATCCAACATTTCGGCCAACCACCAAGACATACCAAAAGCAACCAAAGCTGAAAAAGCATTAACAACAGCCGTTGAAACCGTCATGAATCCAGGATATGCGTTCTTAAGCCATGCTCCATAGAGTATAAGGCAAAAGAAGCACGTAGTGAATGCCAATATTGCAACAATAAACACAAATCGACTGATTTCGATTTGTAGTAGAGAAGGTTTGGTGACTTGTTTTGTTGATAGTCTGATGATTTTACCCCTATCGGAAAGTGTCTTTGACGTGAGCAAAATGATTACACAATCGGAAATTTCGAATGGATGACTTACATTGTCGTATTATCACCAACACCAACGACAATGCCATCAGCTTCGCCCTCAGTGACAAAGGTCCCCATCATAGCCATGTTTTTACTTTCCAGTGGATTATCATCCGTACAATCAACACAAGCAGGTATCGGTTTCGTCTCTCCCGTCAATATCGATTTATCAATTTTACAACCTGCGACGCGAATAATCCTTAAATCAGCAGGTACCTTAACTCCATATTTTATCGTGACTAGATCACCAAGTACGAGGTTTGCGGATGGTATGGTTGTTGATGCGCCGTCTCGAGTCACTCGAGCGTCAGCGTTTACCATGTTTGTGATTGACTTCATAACTTGGGAGGACGTAAAGTCCTGGTAGCCTTGGAAGACGGCCTGGCTGATGATGACGATGAGGAGGAGGATTGCGAGAGCGAGGTTTATTGCTGCTGGGTTTGGATTTCCAAGTGGTTCTATGATATTTGATGTTTTAGTAGATATGAGAAGATTGGCTACAACGTCAAATGCATACGCCATGAGATAAAGACCATGACACAAGCAATCCACAAGATGGGACAAAATCCACCAAAGAACAAGTCGAATAGCTTCTTGAAGTAGTTTGGTCGAACTGGAGTAATGACATTCCCTCCATTTCGAGCCAACCTGTGTGATTTTGATAAAGATGTGTAAGGTTTCGAGTATTTTGGGTGGACATCTCTTCAGATCCAAGCCAACAAAAACACTGTAGCATATGGGTTTTACATACCTCGAGGTAGCAGCTTCCACATCCAAACCGCGAGTAGGATGAGACGAGAACCGTTGGAATACCTGATCTACAGTGATTTTATGTAGATCATAGTTTGCCATGTCATCAATGACGACTTTTGGCTTCTTCTTCCTCTTGGCATCTTGAGTACGTGTGCGTTCGACCTCTGAATGTAGAGCGTGCAAAATAATAAATAATGATTAAATTCGATTGTGAACGTATACATATCATACAAATACGATACTGTCCAACGAAAACAAGATATGACAATGCCACTTAATACGTACCAAGTGTATATGTGCGAAATCCAACAACAAGCTCTCGTCCATCAGCCAAAGTAGGAGTGCTTTCCTCCTGTACTGGGACCATAGATAAAGACAGCTTTGATAGAGTCTTTAGATTATTTCGCACACTTGACCGGTTGTTGTTTCTTGTATCTTCATTGGTGTTTGATGATGATGGAAGATTGAAGGTGAGGCCTGTCGACGAGACGGGAATCTCTTGGGAGGTCTCCAACGACTCCGAGTGTGCATTGGAGCTCATATCTCTAATTCTTGGAATATAAAGGCTATTTATAATGGTCAAATCAGGTCAACCCGTGAATAAAGTGTTTTTGGGGAGGTTTTTTGATGATGATGCGCTGGATAAAAGAATCAAAAGATCCCGATTCCGCTTAATGTCAGCTATCCATCTAAAGCACTGCTTGTGATGGATGTCCTGTCAGCGATGAGGTAGAAGTTATAGTTTTGTTTTGCGCTGCTTGGTGTGGTTTGTTAGTTTGTTTGAAATGTTGGACGATACGCGATTCCGAATATGAGAGCACAAAATGACTTCGACGAATAGAATGAGCGCAAGGATATTCTATTTTTAATACTTCCTGATAAGGCTTTTTATAAGAAACAAAAACGTTTTTTTCACCATCGTCGAACTTGGCGGTCTGGAATGCTGTAGCATGAAGTGCAAAGTTCATTGCTCGCCGGACGCTCTGCTCCGGCTTCAACAATCCACGTGAAGATGATAATTATCTACCAGAAACGTCCGGTTTGTCAAGCACCCGGCTTCCATTGCTGTCCCGTCAACTTATCAACACGTTGCAGAGATCACATCAAGCATTTCGTACTGCTAAATTACACTCGTATTTGCCATTATACATTCTAAAAGTACGTGCATACTGCTTTTAGTGACCGATCGCATAACATTCTTGACCTCAACTTGGACTCAACAACGAAATGACTTGTGTTTGCAAGAATCTCAACTTGCATACCGACACATCAAACAGAAACGAGACACAAACGAGACGTATAGGAATGTGGATTGAGCCCACGTTGATTGAAATTAGAAATTTATCAAGGTACTCTCCAACACAATATCCCTAATTCAAGCTTCGAGATCGGCAATGCCAGAGTAGCAGCTTCTATTACGGCATCAGATCCCATGTCCCGTAGCAGCATCAATATGGGCCTGCTATAAAGCGAATACAACTTCCTGTGACAGAAATGATGTTGTTAGTGAGGAGCGTCTTTCAACATTTACAGACAGAGAGTGGCATCTTCTAGTCTAACAGTAGCGAGATTCTTTACGTCTGGATATAAATGCTGTGACATCACTAATATAAGTTCAAGCAGCAGTACGCAAAAAGCGTCACCTAATGTTGATGTTCTGACTTGGCAACCAAGCTTAAGACAAAGCAAAATGCTCTATGTACACTTGGTCAGTATTGAAGATGACCGTTTCGAGACCGAACCGCGAGATATCGATGATGACAAAAAAAGTTCTCGTCCTGCTAATTCATTGAAACTCTTACCTCAAAAAGGCGTCAAACGACAAGACACCGCCATAGACCACTTTTAAAAGGTTTAAATTCGCTTCGCACCATGGAATTGTGGCAATATCGATACTGCCTGGATAACCTGTAATCCAGAAGCCACGTACACTTTCGATCTAACACGAGACAACTATTGTCAGTTTTGTTCTGCTGTGGAATCATGAACACCAAACCCACGAATGAAATCGTCAAATGTCTTCCTTTCAAGGGCTGAATTTACAATAAGACGTATCCGGCTTTTTTGACTTTCGGTTTCAGCCGAGTATCAATCTAGGAGTCCATTATGCAAGCGGTTTTCAGCTTAACACCCCAAAATGATTTCAAGTAATAAATTTTGCAAGCGCTTGGGCTCATTCAGGTAATCTTTATCATGTATTGTCTCAAAAAATCACACAATTCTAAAAGGTCAGAAGGTGTCGGTTATGAGGGGAAGTAATAAGAGTACGAGTAGCTCATCCATAATAAGCTTGACGCTAGTAAGATGTAGAAGGTTTGAATCAGTTCAATAGTTCAATCCTCAATTTTGAGACTGACAATTTATACATACTCGAAAAGAGGAAGGGTAATATGACTGGAGCAGAAAAGACTTCGGCGGTATTGAATACGGTTGACTCCGACAAGAAGGAGAACAAGGCAATGACGTATGAGATCATTGTCACCTTGTATAGCCTAAGTGGTTGATACTGTGAGTTTCAAGTTCAGTTGAGTTTCAGTTCAGTATCGAAGCAAGCAGAAGGAAATCAGGCCGAAATAGCAATTAACAAGCTTACGCAGGTTCACGGATATTGTATGCACAATAGAGCCGAATGACAGAGGAAGTGAGTGTCCAAGTTCCCATCATTCTTGCCATCAAGGGTGAGACTGCAGGAAGTGAACGAGTAAGTATTTGAAGAGATGTATGTGACGTGAGGTCAAGTATGAGATCTGGTAGTCCACAATTGCAGGTTCTGATGGTTGAGGCTGATGCAGCGACATCCAACAACCAATGCTTCAAATTGCTGCCACAACAACCCCAAAGATGCATGCGTTCTTCTCATAGAAGCAGTTTGGGTATACGATCAAACGATTGAATGGCTATCCAGGTATTCTTCTTCGTACCTTGGCCCTTTTGTTTTGAGTAGATTCTTGCGACGACATCCTTTGTCAAGAAACACTGGACACAGTTGCCAAAAGCGATAGCCGATACTAGCGCTATGAATCGCGGCAAGTTGTCATCCGGTAAATATGAGATTAACGTGTCCATCTTCAGTTGAGTGTCAGAATCTAATTGTTTGAAACTTGGAGGTTAGTCGGTGAATATTCAACAAGTTCAACAACGCGTCATACTAAAGCGTATTCACTCTTGTCTCGTACCCTATCTCACAACTATCTCTATCTCTAAGCTCCGTAGTTCTAACAATAAGCTGAGCTTGAATTGGTTGTGTACAGGTTTTTCTCAAATCACAAATCAAAAAAGTCCACCATTGAAGGTTATCAGGCCATAAGTCTACAACAGCCCAAAACATCATGACCATCATAGAAGATCGACGGAATTAAACATCTAATCACATAGTACAGCCAACTCACTATTAGACACCGTCACTCTCCTCGTCATCCACCATCAATGTCACTCCTCAACCCTGAAGACGACGAAGCTCTTTCTCATCTTGGCCATTCTGATCCAAACAAGATCATGCAAGCTCAGGTTCAAAACCTGCTATGGAGTCAATTCAATCATGGTATGTATCGCTGACACATCTGTGTATAGCCTGTACAGCACAACATCAAATTATTCATAAAGCTCAATCTAACATTTCAACCTATAGTAGGAGGAATGGCTGGAAGCCCTCAACACTTTGATCCCTTGTTTATGGAAGAAGACGCTATAGAGGCTCACTTCCTACAGCAATCTACCTCCGACTCATCATGCATCGCATCCGCAATCAACGACGAGCCACTCCTGGCCCAAGACAACAACAACCTCCTACACGGGTCAACGTCTCTATTGTTGCTACAACAACACACACACCATACATCTTATAATCAAACATTGACTCCTCCTGCCGAATCGCCACCTTGTAGTAGCGAGAGCTCCTTGTTGTTTACAGGTTTTGATCCTTCCAAGTGGGAACGGGCTGCTCACGCTCTGGACGATATCGAGAATAGTATTGATAACGACAATACTATCACAGGTGCATATTCCAGCAATATCAATGGTATTACAGATACATCATCCAATGCTCCATTCGAAATGAATGACTTGGATGGTGAATATAGCGGCATCGGTCTGATGAATGGCTTCCCACTTCCCTTCTTGATAGTACCTCCAACCCTACCTATAGTAGAACGAGATATAGTCATGTCGGGAAGTTCGGCTTCACCTGTGCACAACGACGATATTACCATGACCAGCATCCCTCCACAATCAATCCTACCATCGCATCTTAACAATCGTCGTCAAACGTCACGATCGTCGTCTATCGACTCGTCAAATCATGCTGAAGATGATGACGAGCAAGGGCAAGAAGAAGAGCAGGATATAGAGCAAGATATTAGCATGCATCTCAACAAGAATAGCACCAACAACAAACGCAAACCCATGGATAAACCAGCGACCATGCAATCCAAGAAGAATAAAGCTATTACAGGAGACCCTAGAGCATCATCAACCGCGAATACCGAAGTCGATCCGGCAAGTCCATCTGAATCTCACAACAAGAAGCGTCGCGGTAGACCATCCAATCAACAACGTAAAGAGCTGGATGCTCAACGGAAGAAACTTATAGATGATCATCGTGCCAAACAAGGGCAGTTGTTGCAACAAAAGCCTGTTGTGCCTATGGCTCCTCAATTGCCACAATTGGATATCTTGCCACCACAACGGAATAGTGGTAGTAGTATTAGTAGTGTCAGTGCTGGGGCTTCTTCTGTGGTACCTGCCTTGTCACCTGGTTTTCCTTTTGGTTTAATGGCCCATCATCCAGGTGAGTTCAAGTTGGGATTGTGTTGTTGGATTGTGATTTGGAAGGGAAGGAGGAGGATGGAGAGTTGTATCTGAAAAGAATAGCACAAGAGACTGCAAAAATGAGCGACTCGCTTTTTGGGATGACATGGCAAAGTAGAACGACGAGTCCCATCTAGTAACCATAGTTGCTTGAGCTTTTCTGGGAGATGGATGGGAGATGTCCTTGGGACAATGGACAGGATTTTGTTTATTTCTAGCGAAACACCTATCTGGGCTCTGTTTGGCAGGACAACAAAAAAACCAGGTGATCTGGTGGCGGCACATTCCAACAATCTCTTTTCCATTTTAGGCATGATTGTGGATGCAAATGGCAGTGCCAAAGTACCCATAGCAAACTTGCTAAACCGAAATCGACTTGCTATACCACCACCAACAGTAACAACAACTGCTCATCTTCCAGTTGTCAAACAACACAGAAAGACAGCTCATAACGTTACCGAGAAAAAGTATAGAAATAGCATAAACGAATCTATCGAACACTTGAAATCATCTGTACCTGCTTTAAATGCTCCTGAAGCATCAGAAGCGGCTGCAATAGCAGCCAAACGTCGTAAAAAGACAAGTCGAAAGAAGAATGCTGCTGCAGATGATGAATCAGATGACGATTCAGCTCAAGATACCAATATCATAGTAGATGGAGTCAAAGTCGCTACCAAGGATAACAAGGCTACAGTCATTCGCAAAGCCACAGAATATATTGACTTCTTAAAGACTGTACGAGAAGAGCATGCTGCCGAAGCTGATGCTCTACGACAAGAGAATGCTAGAGTGAGGAATGAAGCTGCCGCTCTACGAGATGTGCTACAAAAGTTGTTTAGAGAAGGAGTGCCTGGAGTACTAGCTGCCGCTGCATCAGGAACAGGAGCTGTAGGAGTGGGAAATAACGTGATTGATCCAAATCTATTATACCCAATGACTCAAGAAACGTCTCCTCCTGTCTCTGGTGGTGCAGCATCACCTGCCTCTTCCTCGTCATCCTCTGATCCAACAACACCCAATAGTAGTGGTAGTAGTATCAATGGTCATAATAGCACCTCTACAGTCAAATTCTTGGGTGTTGCCATGGTAGTATCTTGGGCATCCTTCTTTGCAGTCAATAATCATCAAACCCATGCACCTGGTAAAGTCTTGGGAGGTAGCATACCACTACAAGCCGCACCACCATCAACCTCAATGTCGATGGATTCAGTATGGGCATTGACATCTGCTGTCTTGTTTGCCGTATTGGTGTATACCTGGTATACTAGTACAAACAAGCCGAAATCTGATGCTGCTGCTGGAACGGCGACACCAAGTAGTAGTGGTAGCACACCAACAGGTGAAAAGCTGGCACATGCATCTATTCAAGAGTCACCACAACGAGCATATCAAGCTGCCTCGAGAGCTATTCAACCACCTAGTGGTAATAGCGTGATGACATGGGTGTATATTTTGTGGGAGTGGATGAAGTGGGTTACTGGATTCTATGGATTTGCAGCTGCTAGTGGTGGCGTAGCATCTGATGAGATGGAAGAGTATCAAGCTGATATGGCTTGTATGCTGGTTGAAGCTGATTTGGCTGGTGGTGAGTCATTATGGACGGTGGTTGTCACTGCTGTTTTGCTTTGGAGTGATACGAATCGCTACTCTGGTTTATTTCGCGCTTCGTCGCTGCTCACGCTTTCCTTCTCTTACCTTAGGCAATCCAAGCTCTACCTTTACCAATCGATTATACGCAACACTCAAAGCTCTCAACGGATTATATAATAGGAAGGCACCACAACCTGCTCGCAACTATCTCGTATGTGCTCTATCACTAAAATCCTTGGCTCGTCGTATATCGCCCACTACATATACCCACGCATACCTAACGAACCGAGCAACACGATGCATCCACGTCGCAGTCACATCCACAACCTCATCATCACCTATAACATCCAACAATGCAGCATGTGCAGCAGACATCCATTCCTTTGTCGATTCCTACTTTTCCGAAAAGGCAGCACATCCACAAGCTCCCATATGCATAGACGTATTCGCTCAATCGTACCGTCACCACCGCTTAATAAAGCTTGTAACGATGGCATGGCCATACTTGTGTTGTGTAAACAACAAGCTAGTGACTGCAGACATAGCTCAAGACTTGGCGTCATCACTAGCCTTGTTGCTCAAGCAATGTATAGCAGCACAAGATGCCAAAGCGACTGTATTATGTTACCTTGTTGCTGGAATGACGGGCGTGTCAAGTATTGAAGGGTTGGATGTCACTATCGAGTATTTTGGAAGGAGGTTTCCAAGTATGCTTGATGATAATAGTGTTGCTATTGCCTTGTGCGGGTTTTCAGCTGCTATGAGTAGTGCTGCTTGTATAAAACAGGAACAGGAACATGCTGCTGGTGGTGGATTGTCACTACGTGGTAATGCTAACAGTCAAGTAAAACGCCACGTCTTGTCATCATGCAAAGCAGTTGAAGAAGCTGCTTTGCAAATCCTCTCCGTCAAGCCCAAAACCGATAATAATAGCATCAGCAGTAAAAGTTCGTATGTCTCAACACCAATTGATTCAATCGCTATATTGTTGGGGATGTTGTGGGTATTAGGCAGTCGAGATATCTTGCTTGGAGGTGTGGAAGCGCATACTGGATCAGCTGTTATTGTCAAGGCTATGAAGAGTGCAGTCAGGAATGTGGGCTTTGAGCTGGCCGTTGATAGTGTCAAGATGTGGGAGGGGCGTGTGAGGGGTGATTGAATGCAAGGTTGTTTTGGTTTGCGTTGCATAATGGACGGACGCTAGTGTGGGGTTTGGGGGTTTGGATGTTGTTGTGCATATACCTGTTTTGGCTCGTTTGAATTTTTTGCTCATTATAAGTTTTTTGTTATACCCTCTTTATATAAAATGCAAAGTATAATTTACGTACTTAAAGTGGTTTGACGCTTGCGTTTTGGTGTCGTGATGCGATAACGTCACTGCTGGACTGAAATGAAACTTTCTAATGGTTAACAAGTTTGGGACGCTTTGTTACATCAAAATGCGAAACAAAGCTGTAGAAACCCCCCAGAATTGTATTTCACAATATGATGTTTGTGACCTGATGGTGGCGTCTGTGACATATCCTTTACGTAATGCATTACGTCAACCCAAATAACCCCTCACATCGAAACAGCTTTTGACGACAGCTGCTACCATGCTTTCAAGCCAAGTCGAAGAACTAGCTATCGCTATGAATGCCGCAACCGACGAACAGGCTGCTGGCTTTGCCCATCGAAAACTGCAATCCATCGTTGGGATGGTCACAGCAACAACTGCCAATGGCCAAACTACAATTGGGACCTGTTTCCTCCTTCCAAAGCAACATGCAATATTCATGACGTGCAATCACATAGTCTCAACAGCCGTAAAGATACTCATCACCTTCAAACGCACCACATTCGAGGCTCAACTTGTTGTGCCATCCTCCACTCTCACCACTTCAGTCAATGACCAATTTGACCTTGCGTTGCTCACACCCATACTACCAACACACGCAAAGGCTGCTGACATAGCTCTCAGTCTTGCCTCTACAGGACAACCAGGCCAAGTCGTCTATTGCATGGGTTATGATGGAAACGCTACAGAGTTATTCAGCAAGGGTCGAGTTGCTGGATACAGTGGGCCCTTGATGTAAGTTGCTTATTACAAGCATGTGATTTGAAACAAGAAACACTAGCGAATTATTCTAGCTTCATTATGGACCTTACGACTGGTCAGGGATTTTCAGGGGCACCAATCCTCGACGCTTCGACGATGCTGCTACTTGGTGTAGTAAAGGAAAACTACGCAACCACTCATACTCGCACAAATGGCATTGTTCCCGCTTTTGTAGATGCTCATCTGAATGCCCACGGTCTCTCATTGTAGATTGATGAGTAAGTAAAATGGCAGCAGCAAGTAGGGATTTTAACATGTCTAACCAATAGTTCTAGGCTACAAGTAAATATGAAGATACCTGTGTATACTAGGTGATGCGAAATGAATGTATAAAATGGGAATGGAAGATAGTCGTGCATGTAAAATAGCATACAAGCAAAACTCGAGCAATAATAGAGACCTCGTCAACAGTACATATGGCACGGCGAACACATGGCACGCCAAGTTAATCCTTTGCCCTAGGCATGATACATTCAAAATATCCTCATGTAGCATTCAAACAAAGGCGTCGATGCACACACAAAAAACATTATAATCTTGACTGTAATTTGAGTCCTTGTTACACTGTACATGTGGTCTACCTTGGAAACAGAGCAACATTTACAATTGCGATTGAGCTTTTACAGCATGCTGGTTTGATTTAATGCTGGCTGCTACCTTGATGACTCGAACTACACAGCATGAGCGCACCACCACAAGTACACCCCACAAAGAAATCCATCTATGCTCATCACTTCGTATCAGGTCGTTTGATACTCCCGAGTATTGTAACAGCGTATAGCAAAAAATTGGCAGCAATTGATGAGGTGCGGATACACTGGGAGTGAAGGAGAGAGACGTAATCATAGATTGTCCATGCTTGTTGAAGCATGGTTGCGAAAGATGATGAGACGGAGGGATATGACTGTTTGAAGAAGGTTTGAGGAGATTGATGCTCGTCTACAGCACGAGATCGTCTAAGGGTTTGCTTAAACAACGTGTTGCAAACACAACTCCAACCTTCACTTGACACGAGCAGTACACCGACAGCTCTGCCAGATCTCACCACATAGCAGCAGCAATAACACATACGCTTGAGCCGTCTCCATCTTCAAAGTCGGAAGCTCATTTTTTTCATCTGGAGACTTTGATTGTCCTGATAAGGACGCTGATATTTGAAGGACGGATAAGGAATATTTGGCGATTGAAGGATCTGCAAGTGCATGTTCGTCTGCTTCTTGTAACTACAGTTGAGCGGGTGTGAGCTAAGAAAAAAAGTTCAAGTCGATTCAAGATTACGGGCAAACAGCCTTTGTCTGATACTGCACCGTTTCACTCCTCGAATGCTGTGAGTAAGGAAGGATAGCCTTCCTGGTATTCCTGATCTTTCTGAATAACTGCAGCCGGTTCGCACAGTCCCTCGTAATTCCAATTCAATTCATTCCAGTTCAAGCAGCAGCATCACCCATCACCACCACCCATAACACTGAAACTAGTCTTCACCCTAATCATCATTCGTGATCTCATGCGAGATATTTATATGAAAAATGCAATAAAGATCCATAAATTACTTAACAAACGACGATGGTGGTTTTTTACAGCTTGATGTGTCTCTGTGAGAGCCCCATTCATATACCTCCACTACACTCCCACAGTCACCCAAAATAATACACAATGCCTACCATAACCAGCACCGTGACCACAATACCACCGCAAAGAATCCACGCGTCCTCTTTACTCCTCCTCTCAATCCTCCTAATCAAGTCATTCGACACTCCCAGGCGATTTGCCACGTCCAATAAGGTTCTTTGCGTTGATTTGAGCATACTGCGCTGATCATACAACTCAGATAGGGCTGATGACCCCATTTGGATTAGTCTATCCATGTTTGTGGAGGATGTGGAGAGGGTGTTGGATTCTTGGGATAGGTATGACAGGAGGGCGGATGTTTCTGAGGTTTGGTCCTATGTGGTTTGGTAGCAAGGGGCGTGTGTTAGCCGTGGCGAGGTTAAGTGGAAGGCTTTGTTTTTGGCATACCAGTGGATCAGTACTATGAGCTCCATTCGCATGTGATGATTTTCGGTTGAGTAGTTCCGAGCGGGCATTGTCGCGTGCTTCTTGTAGCTAACATTATAAGGGGTGTGAGTCCAAAAAATGTTGCGACGATTTAGATATACGGCAATAACCGACATGCAAGCATACCTTTGCCTGATACTGGACCTTCCATTTCTCGAATGTAGTGCGGAGGGCAGTATAGTCTTCTCGTATTTTTGATGCACGTCTAGAGGCATTGTCGTTTGTGAGCATTCATAGTCAAGACACCATCTCTGTAGCTTCCATTCGACACAGCAGCAGCTCCACCTCGACGAGCAATATAACCCAATGAATATGGACATACACTAGCGCCTTTTCTCTCTTCAAGGTAGTAATCTCGTTCCGTGCAATGGACTCGACTTCATCCAGAGATTTCGATAGTGCAGATAGCGATGCAGATATTTGGCCTATAGCAGATAGTATAGTTGGTTAGTTAGCTAGATCAAAATCAGAGCAGGACAACAACCATTGTTTTCGTTGCCTTGTAAACCAGCAGAATGATCATTGTTGAGTTTTTCCAAGTCCTGTTCCAGTTGAGCTATTTGGCGAGTGATTGTGTTGTAGAGGATGGCCGCCATTCTACCATGAGGACTGATCTATCGACCACCTTCCGTCTGTCAAAGGGCCAACGATGGGATGGTAAGCCTTACACTTGAAGTGTGCGTCGATGCAAAGAAGAAGTTGGTGAGAATCGAAAGAATTAGACGACAAGGACGTGAAAATGAAGTGGATTGACGTGTATTTACGCGTAATTTGAATGTATCTGTTGAAATCTGGATGCATTTCGGTTGATTGTGTCGTCCTTTGCAAAGACATCAACTGATTGGCCTTTCAGTTTTTAGGACAGAGAAGGAATGGAGTAAAGGACTGCAAGTATTCATTCGTGGCGTATTGCGGTGATTATATTCACATTACCCTCTCGTGCCTTATGTTATTAATACTGGTGATCTTGAGACGGTTCTCAAGCAATCTTGTAGGCTCCCTATAACAAGGTACTGTGTCAAGCCAACTTTCAACCATGTAAGAGTGAATGTACTTTGCGTGGCTGCATACTGTTTGCTGCTCCACGTCGTGAACATGAACACTGAACTGACATGCACTCTCCTCCAGACAAAACAAAGCCAACCCTACCGCAACACACGTCTCAATATGAGGTTGCCAATCTTGGACGGAGAGCTCTACTGGTGCTCTGCCGCATTGCTTGGTTTGAATCTTGAAACACCAAACTTCTGTGTGGCAGGCCATTCATTCTCCTCTTGCGTGACATTCCATCATCATTCTGAATCTCCGCTAAAACATAGCATTCATATCGAATGGGATGCCAAAGAACGTGGCTGATGGAGACTATGAAAGAGTCACGGAGGGTGTTTGTCTGCAGTCGTTATTATTGTTGAGACAGCACTCATTTGTTGCTATTATAGCTAACTTGGATTTCAGAGTGATTTCAAGTTGGTATCATGTGGTTATCATGAAAAAAGTGTTGGTACGTATACACGGTAGTGGATAAGCAACAGGTTTTCATTACTTTGGGAGAGCTTTCGTGTGTATGTACGACCGGCACCTGTTACCATTGAGCACAAAAGCAATTGTAAGAGCTCAAGATGGCTTTTTATGCTGTATTGTCGTGCTCTAAATGGTTTACGGATTGAGAATATAACAAATCGCCGTGTTTGCCATCCTTGCGTCTCGAAACTAAATCGTCGACGCACTTGAATGAAGCGACGTGATAAAAGCTCAAATGCGCCTACTTAGTTACGAGAGCCGCGTTCCTGCTCATAAGCTGTTGCGTCATCAAGAAATGCCGCTTCGTTCAGGCCTATGCGGTGTTTGGTAGGGTGGTTCCGTCAAGTTTGTCGAATCGAACGATAGCGATGGTATGGCCCACTATCGCCCTGGGACGACGCAGGATCTCATATTCATTAGCATTCGAACGCATGTCAGCTTGCAGTTCTCCATCCAGATAGATGTCTTCAACCTGATTCAAACTCATAAACTCTCCGAATCATCTAAAAACCAACCACACTCACTCACCCGTCATTTATATATCTATTAGATTCAATATTAAATCCATACAAAAATGCTCCAATCCAAAGCTCCTCACGTGCGCTCCCAATTCACACCCAAACCAGAATTCAACATCAAATCAGTCGATCCCAGAAAAGTCGATTTTTCACCTGAGCATGCTGCTAAAATGGCTTCCAAGCTATACGCCCGTGACCAGCCAAAGCAGACGAAATTACATGGATTTGAAGCTGGCAGCTTGTCGTCTCCCTACGCTGATGAGGTGCTGCCAGCATGGAAGAGTACGGTTAAAGCTGATTATGTGCCTAAATTGGTCGATCGGGGATTGGAGCAGATTGATTCTGGTATGTGAGAATATGATATATTTAAATGGAATCAGTAGCTGAGTCTTTTCTTTGGAATGCTAGTATCGAAATACATCAAATCGTCCCACTTCAAGCTTGAAGGACCAGGAGACGTAAAGAACGATGACGCTCACTGGCAGAGCACCACACGGAGAGACTACCTCGCTAAATCGGGCGATGATGCTAAACCAGTCTCGGCAAAACCAGATCCTTCAAAGAGCATTTCTCCAATCGTTGGAGACGAGACTATATTAAACCACAACAACACGTCTGTATACAAGGAGTCTTTTGCGAAAGCTAGACAGGTCAAGCTGTCGGCACCGCAAAAGTTTGGTGGAGGAAGTGATCCTACTCGGTCTCACTTTTCTGTGAGTCCATGGAATCATGGGCCCTGGCGTTTTTTTGTGTGCTTCATATTGATATAAATCTCTCTCCCTCTCTCTAGTTGGGAGACGATCCCGTCAACTATTCATCTAAATCGATTACAGGAGAACCAGCTCCCGTAATCACAGACCATTTCATTGTCAGACCTCCAAGGACAAAATCCACCGTGTTGGAATGTCCTGATTGGGAAAAGGGAGAATACATATCAGTTGCCAAGAAGGCTTATGGAAGCAATTTGGTCGGCGTGGATCCTAAAACATTGACTGTCGAGAAGGAAGCGTTTACTCGTGATTTGAAGAGTACTCATTTTACTGTACATACGAGTCGTTTTTTGCTCTCTGCGTCATACTTGAAATCTGATCTTCTTCTCAATACAGCTAGGAACGGATGTATCATCTCTAGGACAAGCCAAATCGCAATACTCCTCATCGTTTTTGAAAAAGCAAGGTGCTGTCACGCAGCCGACAATCTACAAGTCGAGCTACAGAGACGACGTACATCTTGAAGAAGATGAAGACAGGAGAATGTCGGGTCTTTCTAGTACTCGTACAGACTATGTCAAACATGAAGCTGCTTCTAATGCTGCTCACTCACAAAGTATCAAGGTATAGCAAAGACGGCGATTGGTAACGTATTGTGATTGTAGAATATGGTACTGACATTCTCATTTACCTTTTTAGGACCAGAACTCACGATCAAGTATCTTCACGGATGGCAACCGCTCCATGGAGTCTGCATCTGTTGCAGCATCAAGTTACCTGCCTCCCTCTCAAGAAAAGTACACCAGCGAAAGGACGACGGCTTCACATCCTGGTATGAATCCATATCCGCTTCTGGCTATGGAATCGAATACACATAGTCCTGGTGGAAAGGCTTGGGTGTCTGTCGCAAAGGTAAAAACGATCCTTAAACGTCAACAATTCAGCATCACTGAGTTACTAACACAAATCATATTCTAGTCTGACTTTACCATCCCCAAAGACCCATCCTCACACGCGCGCGCCCTGGCAATCCAAAACAAGATGGGCTCCCGCTACGCCAACTTCGACCTCGGTCTCGACGACCGACGATACGTCACATCTACCTCCTCTGCAGCATACAAACCAGCATCGCTCGAACGAACAGCTGCTCACAGACCCGACTTGACATTCGGAGCTACTTTAGAAAACGTATTGGGCCCTCGCACAAGTATCTCTGGATCTGAAATGACGAGATCGGCTACGACTACTGGATCTGCATATGTGCCCATGGCGCTTGCCAAAGTGCAGAGTATTAAACCGCCACCTACTATGACGCAGCTGTGTATGGAGCTGGGTGATGCGCCGATGGGAATGAGTGGGAGTACAGAGTCGAGGAGGGCTTTTGTTAACCCTGTGTACCGTGTAGATGAGAGGTTTTGAGTGAATGATAAATTAGGTTGACATTGATGTGATTTCAATTGGTGTTGTGTTTCGTGTGGTTGGTTTGCAATGGATACTTTTGGAAATTGTGTGAGGTGTTGCTGGTCCTGGTTTATAGATATCGTGGCTTGTGACTATGGAAAGCTGCTTGAAGCATAATACCGTAACATGGGCTGCTCTTTTGCTGAGTTCAATCCAATGTCTTGCATCAATCTCCACCTTACGGGATCACATTTGGAGAAATCTTTGTGTTCTTGACGTGATTTCTTCCCAAACAAGTGGGCGATTCTTAGTCTTCTGTCTCTTTGAACGTATTCGATGACACGATCCTGTCGCATCTCGAGCCTGTGTGAGAAAGGCAAGGTTGGAGTCTGCATACTTGAGTTCTTGTGGAGATGACTGGTTGGATATTTAAGAGGAAACGACTTGGTGGTTTCTTTCCAAAGCAACGACAAAGATCACACTTCCAAGGGCAAAATCCGCAGCTTTTGGAATGTCCTGACTGCGAAATGAGACTGTGGATCAGAAGCCAGTTCGAGTAAATCTAGTTGGCCTGCATCCTGACCGTCGAGGAGGAAGCGTTGACTTGTATTTTGAAGAGTACTCATATTACAGTACGTGAGAAGGCTTTTCGATACCCTTTTTTCATCCAACCAGCACATCCGAGATCTAATCATTATTCAAAAACAGCTAGGAACGGATGTGCCATCTCGATATCAAAACGCGGTTGCAATACTCGGCATCGTTGTTACAAGAAGGGGATCACGCAAAAACACGACGCAAATCTTGTTGAAGATGGAGCTTGATGTTTCTGATACTCGCACCGACTGTGTGAAGCAGCAAAACCCATTTATTATTCTCAGTACCGATATCATGGTGGACCAAAACAGCCGGATGGTAGCCCTCCCCTTGGCTGCATCAAGTTTGTTCTCTTGTCTCTATATGAAGTTGAAAGGCGCTCCGTTGAAATGAGTCCTAGTATGGAATATCGCACCGTGTAGATGAGAACACGATTCGAACGAGCTTACAGGATGGAATGTTGATGTGACTCAAGTGGTGTTGTAGATATTTGTCTAGACTGCCAGAACTGCTGTTTTGTCTGTTTAGAGATGCCGACAATTATGACAGTAAAATCTTTTGCTGGCATGAGAAGAAATAGCTTAATCAAGGTTGCTGCTGTTTTTAGCTGAATTTAGCACGATGCCGTAAATCAACATTCAACTTGTGGGATTCCATTTGCGCAAGTCTAGAGGATGTACGTTCAAATATTCATAGTCCTCTTCCGTATTGAAGCATTTCAAAACGATTTTCGTCGATTGATCATATACAGCACGGCTGCATGCTGTTTTGCTGAAAGTTTAAACAAAATCACTTGTACTGAATGGGTTTTCAGCCTTTCAGCTCGCATTCATCAACGTGCCAAGTAGTTGTAAACTCTAAAATTATTTCCTTGTTGGAGGAGAAATGCAAACCATGTCTTTTTATTACAAGCATGCTACTTTTCTTCCTTGTCAGATGCTTCAGACTGACACAAGAGTTCATCTTCCTTTTTTGATGAGTCGCTTTCTTTACTAAAACGACGATTTGGGAAGATATCGTCCATCGACCACGCTTCACAGCTTCGTACAATGCCATTACCACCAGCGACAATGAATGAAGCACCTGTAGAGTCTGTACGAGTTGGATAAATCCTCTGTGATGACAAATTGAGGGGTAATGAGTTTTAGGCCGAATAAAACCTTCAATGAGCATGGCGAATTAAATGATTCTTCAAACCATATTTCCCATCACTTACCGAAGTCAAAACAAACCAATCATTGACAAACACCTCGACCACAGTACCATCGACAAAAATCCTCATCTGTATATCTTCCAGCACGCCATCATGTTCAAATGGCGTGAATTCACCCTGATCAGGCACCGACGCAAACCCGTTATTCAACGACGACTTTGACCGTTCGACAACAATACTCGAGCGTAGCGAGTCAAAGTATATAAGCGTCTCTTCGACGCCATCCGGAGATCGACGGAGCGAGACTCCAGCAAGTGTTGAAATAGCCATGGAGAATACGACCTGCATTTCGAATGAGCCACCGTTAAACCCATCCATACCACCAACGTGTTCGATTTTATGGCTGTTGTTGAGTAGAGATGGTAGTTCGACTGGACCATGGATGGATATGAGTTCATCACGACGGAGATCTTTTAGACGTTTGAGTGGTTTGATGCCGAGGGTGTGGATGTGTCCTGGTATGTTTTTATCTTCCCACCATGATGCGTGGTGAGGTTTCCAGTTTGTCATGTTGCGTTTGGTTAGGATGAAATGTTCACGAGGGAGGGAGAGGACACCTGCGAATTGGTTTTTATATCGTTCTGTTGGGAGCAAATCTGGATATCCAATCCAATCGTCCTCTCTTGACCAGCCCCATGCGATCCAGCTGTGTTTCGAGTAGAAACCTGCATTGGCGTAGACTGTAGAATAAGGAAACGCCGTTAGGCACTCATAGTAGAATACAGTGTTTCCAATATCGTTTGAGACCACAAAAAACTTTGCAAATCGAAGAGTAATCGATGAAACTCACATCGACCATGATCCAACAAGCCAGACGTCTCCATCTCAAACTTGGGTTTACCATTCTCAAGGACAATAACACCTCTGACATATACTGGCCAAAATATATCGTTTCCTTCTACTCCAAGAGCCAAGAATTTGTACATGTTTCCATCCTCGTCTTCAACGCGAAAAGCTAGAAAAATGTCAAAATGGCCCGATACCCAACAACAAAAAACGCGAACTTGAAAGGACTTATGACTTACGAGTTCCCATTTCCCAATTATATCCAAAAGAAGAAGCATGAGACGTGGTGTGTTCACCACGAGGACGTTCAAAGAATGGTGTTGCAAGAGGTACCCAATTGACGAAATCTTGTGACGTGTAGAGGTATACGGCAGGACCACGTTGAGTACCACCAGAGACCATAATGTATTGTGAAGATGAGACGTTTCTCACCGAATCGATGTACTGAGAATAGAAAAAGTAGGGATCTCGCCTGTGGTTGATTGGAACAACAAGGTCAGCCAAAAACCAATAACATGACGGCAACATAGAACATGTAAAGCTTACCATCCCACTTGTTGCGCATCCGGTGGGTTTGGAAGAATGACGCCATACTTTTCCCAAGTCTTGCCATGATCACGACTAGCAAGTTTCGATATTAGTAAAGAAGCAATAGAGATGAAGGACCATACAATATGCTAATACAAACCTGAAGGCAAGAGCTTGTTTTTCACAGCCCAAAGGGTAGTGTACTCTCCAAGATATCGGAATATGTGACGCGGCGGTATAGTATATTGTCGGCAGTCCCAGGTAGCCACTAGCTACAGAAGAACCACTGAAGTCACCTTCCTGATCAACTGTTCCAGGATCAGGCTGTGGTGAAACGGGAGAGCATGAGTTTACGTTTTTCAAAGTTATGACAGCAGAGTTTGATATGTACCACAATTGCGTATGGCAAGTCTTGCCAGTAGACCTAAGTTGACATTGACATGTAAACGTCAGTTCAAGTCGATTGATCGCCACCATAAGCTTAAATTTCTTTTTTGGCTTTCAAAGGTAAAAGCACTAGCAATGGTCAAAACACTTGTAGAGGTTCAAGCTCACCAAGTCCTTTGAGACCAAGTGTCCCCACCCTTGAAATATTCCAGAAGCACGTCAGAAATAGTGTACTGGAAACATCAATGTCAGCGTGTTTTGTTACCGGGCTTGACCCATTCCAACGATTGGTTATGTCCAGACGCTAATCCGTTTGGATTGACTTGATAAAACAGATGATATTCACCCGTGTCTGGATCTTGATATGGTTTCATGGGATCTAGAGTGTAAAAGTTTGAAGGTTTGAATGAGCGTTGTGGTGTCAACATCAGCCAGAAATGGACGAAGTGCAATATGTTGAATGTGGAGTTAACAACATACCATTAATCCAATGTCCAGGATCATAGACATGAAACCTGGGTCTCGAATGATGAAACTGTGCAGTATAGTTTATGTCTGTATAGTATGTAAGCTTCTCCATGCCAGTGGCAGCACTGAGAGCTGCGATGGGGGTGATGAGAGTAAGCAAACCGAAAAAGAGAGCCATATTTGGTTGAATGGTTTCAAAATGGTATATGCTGAATGAGGAAAAGATTTTTGCAAGAGGCAACGAGGCGGTGTTTCAGTTGTCAAAATCACGTTCGAATGGCATGTCAATGTCAGCAGGACATACCAGCAAAAGCGTCTCATATTCAGCCGTCAAGTGAGGCCCATAGTACAGGAAGCTTGGGGTTCTAGCGTCTGGTATCCGTCAAGAGCCTACATCGTTAAACCAGTTAATGTCATCACTATGCGTCTTTAAAAAGCCAGCGATGAACGTGTGTACCGGTCGCTCTACGAATAGAAAGCATTCATTACCTTAACAGCATTATAAAAGGAGTGTCATTTGTGTGCAATCAGACGACTTGTAGTTCGGGCAGTCTGTAGACTGAAACGATGCTGTTCAGTGTGCCAGTGTGCGAGCATCAACCAAACAACCACAATCGCGTGAGAAATCGTGTTGATTGTATATTGTGATATTGTGAACATTTCCGTCCTGAAAATACGTCTATTGCTCCTATTTCCTGGTGTCTCCCAACTGCGCATTTTCGTCCTATAAATTCCACCAAAGACATTGCAGAATTCCAAACATTGAACCCAACACAAGCAGTGGATATCGATATCAGGTACGAACCGGAACAGCCGAAATACATTGCTAGGCATCGCGTAATGCATAGGATCTAGTCAATCCCTTTCTGGATCTGTCTGCAATGAGCTGTACAGGACTTACAAACTGCTCACATCTTGTCCACTCTCACACTCTTTATCTGTGGGATTGTGGCGACAAGAAAGTGTGTATACAATGGATGCAGTCATGGTTTTCCATGAACTTGCTTTACTTCTTCTCGTTTCTACTCTCAGAATCCAACTTGCCGCTTTTAACATCAAACTGACAAACGACCAACTCGTCCATTCTGCAATAGGGAAACTGCACCAGGCTGTCTCATCACCCCACTAGTATACAAGAATTCTGGAATATATCCGGTGAGACTCGTTTCAGCCGAGTCGAGGAGGGAAACTCTTCCAAGACATCCTTTCTCTACACACACTCTCGTCCGCATCTTTGGTTTTATCTCAACCAAAGTGTTAAAGCACTCGACAAAACGATGATGATCAGTCCAGAGAGCATCCGTCTTTTCTGTTGGTGGGACTGTAAGCATCATTTCTTGGATATCAGGGTAATGTTTGCAGCGACATTGACCCTTTTCCTTAATACGGAGGGCTGATGAAGGTATTGACGCTTTATTTGGCATCCTACAGGAAACACCTTCTCCAGATTTCCATACTTGTGATGGAGGTACAACAGCATGTCTTTTACCAGATCCAAACCCGTGTCATAATCACAGCCTCGCTCCGTCAAGAAGGTATCTTTAAAAAAGTACGTCTCGAAAGAGAGATTTCGTTTCCGAGGTAGATAAAATCCATCCAACAGAGCCAATCCTTCCAATTCTTGCGGATGACTCGAATCTTCATACCAGCCTTGCACCTCGCTAGGAAACCATCGCAACACACAGTTCATCACAGAAAGCTGACCTTTTCGAAAAGCCTCCCTCATCCCACATCGTGTCGGTCGTGTAGGAAATTGACGCTCATAGGAATACTGCAAGATCGCAAGGTGGCCACGGCTCAAGGCTTTGTCCCATCCACCATTCGACGGAGTCGTCTCTGGTTGTATCTGTCCAAAACATTTCACCAGTGGGACTTCTCCTGCTTGCGCCATGTCATCTAGTACTTTGGAAGTCCACATCGTCGATGGAGTCAATAGTTGCAAGGACGCCAAGTCTTTACCAAATACCAAATTTCGTATCACCGACGGAAGGTCTCGCATCGTGAACAGCCCTCGATGGTAACAAAATTCCACTACACATCTTCGACGCTTAGCTTCAAAGGGGTTCATCATATTCAACAGCGACCGATGTGGAAATGCGTCTTCAACAAAGTCTTTTCTGCCATCCACTCCAATATTTCCAACCGGTTAAATTCACAGGCCTTGTGAATCATGTCACCCGTCGAAAAATAGTGTCTCAGTGAACACCCATCATGAAACCACGTCCAAATAGTAGGGTGGAATTGATTGTACCCAAACAAGAACCGATACACTGGATGGTGATGGTACATGGGTATATCGTACTCTTTCAAGTACTCCAACGCCTTCCATCCGTCTATAAGGACACTGCCCCCATACTCCACCTCCACTTTTTTCACCCAATGCTTCACAATCCTTTCTTCTCGCTCCATCAACCACTGCCGAATCCAAGGTCGATAATGTACGCGTCCATACCGATTCAACATGGCCACATTTCCTGCCAAGTAAAATATTCTACACCAAATCTCCAATGGCAGAGTAACCATCAAATGATCTAGGAGTCCAACAATATTTTTATAGCGAGTGTCACGTAGTGTGTGTATATGAGGAGGTGGAGACGTAGCCGGCTAATGCGCTCCGCTTTGGCCGAATGCCAACTGCGTGTACACGTGTAAACGATTCGAACAAGAGTACGATTCACTCACTACACTAATTTGTATTTCAACGTCATTTTACTCTACCAGCGATTGAAGTGACATAATTTGTTTGGTAGCAGACATTGCCATCAAAGTGCTTGCAATAAATGCATCGTCCATCGTCTCCTTGGATTCCTTCCTCTTCTTACTTTTATTATGCCCCTCCCCCTCCTCTTGAGTAGTAGTAGTCTCCTTCCTCTTCTGCATAGAAGACGATCCAGAGGGTTTATAGATAGAAGATTTACCCAATCCTTTGCCTACAGATCCTGTTTTTACTGGTGCTCCTGCTGGTCCTGGTCTTACACCTACTGGTACTCCTACTGGTGTTGGTCTTACACCTGCTGGTGTTCCTGTTAGTCCTGGTGTTCCTGGTGGTCCTGGTGTTCCTGGTACTCCTACTGGTCCTGGTCTTACTGCTGAGCCTGGTCCTGATGTTCCTGGTCTTACGATATCTACAGCTCTTACTGGGTCTATCGTTGCTTTTTCTGGTTCAACAGATCCCGTTGCGATGGTGGGAGGCAGTACGGTTCCTGGAGAAACTACAGTGGCGTTTCTGTTCAATGACATCGAAGGTGGTATAGGATATACTATCATAGGAAGCCCTATCGTGGTGGGAGTGGTTTGTTGGATGGGTCCTAAAGTTGCTATTGCAGGTGGGGCAAATTCCGGAAATCTCTCCCAAGTCTTGATGCCACCCATATTCACCAGAATTTGTTTGATTTTGGAAAAAGTTTCTTTCATTCCAACCATTTCCTCCCTTAGAGTACTGTTTTCTTGCTTCAGCTGAGCAATTTCTTGGTCCTTTTCTGCCGTATCGTTTATACCTCCTATCAAGACTTTTAATCGGTCCCATGATACGCCCAATTGCCATAGTACAGCCTGCGATTCGTCTACTACTTTGCGTGCTTCTTCCATCGTTACTTCCTTTGTTTCTGTGGGACTGAGATGTTGCTCTGGAACTAAGTTAGAAACGTCGAATATTCATGCAACCTGCTTTATGTGGGCTTTATGTCAAGGCACATGTAAGGTGAGTCAATCATATCTATTTTATAGTTGCAAAGGACGTTTCCACAGACGTTTCATCACTACGACGCAGCCTAAAGACGTTTTATCACTACTTGACAACCTAAGGACGTTTCATCACTACGAGACAACCTAAAGACGGTACAATGGAAGTCAATTCGACACAGATGGTATGATATTCTATCATTTCAAAAAAGATGTTTTTGAAGTACAGTCATTCGATTGAAGAGATTGCAAATTATTACTTCCCAAGTGAACTATATCTACAGATTCAAGGTGAGTGTGACGTTGATACCAGGAGACTGTTGGAGAACGCGGTTGGAAGGGATTTCACCCGACATCCTGTGGATTCTAGTATTCTTTTGCGTCATTGGAATTCATATACTTTTGTGGACGGTGACGTGTGGCGGATGGTCTAAATTGGCCATCGTTTTCCAGATGTGAGTGTGACTTGCAGTATACTGTGGTTGACTGTAATGGTATCCTGAGCTATATAAAAATGGAGTGGCGTGGTGGAAAACGGGGAGCCTGGAGAGTCTACTCTAGAAGTCATCCACAGGATTTTGTCATACTGGCTCCTTGCCTCGACATTCGCTCTCTCAAGCGTCGTCGCTCTCGAATACCGAATCATAGGTATGTGACAGGTGCAGATATCGATCAACAGCTCTCAACACTACTAACAGCAACCTACTAGTGTCCTGAATGCACCAAGTGTACCATGAATCCACTCGCCTACATGGTCCGATTGAGGAGTGCGCCCTTACTTGCACTTTTGAGATCCTCCTCATCTCTCTTACATTGGTCTGAATTTCGTTGCATACATTGGAAGTGGACTCTTCTGCTCGAGATTATGTACAGTGTACGGCTCGCAGTGTCCCTCTGGTGCGCAAGCACGTGGTCAATGTGGGAAGCCCCAAGTGATGCTGTGTGCATCTGTTTCTAGTATATTTCCAAAATCGTGAAACTGGTTCCTAACATTGACTACGTGTTTGCTTTGGATGTAATGAAATCTGTACTTGTCCATCACTATGATGCTTTCTAAATTTGTGGATGATGCGGCTTTTGTGGGATCGAACGGTATGTTTTCCATATCTTGCTCGAAGCTGACTAGTATGTGGTTCAAACATGCTGAACTTTAATCCTTGCATGCGAATCGATTCGACAAGAGGTAGCTACACTCAATGTGGCCATTGCCAGTCCCAAGCCTGGATTTAGAAACACAGAGGGAGGATATTGTGATCTGTCTCGCTTGAGATTCGGACTTGAGATTCTTTTGGATGAGATTGTCAAAGTGCTTGAATGTGAAAATGGGGGAATGTCTTCGAATTTTGACTTAACAGAGTGTTTGGGACTATGTTGTGAATCTTTGGAGGGTTTCATTCCGCGAGGGGGAGCATGAAAGTCAATACCGGTCGGTCAGCGAATCGACGTGAGGAGTTGCCTACAGAGTATTTGCACCAGGGCATGAGTATCCTGTCAGATGTTTCATCCAGTTCTACACGTTATTCACGTGTTCTACGTACAATGAGGAGAATGCGCTGTTCAACTGCAAATAAACCAATATCGGATTCAAACTCACGCGTCGTTAAATGGATGGTACGAAAGCGTGTAGAGTTCTAGTACTGTTTTCAGTATGCACGTCGCGTCTGTTAACTCTTATTCACTGCACCAGAATTTCAACGCAACAAATGAAACATCATGTCATCATCCCACATCCGATTCGGCCTGCGACGCCTCTTATTCTCATCCTGGCCATCACGACACGCCTTCCTAGTCGCTGGCCTAGTCTCTGGATATGTACTCCATCGCAAAACAGTTTCAACAGAAGCTTCACTAGATCCAGCAAAGAATTCCGTCGTTGCCAGCTATGAGGTAATTGTTTCTGCATTGTTGGATTTAATTTATGTATTTTTAACACTATTCATATATTAGGACCGTATACGGAAATACTCGCATCCTCAAAAAGTATCCAACATGAAGTTTCGAAAATTGTCAGATGAACCGGATCCTAACCACCCTCTATTCACCAGGTCTTTTCATATTTCGCATCGGAACGACGGGACGGAACCCCCTACATGACCATACAAGATCTCATACGGTCACTCACACCATCCAAAGCAACATCATCAACCGAACAGAAACCAATACCACCTGAATCACTCTCATTCTTCAAACTGGCGGATATTGATGCCGATGGACTGATTTCGTTTGAGGAATACTTATTCTTTTTGGCATTGTTGAGTACGGGGGAGGCCAGTTGGAAGGTGGCGTTTAGGCTGTTTGATGAAGATGGTATGCAATAGGATGGACTGTTTTTTTGGCTTCTTTGTTTTGAAGCAAATTGCGCTGACGGAATTCAATATTTGGACTAGGTAACGGGGTGGTATCACTACGGGAATTCAAAAAGATCGTATCGTCGAATATGAGAGCCACGTCTGCTAAATCGCTTGGGTAATAACCTCTCCAGTACTTCCCTTGCTTTAGCTCCACCAACTCACACCAACTCTCATCCCTCACAGATCACGCGAACGCATCGACCTCTCAAGCTCAACATCCCTCCTCCGCTTGTTCTTTGGCGAACGCGGTGAAAAGACACTATCGCTTGACGAATTCGCATCCTTCATGAGTCGTCTGCACACCGAAGTGTCGAGACTCGAGTTCTCGCAGTATGTCGAGTCGGATGCAAGTGATAATAGTATATCGGTGGTGGATTTCGGGAGGGCTGTTGTGGCGTATGATGCTAGGCCCGAGCGGTATGTGAAGAGGTTGGAAAGTAGGAGTAATGGGGGAGAGGATGGTGGTGGTGCGAGGGTTACATTTTTTGAGTTTTTGAATTTTGATTCTATGGTATGTGCTTAGTGGTGGGCGTGGTCTGCAGTGATGTTGCATCGATCATCTCTTTCTCGACTAGTGCTTTTTTGGCTCTACAAACCGTTTGGTAACTCTTTCTCGTTACAGGTCCGCAACTACCTAAACGAAATAGAAGTAGCTGTGAAACTTTACGGTCGTAATGGGCTCGACCGTGACAAGCTCACACGGATCATCAGGACTGTTGCGTATACATCGTAAGCTGATGAATTCCTCCATTACTTGATACCGTTTTTTTGCAACTCACAACCCCTTACACAATAGACTAACACCGTCACAAATGGACGCCATCTTCTACATGTTTGATCCTTCACGATCTGGCAAGGCCATTGACGGTGAAGAGCTTTGTAATGTGTTGAGGAAACGTGTTGCGAGGAATTTGGATGGACCGAGGAGTACACAGTGGGGTGTGGGAGAGTTTTTGGGAAAGTTGAGGGATTGTATATCTAGTTAGAGGTCGTGTGATGGGAATCATGGTTTGTGGGAACCATAGCTCTGAAGATTGTTCCATTTTTTGTTTTTAATAAGTTGCTTTTTATTAAAGAAATAATCTTTCGATAACAAACTATTTTTTCTGCTCCTTCTCATCCTCACTTCATTGTGAAGTTCCCCAAAGCAAGTACAAAATGTGAAGGTGACCAAAGTTGTCCACTTTTTCCCAAGTATCTTGCAAATCCTCCGGATCCTTTTTTGAGTTACAAAACGCCTCCCGAATCACTAGTCAGTTGTAATAAGTCTACTAAAAGGGTGCCGTTTTGAGTGTTCCAGCCGTGAAACTAGTCCTTTGACGTGCCGTCAAAGTTATAGAGTAAAGCGTAATGAATAAATGGCGAGAGACGCAAAAAAATCCAACATTGGCGTTGAGATATCGTAATGACTTTGTCAATTTCGTCTGATAAGGCCCTCTATCAAACAGTCCAGACAAGGTCATATCGGCATTCAGCACATTCGTATTTTTTCAAACAAATTCTTCCCAACAAGACTCATTCTCGTTTCCAATGTCTCAGATTAAATTCACAATCAAATCACCGAAACTGTTAATTCGTTGAAGAACGTTCTTGAAAGGGACGATCGTCTGATAAAGCAAACTGTGTAAACATTGAAAAATGGGTGTCAGTGTATCCATATGGCCACAGACGATTTTTTGACGATCCAGGTGTTATATTTCTTGCATCAGCCATTACATTATCCAGGGATTCGAAATTGACTTCTGCAAGTCTACAGTGTTGGCCGTGTTTGTCTGAGAGTGATGCATGAGTGTGCGAACTTTACTTTCAAGTTGCTCTCGTGAATGACGTCGGCCTGTTGCTTTCTCAAGCGATGGTATCGGTTGTGCTGTTGCAATGATAGAAGAATTCCATTACTCACAACTGCATATTGTAAGCCACTTTTACCTAATTGCGCAATGATTGACTCGGCGGCTGAGAAACTTGCACTCATCTTCGAGCGTCATCTTTGTTCAGGCTTTTTTTTTCGTTGCAAGTTCAAACAGACCTGTCAAACTCACCGAGTCCTTTGAGACCAAACAGCCCCATCAACACGCTTCAGAATTTCGATAGTTTCAACACTTGAAATACTGAAACATCAAGTTTCGATCTGCCACAGTCCAAAAATGTCCTTCACAGCATCACCCCTCGGCCAAGAGATAATATTCACCTGTATCAGGATATCGACTCAATTTGATGGAATGTGTTTGATCTAATGTAAAATTCAAAGGGTTGGAATCAGCATGATGTCAAGAACGACCACCGACCCACCAAAAAACCGACCACGATACGTGAAAATGTTCAAGTTCAACCAAACACACACCAATATACACTCGTATGCACTAAAACGAGGGTAACCTCTATAAGCGTGCATCCCTCGCGAGCCTATTCACCAATGTCAACTACGTCAATATTCGTAAATGTCACTCAACTCTGAAAATCAGCAAGAAAACTTCATACCGGCCGCTCAAGGATAGAGATGATTGGTATTGTTGATTATTTTTTCTGCATCAGGATCGTGAGTACTCAAGTTCTGCATTTAATCACGTGAAGTCTTAATACTTGATGTCAGAAATGTAAGCAAGTTCACCTACTTGATTCGGCCTCCGGCGCATCTTATCCGCATCTTGGCCATCCGACCATTTGTCTTCCAAGTAGCTGTACTAGGCTCGTTGAACCTACCTTATCTCAAAACGATTCAATCTAACGCCGACAGGGTTGAGCGTTGCCAGTGAAGTACAACATCCATCTTGACCTACACCACTACTTTTGTTTATTTAAGCCCCTCTTTATTAAAGAAATAATCTCTCTCTCTCAAACTCCTCATCCTCATCCTAACTACAATCTAAAAATTTCCCCAAAGCAAGTAAAAAAATCAAGCTTGAAACATGTGCCCACTTCTTCCCAAATTATGTTTCTAAATCCTCCCTCATTCCTTCGTATCGGGGAGTTTCAACAACCAGCCTCCCAAACCACACTAAAAACGTAATAAGATTATAATAATGATGAATTCCGGCTTGGCTTAGTCTAGCAGTGAAATTAGTTCCTTGACGTACTAATAATATGGGGGTAGACCATTAGAGCTTAATTTTATGAAGACATGGAGACGAAAAAAAAAATCAAAGCAGAGAACGTAGTGTTCAAACTCACTTTGGCGATTTCGTAGGATGACGCCGCGACTCTAAGAAATACATAAAAAACATCTCATCAGACTCGAGTCTTTGTCACATCCAAACAAATCATCCCAACTTTAACTCACTGTTGTTTCAACGTCTTTGATTGCGGTGAATTCACCATCGAATCACCCAAATTTCCAAACTGTAAATTGGCTGAAGACAGTTGTTGAAGGAGACGATCGCCTGATGAAGCAAATGTCTAAGGAGAGTCGGGTGTCAGTGCACGCGATAATACAAAAAAAATTGGTCCTTTTTTGCATGGTTCAATCCAAGCCCAAGATAAAACCATACAAAACCCAAACCCAATAATATATAGAAACTTACAGGTTTAGACAATGCTGAAGGAGACGACAACGTCCTTCTCGACACTTTGATCAGATTGTCGACAATCTTGGTAATATTGCCCACTGTATCCTTGAATTCATGTCCAACGGGTGTATTTTGTCTCATGGCAAACAAGAGACTTTGGATTGCTTGCACAATCATATCTGTTTGTTTCTCTAAGTATCCCTGCAGTGAAAAACAAAACATTTTAGAGGTTTTTGAAATTAGATCAAAAGCAGCAAAAAAACGACGAGAGATGAATAGTTGCAACTTGCTCTTTACAATGGTAATCCAGGCATAGCATACCTTAAGTTCATCAACCTCATAGGTCTCAGTTCCATTCGAATGACTTGCCCCACCAACAACACCACCATTAACTCCATTCACAGTGGTACTCGTACTTCCACCCACACTACGCCCCAACGACTCATCATCACGACTCTTTAGCGTCCGAACCAAATCCAAAATCACACTAGTCAGATTCGTGGCGGCTCCCTCCACCTCAGATATGGAATGTGGTGCAGATCCATACGATTGTGCGTGTGTCTTGGCTGCAGTCATTAGCCCTGTAAGGGCAGCGGATAACCGAGTCTTGACTTGTGACAGACGGGTAGTGAATTCGGCTGGTTTGGTGGTTTCAGATTGTTCATAGTGTTCCGTGTCTTCTGTGATGCCTTTACATGACATGACTATGGATTTCATGGCTACGAGGACTGAGGTGGGTTGATCCGACCTGATGGTGTGAATGGTGTTAAGAATGTAAACTGAGGCCCAAAAAGTACAGACCATTTTATAAATAATAGTTCACATCTAGACTTGTCAACACAGACGCAAAAAAAAGGCAATGAATCTTCGACGCATACCTGGAGGCCTTCATCAAATCCTCAACAGCACTCTGATACGTCACAATCCGTTGTCGATTGATGACTCCATTATCAACATACATCAAACTCTCCTTGATGTAATCAAAACTGGGTGATTCTCTAAGTGTTGCTATTACAAGCCGAAAAAGAAAGCATTTCAGATTTTTAAAACTCTTTCACAACTCAAGCTTGAATGCATTTCTTACGATCTGCAACACTCTTAGTAACAGCTGCGACATTACTACTACCACCAGCAGATGATGGGTGTTTCTGTAACCTTTCGTTCTATAAGTAGCAGCGTTAGAGTCGGTGGGATAACAGCACAAAAAACAGCACTACATCGGAAGATACCTCTTCTCTGAGTTGTTTGATTGTCGCCTGATCACGTTCATGAGTAGCATTCAACTCATCATTCTTCCTCGACAATGATTTTATCTCGTCCAATAAATTCGTTGCTTCTGCTCTAATATCGTTGGCGATCTATTGAATGACACAGAGGTTGAAAATGGTGTCAAGCGACGACGTATATTGGCAGATGATAGTGATTTGTTTGTCATACCTGCTGCTGTTGATTGTAATCCTCCTGTAATGATTCATAGTTTTCTTTAGCCTTTTGTGCATCCTCTGAAAGCTTTGATATCATTTCGTCCTTTTCTCTTGATTCCTACACATGCGGAAAGAAAATGATTCGTGATTGCTATATGATTTTGTAGCCAACCCGTATTCACGTACAGCCATGACACCAGCTAATCTGTCTTCCAGTTCCTTGATTCTTGAACCAGATGTATCGTATCGTGTTGTCGAGTCTTGAATCTATATCGGTCATCAGGATTGATTTAGTGCAAGTTTTGTCGCACCTATCCTCCAAAACCTTCACATGTCTTACGGTCTCTAATTGAGCAATTCGAGCCTTAAGCCTGCTCACTTCTCCATCGTCGGCTATACTCTTGGAGACTGTAGATTCTCGTGCCTAATAACCAAAAGTGTTAATTCTTCTCCAATCGTCTTTTTTTGGATGTGTCCAAAGACATCAACATCCTGAGCCAGCCCAATCACATACAGTTCCATTGATATTCGGCGGTGGAGCAGCACTCGTAGAATTCAGCATATTTCCTAAATCCGCCATCAGATTATCCAGCGATGCGAAACTGACTTCTGCGGGTTGTACGGGTGACATTGTTTCTCTAGATGGATCTGTGGCTGATTCTGATGATGCTGGTGACTATTAAATATGGAGAATGTGGTTGGTAAACAGAAACAAAGTGGCATCTTCTCACATCAACAAAAACGGGAAGGCAAGGAATTGATACCACTTCAGCAGGACTCTTCCCCGAATTCGGATCAGCTATTAGACCAGGGAATCGCCTTTCCAGTTCATAGTATACGTCGCTAGCGAGATCCTTGAACCTAGAATTTGGTAGCGTAGCGAGTTTTTGTCTGGCTTGGTTTCTTTTTGGGTGGAATTCGTCTTTTACAGGAAGGAATGGGACTACGAGGAAGGGTGAAGCGTTTCAGTTTTTGTACATAAATGTAGAGTATGATTTCGTCCATGTTGTTCTTGACACTGTTGTTGGACCCCACCCAAACCACACCACAATATTGCATGAGACTACGCGACGCATTCATTGGATGATACGTACTGGTGTCGGCCGAGTCCTGTCTCCTCGTCATTTCATCGTATACATCAGTAGATAGTTCCTGGAATTGCTGCTGGGTCAATCTGGTCAACTTTTCACGAGCAGACGCTCGTTGATTACTGGCAGTAGTTGACGATTTCTGGTTTTGGAGATACGAGGCGAGATAGACCTTGAGAGACTCATAGTGCTGCAATGTGGTATGGTCGTAGTCGGCCATATTAATAGTATCAGTATTATTTATATCAGACAATAAACTCCTCTTGGCCGACTGTCAAGTTTGTGAATGAGAAAACAAGGTTTGTTTTGTTTACGACTTGTACGAGGAGACTAGATAAGAAGGAATTTTTTAGTACTTTGGCGATCAAATGGGAGCTTTACACTTCGGACTTTACCTGTTGTTTGTGGTTTTCTGCCAAAGACCGCCGCCCTTGTTATTGGACGAGAGCGAAAGATAAAACTCTACTAAAACACTATAAATCACGTCCTTCCACCACTTGATCTGCGCATGAATAGCACTTTCAAGCCTTAATACGCCATGTCAGTATCAAATTGCACGTGGAAAACACGTCACAAATGTGTAAATCGACATGACTGGGAAGATGTATGCTTTACTACTGTATGTGACGAGCACCGGGCCTGTTTAACTTGATTACCTTGTTGATACGCTTCTAAATAAAATGACCAGAGACTGTGAACTCTCGCCCTTTAGTAGATCTCGAAACAAATGATTCGAATGCCTACAAAACAGCCACCTACAGTAGCAACCATAACTTCTAGCTCAAAACATCACAATTTAACGTGCATTGACGCGTACAGTCACTCTCTGCACCACGAGACTGGGTCGTTTCCAGTGCCAAGACTCCAGAAAGACACGCTGCTGCTCAAAACATCGATCGCAACCTTACAGACTGCAGCGAGCAGAGCCGAGAGACAGAGGATGCGCATAGAAAGGTACCATTTTGTCCAGTAACAAGTTCTTTGAGCAGGAAGATATATGATTTTAAGCTACGGATATAGTATGTGTTTACAATGTAACTACAAACTTACGAAATACAACAGGCCACTTATCAGAAACTACCTCCAAATCAAACACTTTTTCACGCAAACCCACACTCTTCAACCATCTTGGCTCCTTCCTCAACAACCTCATCACGCCTCAAATCACATTCTATAACTGCACCTTCAATAACGTCCGTCACACACGACGGCGACGACATTGTCTCTGATAACTTTTCAGCAGACTTTATAAGAGCTATTAAGAGATGAGTAAACTTAACCCCCTCTTCAGTATCTTCCAGCTTCTTGTATAGGAGGAAGGCATATTTGATCGTGATTCGAGATCGAGCGTATATTCCTTCGGCTTCTTTGATGACCCGATTGTAATCTTTGGGTGGAAGTGGTTTGACGGTTCTGTATTTTGATAATGGTGGTGACGTTTCTACTGATTTTGAAGATAGGAATAGGAATTCCATTTCAGATGATAGCTCGACCATCGTTGCGGATTCAGATGGTGATGATATACGTGATGCGGGTATTGATGATTGTGTAGCCGATACCGGTACTGGCAATGGAAATGATATGGTTGTTACTTGGGTACCTTTCGATGGCATATCATTCGAGTTACCAGAAAGGGAAGACGACGACAAAGACGCCAGTAAATGCTTTCCTCCGTCCAAGACCCAGTTCCAGCTATTCAAAGTTTCCTTTTCAGGTGGAGCGTTCCAATAAATAATGTCTAGAGATGAGAAAACGGTCAAAACGAAACACATGAGTCCAACAAAGCAAGGTGCCTAACTCTTACTATCAAACCCATTCAAAAGTTTCCTATGGTGCTTTCCTTCATCGCCTTCTCGTTCTTGTTCCTTGTCTCCTTCTTTGTCCTCATTGAATTCTTCAGGAAATGGTGTATCATCTAATATAATTCGACGTCGTTTGGTGCGGATGATAGGATTGATTTCGGATGCCGTTTTCGGTTTGGATCCTTCATCAATGTTGACTTTTACTTCAGGGTGTATTTCTGCAGCCTCAACGAGCGTGTTTTTGGTATACGAGTAGAAGACCTGTGTTAATAAACACCATCAGCCGAGAACCTAATAAGGTGCAAGTAAAGAAACTTGTGGATCTCATACAATAAAGTCCTTTGCTTGTAAGTAGAGGACTTCAGAAACAGCCCAGTCCATGTCATCAAAGCAGCCATGAAGCCACTCCCATAAGCGGCACGGAGCGTATTCGGCATGAGCAGTATCACAGAGCTTACAAGTCCTATATATCAATTGTGGAGAAGACTGTTAGCTTATCGAGACAAAAGATGGAGAATGCAACACTTGAACACAGTCATTTACGCACTGCTTTCCACAAGACGGGCATTGCCATGGCTCATCCGTATACTCCAACACAATCAATTTATGACCGCAAGTGCAGGTGACATCTGCATTAATTCGCAGAATGAGGATACTTTCTCCCTCCCTCCAAGACTTGCTCACGTAATCTTGCACCATAGCACAAGTAGCTGGACTATGATCGAGCTGATGACATCTAGTACACATATATTCACCACACATGCAGCGCATGACTGGTCCAGATGAGTTGGCCGAGAGTTTCAACACGTGATGACACTTTGGGTTTATACAGTTAGCCAAATCGTTCCTGCTGCATATATAGGACCTAACTAAAGCTTCGTTTTCGTCAATGGAGAAGGAGGGATCTGGAGTTACGATATCAGCGAATGATTGAGGACTGTCCAGGTATCGTTCCATAGTTTCGTCGGCATCAAATTTATATCGTGATAATAGCTTTACAGCAGCTTCGGCTGGTATTTGAAGCACTTGAGCAGTTGACCGTGCCAGATTCTCAAGGTCAAAGGTGACTTCGTGCAGACTCAAGAACGAGACCTTGACTTTTGACGAAGGTAGAGCGGTTCGAGCAGTTCCAATAGTGACTATCGATGTACTTCATATAAATTTCACCGTGAATAACTTCATTCAAATGCATCCATACATGGTATTGAGTAAACAGAGCCAACATCTTCATCGTCTTCATCTGATGTCGAGGCTTTCTCATCTTCTCCGTCCATTTGAGATGCAGACGAGGCTGCATAAGATGAATGCAGTGATATGACATCAAACTCTTGGCCGTCATGCACCATCTCGAACTCTGAAAAGTCAGAGTCGGAATCCATTGTTGAGATTGTTAAATGTTGAATCTACAGTTCCAAGCTAGAGTTCTAAAGTAGGAGCTGATAATATAGGCTACTGAGAGCTAATACTGGGCTTATTTTCATCAGTTTCACTACATGAAAAGGTGCATACGTTTGGAATGTGCACCCAAGTCCCAGCAGTCTGCCAGTATTGTGCCCGAGAAAGCACGTGAGGTTCTCACATGAACAAACTATACGTAATGTTAGCTGTAATCGCCTCCAAATGCTCTAATCGCTCTCCATCAACGATTTGTGCTCCACGTGATATTGCTCTCCACGTGATATTCTGACGTGTCTCACAGTGTACCCTATCGCTCTCGGCGTGTAAACTACTAAAAAATTGAGATGCATGTAATATGTGTATGATACGGATATAATATGTGTTATGTCGCGGTTTTGTGTTTCGTGGTGTTTATCTGTGGTTGTTCGGTTAGTAATGCTATTGGATTGGCTGACCATTCAGGTGGTGGTCCTAGTTTAGATGATGCAAACGGTGCTTTGATTGTAGTCGATTTAGAGGGTAATGCGGCTGCAAGCCCTGATGATGGCAATAGGCCGGGTGATACGGGTTGTGGTAGTGGAATCGACATTGATGTTGCTGGTGTACTTTTCGATGGGATATCGTTCGAGTGTGCAGAAAGAGCAGACGATGAAGACGGTTGAGGGGTCATTTCTCTGTCAGAGCTCCAGTTCCAGCTATCTATATATTCCCCTTCAGACTGTGCTTCCCGTATACTGGAGCCTTTTCTCCTTCAGATACAATATCCCATATAGGAAGCGGTTCTTGTCCTTCCAGTAGCACGTTTTTGGCTCTCCGTTGCAAGTCTAGCAGCCTCTTAATTTCTGCATCGGAACTACTTAGAAGCTCCTGTGGTTTGTCGTTGGCGTCCCATAGCCCGTTTACTTTAGCGAAACGTGCGTTGGCTTCGATAGGTGGTTGGCTGTATAGAGTGTTTTCGGTTATATGACTGATTTTAAAAGAGGATGCCCCTTGAGGGGCTGAACCCATGTGATCTTTTACTTCCGGCAGTATTTCTGCGGCCTCGACGAGAGTGGTGTAGGCATAACAGTGGAAGACTTGTGTCAGAAAACGTTGTCAGCCCATACGAACCAACAGGCCGAATAGAATGCGGGAGACACTGTCGAGCACACATGGCATTAGAAATGTGGATAACTTACTATAAAATCCTTTGCTAAGAGAATAGAGTGCTTGAACAACACTCCAATTGTCCTCATCAAAGCAGTCATTAAGCAACTCCCATCAACGACAAGGGCCGTATTCAAACTGAGCAGCATCACAGACTTTGCAAGTCCTGTGGTTTTAAGTTTTGAAGAAGAAATTTGTCAGTTTCTCGAGCAAATTGACAAGAGTTTCATCTGATTTGGAGCTTGACCACAGTCATTCACGTACTTTCCTCCACAAGATGCGCATTGCAATAGACCATCTGTATACTCCAAAAGAGTCATTTTATGACCACAACTACAGGTGACTTCTGCGTCGATTCGAAGAATCCGGATGCTTTCTCCCTCCCTCCAAGACTTGCTCACGTAATCTTGCACCATGGTACATGTAGCGGGACTATGATCGAGCTAGTGACATCCCGTACATATGCATTCCCCACACATGCAGCACATGACCGGTCCAGTTGAGTTGGCCGAGAGACTCAATACACGACGACATTTCGGATTTATACAGTTGGCCAAATCGTTCCTGCTACGAACATAAGACCGGATTATCGGCTCTGGGATTTCGTTGGAAGAGAAGACGGATCTGGTGTCAAAATGTCGGAAAACGATTTGGGATTTGTCCAAGTATCGTTCCATGCATTCGTCGGGATCGAATTTATGCCGTGATAATACCTGAGAGCAGCTTTGGTTGGTATTTGAAGCACTTGTACGGTAGACAGTGCTAGGTTTCTGAGGTCAAAGGCGACTTCGTGAAGTGTCAAGAATGACCCCTTGACTTTTGAGTAAGAACTCAGAAAAGTCAGAGAGCTCCTCAGAGTCCGACTCCATCCGTT